CAACTATTCATTTAATGACCATTCAAAGTTACAACAGCACTGAAAAAAGTGACTTATGGCCATTTTTCACACTAATGACCGTTGCAGCCTCCTCCTGGTCATGTGATCAAAATTCAGATGCTTGATAACTTACTCATATTTATGACAGTTGCAGTGCCTTGGGGTCACGTGATTCCCTTTTGCGACCTTCTGACAAGCAAAGTCAATGAGGAAGCCAGATTCACTTAACAATCATGTTGCTAACTCAACAACTGCAGTGATTCACTTAACAATTGGGGCAAGAGAGGATACTCACATAACAGCTGTCTTGTTTAGGAACAGAAATTTTAGGCTCAATTGTGTTCGTAAGTTGAGGAATACCCTGTACATCCTCAACCTTGCTGATCAGTAGGCAGGGAAGAACTCAATGAATCAAAAGATCCTTTGTAACCTGTCATTTGCTGAAGCCTGGATAAGCAGTCCATTTAATTTGGGATTCAGTGGAAACACCTTGAGATTTCCGGCAGACATGGGGGCAGAGGCCATTTTTTTCATGGTGGATGTTCCTACTTCGTGCTGCCTTCTTGGCTTCTGGGTTCTCTTCCTTCCACGTAGCGCTTCAATATTTTCATGCGTGCCCTTCTCTGAAGTTTTGATAAATTAGGAATGGAACTTTGCCAGCTTTTCAGTTTAACTTTGATTGTGATTGTAAGACTCTAAAAAAAGTGCAGAGAAGAGCAACCAGGATGATTAGGGGACTGGAGGCTAAAACATACAATGAACGATTGCAGCAACTAGGCATGGCTAGTCTAGTGAAGAGAAGGACCAGGGGAGACAGGAGAGCAGTCTTCCAATATTTGAAGGGCTGCCACAGAGAGGAGGGGGTCAACCTATTTTCTAAAGCACCTGAAGGCCAGACAAAGAATAATGGGTGGAAACTGAACAAGGAGAGATTCAATCTAGAAATAAGGAGAAATTTTCTGACAATGAGAATAATCAACCAATGGGACAGCTTGCTTCAAAAGTTGTGGGAGCTTCATCACTGGAAACTTTCAAGAAGACTACCATTTGTCTCCTGCTTGGATGGTGGGGTGGGTTGGATTAGATGACCTACAAGGTCCCTTCCAACTCTATTAATCTGTAATCTAATCTGTGATGGCCAAATAAAACAGACCATGAATGGTCAGGAGACTACAGTGATGGCTGCATGTTGATCTTCACACTCAACTTTTGATTACCAGGGAGCTGTGTGAGTGGTCTCATGTGCCATCCTTGATTTCAACGTTGGTCCTAGTGAGGACACTGGTGGCTTGATCTAAAAATATTCAGTTTGGAGAACAAAAATTGTAGTGTAGAATTTTTTTTGGGACTTCTGGTTTGAAGGGCTTCGGCGACAGACAGAAATCCGTGATTGTGCGCGGTTTCTGCCTGGGCTCGCCACCGGAGCGTCCCTAGCTGTCTGGTTTCGGGGCTAAGCCACCCCGTAGAGGTGGTGAAGAGGGGGGAGACCACCAGCAGGGTCAAGGAGAGCCGCATCTCTCCTCCTCAGCTGGCCATTACTCCCTTTCCTGAAGGCGGTAGGAGCGGTGGTCAGAAATGGCCACCTCAAAGAAGAACTCAACCGGAAAAGAATGTGCAGGAGGAAGATAAGAAGTGAAAGTTTTGGCTGACCAGGTTAAGTTGAAAAAGCAATAACTAAGGTACCCTGGAATTTAAACTTTACAAAAAATAACATCGCTCCCAAAGAAGAGTCGGAAGCAGTGAAAGAAAGTGAAAAGGAAAAGGTTTGGCTTTTTTTGTCTTCTCTCTCCTTCCCTATATTGACAACTAAGAGACATAAATAAGAAATTGGAAAAATCCGCTTTGGCATCAATAGGCAATTAAGCTGAAAATAAAACAAAATGCCAAGGGGATAATAAAGATTTTTGGACATTAAAACCTTTTTCTTTTATAAGCAGGAAGAGAGAGAAAAAGAATAAGGGCAGGATCTGGAAGGGGGAGGAGACTGCCTGGAATTTAAAAGAATCTAGAGTAAAACTTCAATAAGACTTCTAAAAGATACATTTTAACTGAAACTTTGCAACTAAATAGTAACCCCAGGAAGAGAAAGTGGAAAAAAAAGAAAGAACAAAAAAGAAACAGCTTGCGTGTATTTGGATTATTTGGTGACTTTTGGATTTTTGGTTATATTTGAATGACTAAAATCAATCGGGTGGTGGTTTAAAAAATTTATACAATGGCATCACTTCTGGATGAATTGAAAATGGAACTTAAAAAGTACAAAGAAGATGCACAAGAAGGGAAGAGTTCTTTTGGCTTCGTTTTTCAATTTTTAGAAATGGAGATCTGGAACTATGAGAAACAACAAGAAAAGACTGCAAAACAAGAAGACTGGGACAAAGAAGAAGCCATCTTTAATGAACAAGTAACTCTATGTGGGGAAGAAAAAGGAAAGGGGGGGAAGAGAATGGAGAATTTAAGACTTAAAAAAACAACCAAAGAAAAGAAAAATAATTTGAAAAATAAGTATAATAGTGGAAAGCAACAGAAAAGGGGAATACAGAAGAGGGAGATAGAAGTAGAGAGACAAAGGGGTAAAAAGGGGAGAGAGAAGAAGAGAGGGAAGAAGGAAAGGAAAAGAAATTACAAAAGTCTGGAGCAAGATATAAAGAAACAGGACCTATTTAGAGATAATGGGTGAAAATCTAACTGAAAAAGGGATTCTGTAAAGATACATAAGATTGTATTGTTATATTTGTAATAGAAATAACTTTAGAAAATTGGAAACAACATATGATTAGAATAAGGGATAAAATAGTTAGTGTAATTTAGTGAAATGTTTGTGAATAAAATTAATGAAATAAAATAAATGAGAAAATTGAATTAGGAAGGAACGGGAACATTTTAATTAGTCAATGTTTTATAAAATATAAGTGAAGAGGGGGGGAATTAACTATGGAAAGTTTATAATTGTTCCCATAGAAGTATGATATTCAATTGAAAAGCAACGTGAAAAATGCTAAGACTTTAATGGATATTAATATTAATGATAGAATTGAATTGGAATGGAATGTTGTTTTAATTATATACATTTATAATTTTTTTTCTTTTTTTTCAAGAATACAGTGTGTATTTTAAGAATGTACCAAGCAGAATCTGAATGGAAGTTATGTATTATATTGAGTGTTACAAGTTTAGGGGAAAGATATAAAGGCGTCATACTCTAATCAGTAATTACAGGAGAAATTTTGTTTAATGAGAAAAGATAATAGACAATTGAAACAGGACAGACAAAAAATATAAATATAATGATTTTAATTGAGATGAAATAAATAAAATAAAATTGAGAAAATTAAAAGAGGGGAGAAGCTATGTAGAAAATGTAAAGTAGTAATAACACATGGAATAGAATATAAAAATGAGCATGAACCTGAATTTGCGTCTGTACGAAGAAATGTAACCCGGGATTATGCTGCTTTCAAAAAAGATGTTTTATTTGTATTTCTTTTCTTTTTGTGAAAACTCAAATAAAATTTACAAAAAAAAAAAGAAAGGGTTTTCCCCCCCCATCATTAACAGACAAGATAGTTATGTTTTAAAGTTGCTTTTGAAGTGAGGCAGCATATAATTGCACTTAGATCAGCATTTCTTTCGCCACAATTGGGCCAATGTGGTCAGTGATTTTCCACTCTCTTTGAAAAATAACACAAAGGGAAATCCCTTTTTGACGGTCTTATGAGAATTCTGGTATCTAATTTAAATAAGTACTGCCCACATTGAATTAATCTTTCAGCCGAAGCCTCTTTGTGTGCTGGGACCGATTCTGAAATTAATAATTGTCTTTCTTTAGTATTCACTGTGGGTTTATGATTATGAATCTACAGAAAGCCTATATTTAGGATCTTACTCTTTTCAGAAAAGAGCAAATTTCATTAGGTTTTTTTTTAATCAGTTTCTTCCCTGCTCCAGGTTCATAAGAAAGGCTAACTCAGAAGGCCGGGAAATTTTCTAAATAAGAACCCTATTGGTACTGCCTTATAAAGACATTACAAAGACCACACCTGGAATACTGCATCCAGTTCTGAGACTTTGGAAAAAGTGCAAAGTGCAGAGAAGAGCAACTAAGATGATTAGAGGCCTGAAGTCTAAAACATATGAAGAACCATTGCAGTGTTTGGGTTTTGAGAAAAGAAGGACTAGGGGGGACATGATAGCAGTATTCCAGTATTTGAGGGGCTGCCACAAAGAAGACGGGGGTCACAATATTCTCCAAACACCAGAAAGCAAGACAAGTAATAATGGAAGGAAACTAATCAAGGAGAGAAGTAACCTGGAATTAAGGGGGAAAAAATCCCGCAATGAGAAAAATTAACTAGTGGAATTGCTTGCGTTCAGAAGTTCATCGCTGAAGGTTTTTAAGAAGAGACTGGACAGTCACTTGTCTGGAATGGTATAGTATCCCCTGCTTGAGTGGACTAGAAGATCTCCAAGGTCCCTAGTTTTTGGAAAGGAAAATAAGGGTGGGGGGAATTCTGCTTCTGCCTACCAGCATCCATCGGTATTCGTCTGGCTAGTGTCCTGTCAGTATGTGAGAGTTGAGGGCAAAATATACAAAATAGAAATGCTCTGATGGTCATTTCGAAAAATCCTTTCTTAATGAGCACCTGGAAGCCAAGAGGAATATATGTGCCAAATCCCAAGTTTGCAGGCTTTATGGTTCTGGGGATTTTGTGATGATATGGTAATATATATATTATGCGGTAATATTATGTGGTATGTGGATACACACACACATAAACACCCCCACACACCATAACCAACCATTGGTTCCCTTAATGACCACAGCATTCGCTTAATGATCAACACAAAAACGTTTGTAAAATCGGGGTGGGATTTACAACCGTCCTGACTTATGACTGTGATGGGCAGGTTCTATTATGGTCGTATGTCGGGACTGCTTGTACTTGATGTATTCTTGTTTCTCTACCCTGAATAAAGGCATCCCCTCTTCTTTTTTACAGGCCCCTCACAATCTTTGGGATACAACATCGATCCTTCTCCAGCAATTCTCTTCTCATCGAACCACAGCAAGCACTTTGGCTATCAGGTTCTCCAATTTGGAAAAGGCTCTGAAGCAAGGTAGCCCACCTTTCTTGTTCCCACACTTGACGTGTCACAGTCCTCCATGTATTTGTTTAGTGACTGTTCGAATTTGTAACGGCGCTGAAAAAGTAACATACAAATGGGTCCTTGCACTTATGACTGTCCGAAGGTCCCTGTTCAGGTAGTTCATTTAGTGACTGTTGAAAGTTACACTGGCACTGAAAAAAGGGAGTTATGACCATTTGCCACACTTACAGTCATTTCAGCATCCCCATGGACATGTGACCGAAATCCAGATGCTTGTCAACTGACTCCTATTTATGACGGTTACGTTATCCCAGGGTCATGTGATCCCTTATGACAAGCACAGTTAATGGGGAAACTGGATTCACTCAACAACTGTGTTACTCACTGAACCTGTTGTGACTTACCTAACAATGGTGGCATGAAAAGTCATAAAATGAAGCAAAACTCACTTAACAAATGTCTCACTTAGCAACAGAAATTTGGGGCACAGTTGTGGTCGTAAGTTGAGGATGACCCATAGTTACCTGATCATATTTTGGGTGCCTGGAAAACTGACAGATGATTATGAGGCTGGCAGCCTCCAAGAGTCGCATTCTTGCCATCTGCAGCCTTCCCAGCTGGTTTTCAAGAAGTAAAATCAACGGGGTATCCAGCAGAAAGTCACAAGTCACGGTCACGTGACATCTCGCTTAATGAGCATGGAAAAAACGATTCTAAAATTGAGTGTTGTCATGTGATACCTCACTTAACAACCATGCCACTTAACAAATACCTTTCCTGTCCTAATTATGGTCGTAAATTGAGGACTAACTGTATTTTGGGGGAGAAATTGGATTGCCTGTTGGATGAATCTTTATGGTTGGGATTCCTCTAATTAAGAGCCGTGGTGGTGCAGTGGTTAGAATGCTGTACTGCAGGCTACTTCTGCTGACTGCCGATTGCCAGCAGTTCAGAGTTTGATCCTGACCGGCTCAAGGTTGACTCGGTCTACCATCCTTCCAAGGTGGGTAAAATGAGGATCCAGATTGTTGGGGACAATATGCTGAGTCTGTAAACCGCTTAGAGAGAGCTGTAAAGCAATATGAAGCAATATATAAGTTTAATTGCTAATTATAGGGTTGAAGTGGGGGAAGTAGAATTGGCATCCTTTTTCTTAGTCAAGTTTTTAATGCTTTATTAACTGTTAGACTCATCATGCAAAGAAGGGAAACTCCCATCAAGGTGTGTTTGCAACTTAACCCCAGACACTAAGAATACAAGAGCAAAGACAACATATGTAGAGTGTTAATTACGGGGGTGAGAATGTTCTACATCAGAAGTAGAGATGGTTGAAGATAAGAAAAAAAATTGCAGTAAAATCCCTATAATTCAGTATATATGAGCCCTGGCTTTATAAGAAAAGTGTTTGCTTGTTTTTCCTGATAAGCTTACAAATCAATAAAAAAAATTCTCTAATGCTTCGCCACAAAAAAATAAGGTGAAGTTGTGATTCGTCTGCATCTTGTAAGCGGACTGACAACCAATGCAGCAATTTCAAAATATCTGTTATTTCAGCTCACAGTTTTGCTTTGCTCTACTCCACGTACTCCATTTTGTACAGTTGTAACTTCTGGATCATCTCCAAAGGGTATGTTACAGTACTGTCAAATGTCCGACTAATGGACCCAATAAAAGCAGGCATCTTCAGGAACTTTAAAATCCCCAAAGCAAAACTTTATTGAGTACATCATTTCGGCACGGAAGAAAGCAAAACCAACTCTAAATTTTCCCACATAATATAGTTAAAGATGGGTTTCATCTCTACCTGCCATGGAATGGAGCACGTTGTCCAATTAAGAATCAGCCTTTTGTTTTGATAACAGTCCACATCTTGGCAGATACCTGCAGAAGTGTCCTTGGCTCTCATTGTTGAAGATTATAGCCTCCACATTCCATCTCACCTTTCCCTGCCCCCAGTTCTTTGACAAGTTGAAAAGCAATAATAGTCACAGGAACCTTAAGCTTTTTCAGTCTTGACAAGTACGGTCCTCAATTTATAACCATTCAGCAAATGTTATAGTGACACTGAAAAAAGTGACATATGACTGGTCCTCTATCTTACGATCATTGTAGCAACCCCCAAAGTTCGGATTCTTGGCAATTAACCTGGTTGCAGCCCCATTGGATCATGTAATTGTCAATTGCAACCTTCTCAGCCAATTCTGACAAGCAAAGTCAATGGAGGGAAGCCAAACTCATTTAATGACCACATGATTCACTTAACAGTGATATATTTAACAATTGGAGCAAAAAAAAGGTTGTAAAATCAGTCACAGCTCACTTAACAATTGCTTCGCTTAGCAATGGAAGTTCTAGTTCTAATTGTGGTCATAAGTCAGGGATTGCCTGTAGTCCACAGTCCATCCAAGTGACTATGGGGACATATAGGTTATCATCCCAAAGGCATCCTGGTCCTTGTAACCCTATCTGATATACCATCTGCAGCTGGGTTGTCCTGGTTGCAGTTTCCATCAGCTGTTTAAGCCCAGAAGAATTCTTAAGTTATGAACAGAGCAAGAGTCCATCAAAAGTACAAGTAGTCCTTGATTTACAAGCATTTGTTTAGTGACTGAAGTTACAACAACCCTGAAAAACTGACTTATGACCAGTTTTCACACTTATGACCATTGCAGCATCCTCACGGTCACGTGATCAAAATTCAGGCACTTGGCAACTGGCATGTATTTGTGATGGTTCTCTGTCCCAGGGTCACGTGATCAGCATTGGTGTTCTTCCCAGCCAGCTTCCAACAAGCAAAGTCAATAGGGGAAGCGAGAGTCGCTTAATGACTGAATGATTCACCTAACAACTGCAGTGATTCACTTAACAACCGTGGTGAGAAAGGCCATGAAATGCGGGCAAAATTCACTTAACAAATGTCTCCCTTAGCAACAGAAATTTTGCGACTTGACTGTAGTTGTAAATCGAGGACTCCCTGTAATTCCCAGAGCTGCTGTTACTAATTTGTCCAGGTGTCTATTGACAATCAACTGTATTGACTGAGCGAGATTTCACTGGAACTGGATTTGTCCATTCACATACTCACAGCCTGCAAGCCCTAGTTGGCTGGAAATCTGACGCTTTATTTATGCTTGCTACTTTCTCTAGCTTTGAGTTTGAACCCTGTTGTTCTGTTTCAAGGCATGTTTACTCTGTATTTATTTGTAACTAGGAGGAGAGTGGTTATTTCCAATCAGGTTCCCTTTTTGTTTTTGTATCGCCTACCTTCTACCACTCGAGTTTTGAGGAAGTGAGAGTAAAGGCTAATAGTGGAATAGGGAAGGAAGTAAAATGGATACCTATTATCTTAAAGGAAGGGTTCCCCTTTAGAGTAATACGATCGGCAGGAATTTAGATGGTGCAACTTCCCCACTGAAGGACGTTGTCATAATGCACCGGCTTCTGGACTCTTTCACCAAGTAGAGCCAAGTGCCGCCTTCCGGTACAAGAATTGGTAGGAAACTAGGCTGGGCTTAAAGAAGCGTTGACTGCATTTCCAAACTTTTGGGATCAGATCTTGGGTGTCAGCCCATTAGATAAGCCAGAACATGAAGGCAAAAACTATATTCAATAGTTTTTTTTAACTATTTAACAATCTTCAATAGTTTTAAGATTGGCTATAAAAAAAGAGAGAGAGAATCTTTCAGGTCTGACTGTGCCACATTTCTTCCTCCACCTTATACAGGTAGTCCTCAAGTTACGACCAGAATTGAGCCCAAACTTTCTGTCATTGCAGTTGTTAGATTAGTGACATGGTTGTTAAGTGAATCTGGCTTCCCCATTGACTTTCCCTGTCAGAAAGGCACAAAAGACACGTGACCTTGGGAGGCTGCAGCTGTCATAAATATGAGTCTGTTGCCAAGCGATTGAACTTTGATCATGTGATCATGGAGATGCTACAACAGTCGTAAGTGCGAAAAACATAAGTCACTTTTTTTCATTGTAACTTTGATCATCAAGTGAACTGTTGTAAGTCGAGGACTACCTGTACTAAGGGGCACAGATGGAAAGCCCATGTCCGCCTAACTTTCTTTCCATTGAGAAGAGACCCAGGGAGAGCTCTCTGCAGGAAAGTGAGTCGTCTTCTTCACATCTCCTGCCACCCATGAGAAGGGAGAAAGGCATTTTTATCATGGTGGGAGGATCCAGACTCCCTCACTGCCTAAAGATGAACAACCTTGAAAATCATTGGTCAGGAATCAGGAAGAAGATGCTCACAGTAAAATGTCATTCTTGATGTGGAACAAGAAAAGACAGCCATTGCTTTGGGCTGAGGTTGGGTCAAGGATAACATCAAATGGTTATGTGTTGGTCATGTGAAGGAGCAGAGGTGGTATTCAGCAGGCTCTGACCAGTTCTGGGGAACCGGTAGCGGAAATTTTTGAGTAGTTCGGAGAACCAGCAAATACCACCTCAGACTGGCCCCGCCCCCATCTGTTCTCTGCCTCTCGGCTGGGTCTTCTTTGGTTGCCTTGCACAGGAGAACAGAGCTGGAAAGCAGGTTAATGGGGTGGGGAGGGAATGGAGATTTTGCAGGAACTTTCCCCTGCCACACCTTCCAAGCCATGCCCACCAAGCTACACCCACAGAACTGGTAATAAATTTTTTTTGAATCCCACTACTGTGAAGGAGCCCTTTTGTTGACAAGATAGCTCTCTGCAGGAAGTCAAAGATGATGTTTGGGACATTTTAACAGAATAACAGAGTTAGAAGGAACCTTTAAGGTCTTCTAGTCCAACCCTCTGCTTGAGCAGGAGACCCTACATCATTCTGGACAAATAGCTGTCCAGTCTCTTCTTAAAAACCTTCAGTGATAGAGCACCCACAACTTCTGGAGGTAATCTGTTCCACTGATTTCAATTAATTGATTTTTGTTGATTGATTTTGTTACAGGGTCTTTGTCCACTCCAAACTCAAGGCTGTGCCTTGGTGTTATGAAGCCATCATCTGTGTACAGCAGCAGCTGAGCTGATTTTTCTGCTGGCTCATTTGTTGTATCCAGAAACTAAAAATGGAGAAACAGAAACAGTTTTGTTTGCAGTGATAAAGTTGTATTACATGTTTGGAAGGAAATACAATAGCATTAAGACCAAGATAAACTGTATTGCTCCATTCATTGCTTTCAGTGGGAATTTTAATATAGGGAATGACAGTTTGGTAGTCTGGCAATTTCATCCTATTGCAAATATTCAGTTTTTTTTTTTTTTTTACAAAGGACTAGATAAATCCACACAATCTGTCATGAAAACATGGAAACAGGCAGGGTGGGGTTAGCTAATTATTTTACTTCTTTCCATGGAGCAGGACAAATGAGAATGTTCTTCCAGGACCTGCAGGAACTTATTTATAAATCGAATTAGAATTTACTTTTTATAACATTCGGTAAAACAGCAGGGATTGAATCATGGTCAATCATTCCCTGCCTATTCTCTCTCCTCCAAGAAATACAGGAGCAAGTTGGTTTTCCAACCGTTTTTTTTTAAATTCTACTTTTATTTTATTCAAAAAAGTTAAAATATAAGACACCACATTTTAAAAGAAACAAAGAAGAAAGACAAAAAGAAAAGAAACAAGACATTAAAAAGAAAAAAAAGTTATTAAAAAAAGACTAACACATATATACATATAGTTCCCCTTAGTTGAATGCTAATTAATATATTACAATATTAGTTTTTCCTACCCCTTGCTAAACATGCCCAAAGAATGTTAAGCTACTAAACAACTAGTTCTATAGTAATTGCAGGTTGCCATTCTATATATTTTATTGATAACAAAATAGTTAACAAGAAGAACAACAATAATAAAAGAAGACAAGTTTAAAATCCCAAAATTGATTTTCCAACCGGTTTTTTGAGGAGGGGGGAACAGTAGCATGCAGCATTGTAGTTGGAGATATTAGGAAAAACATTAACTTGTTATTGTTAGTATTATCCACCCACTCCTCTATTTATTCTCTTGCAGGGTCATTGTGGGAGCCCCCGGAGAGCAGAACTCTACAGGCAAAGTATACCAGTGTAATTTGAAGAGCCAAGACTGTGAGGACATTCCACTTGAGGGTAAATGAAGGATTTTAAATTCTTCATGGCTGTGAGTAAAAGGCCCACTGAAGGGTACGATGGTGGAGAAAGGCCATAATTTTATAAAAAATAGAAATGCTATGGTGGCGCAGTAGTTACAATGCTGTTCTGCAGGATGATTGCTTAAAGCCAGGAGTTTGATCCTGACTCATGGTTGACTCAGCCTTGCATCCTTCCGAAGTTGGTAAAATGAGGCCCCAGATTGTCGGGGGCAATGTGTTACTCTGTAAAATATAAACCACTTAGAGCTGGAAAACTGTGAAGAGGTCTATAGCAATTGCAACAGCACTTAGACTTATAGACTACTTCACAGTGCTTCATAGCCCTCTCTAAGTACTTTACATATTTCCCCCAGCAATCTGGGTCTTCATTTTACCCACCTCGGAAGGATGGAAGGCTGAGTCAATCTTGAACCGGTGAGATTCAAACTGCCAAATTACAGGCAACCAGCAGTCAGCAGAAGTAGCCTGCAGTACTGCATTCTAACCACTGTGCCACTGCGGCTCCTATAAGTCTATAAAAGTCCAAGAGTTATGGCTAGCGCTAAAAGCTGCAATCATGATTGTAGGGTGCCTCTATGTATGTATGAGGACAGCAGGGGAAGAGAAGGAGATGGTCAGAGGCTGGGTGAAATATTCTGAAGGATTAATATCTATGGATACAGAATAGTCCTTAATAAACAACCATTTGTTTAGCGATTGTTTGAAGTTACAACAGCACTGAAAAAATTGACTTATGACCTGTCCTTACATTTACAATTGTTGCAGAGTTTGTTCATGTGATCAAAATTTGGGTGCTTGACAGTCAGCATATATTTGTGATGGTTGCAATGTGCCGGGATCATGTGATCGCATTTGTGGCTTGCCAGCTGGCTTCCAACAAGCAAACTCAGAAAGAAGCCGAATTTGCTTAACAGCCACGTGGTTCACTTATCAACAGGGTGATCCATTTAAGAAGCATAGCCAAAAATAAACTCATAAAACCACCGATAACTCACTTAAACTACCTCGCTTAGCAAGTTCTGTTCCCAATTGTGGTCATAAGCTGAGGACTACCTGTAAGGAGGAAATTTAGGTAATATTTCCAATTAACTAATCAATCTCTTTCTCTCGCTCTCTTTTTGCAGAGAACTCTCCAGTACCCCATCTTGGCATGACCCTGGCAAGCAATATGCAAGGAAACAAAATGATTGTGAGTTTGGTCTGGAAGGGGGAATAAATTTAGGCACAGGTTTAAACTGATCAGGTGCTCAAGTAGCACAACAACAGTCCAATAGTACATAACAGAGAGAAGCTATGTAAAAACTCTCTACTGCCAAGCAAAAACACAACAATAATCCAGAATTCCAAAAAGCAGAAGTATACTATCTGTATAACATATCCCATGACAATGGATATCTGGATATTTTAATCAAAAACTTTTATCCATGCATCCAATAACTATCCAAATTCCTAACCATGAAAGGGACATACTTACCCTTCAAATATCTCTTTGAAGCTTCCACCATGCAATCCTAGGCATCATGATAGCCCATAAACCAACAAGATCTATCCAGACCATCCTAAGCAACCCAAAGACCCACAGCCAAGGAAGACATAACAGGATTCATCTACAAGTATTAAAACAGTGAAAACCATTATGTGGGGCACAACAGGCAGAACACTGAGAGAATACACACACAAACATCAATTGACAGGAGACACAATAAAAACTCCCTAATTGCACAACACACTGACCTATTCAATCCCAGTTGCAAAGGAGAACATAGACATCTTAGACCAAGCCAAATCTACATATATCAGATAATTCCTTCAGGTGCTTCTTTGGGATTTTTTAATAAGTTTCTTCATCACCCCAAAGATGTTTTTTCAAGAGGCAACTGGGCTTTCTTTGTTTTTCCTTGAAGACATTTTGCTTCTCCTCCAAGAAGCTTCTTCAGTTCTGACTCAGTTCTGAGAAGTGAAATGTCTTCAAGGAAAAACAAAGACAGCCCAGTTGCCTCTTTTAAAAGGCACCTTTGCGATAACCATGACCTGGATGACTGAGAATCTCCTTAGACATCCTTTTTCATCCCACACCTATTAAGGGAAGCACCAAATGGACAAGAATAATCAAAGGAGAGATTATGCCCATCCAAAAACCAATCAGGGTGATGGCATTCAAAGAAAATCAATATAAAATTTTTTGTAGATGGCACTTAGCACCGGCACGGCTGGCAAAAATGTATCCAACCTTAAAACCGGAATGCTGGAAGTGCAAACAAAAAAAAGGAACGTTTTTCCATATGTGATGGCAATGTATAGAGGTCAAAAAATACTGGAAGAAAATACAGAGATGGCTTTTTGAGATTACAAAATATAAATTGAAATTGGAACCCGAACCTTTTTTTTATTAGGTATGATTAAAAGGAATTTGAGTAAAGATAAAAGATACTTATTGTACGCATCTTAACTGCAGCAAGAATCACATTAGCACAAAATTGGAAGAGTGATAAAATACCACCAGATGAAGTTCTGATTCAAAAAATAATGGACTGGGCTGAACTAGATAAATTCACTATGGAACTGAAAGGCAAAGAGGATCGAGAATACTATGCGACATGGGAGAGGTGGGACGAATGGGTGAAGAATAAGGATAAAAATAATGTATAGTCACAAAACAAGGAACATGTATATACAATGACACAATAACTGTTAATGGAAATGAGATTTTTGTATTTTTTTGTTTTTTAAAGAATAAAAATTTATTTTAAAAAAACCAATGAGGGAAGAAACAACACCCCAATCAATGTTGATAGGATAAGATACCACATATAAAGAGCTAGCAAACTCTACGCCTCCCTGCAGTGATGATGTTCTTCAGTCTGATGGTAAAAGGTTTGTTGGAAGAAAAACAAGCCAAGTACCGCCCAAAATCAACATAAACAAACATAAATTCTGATGGCTGCTCTAATCCCACTAAGTATTGGAATAATCAAAACTGTTTCTAAAATGAAAACTGTTCAGAAGCTCCCAGAAAACCAAGAATGAGAAAACCAAGCATGTTTCTGGGGGCCCTGAGTTCTAGAGAGAGAGGGCCACAACTGAGAAGGCCTGTTTCATCCATTATATTAGCATTCTGCTCAGAGCCAAATGTGGAATGATTCATTTAATTTAGCTCAGATCTCTCCAACTTATCAATTTCTAGAAGAGTTGGGTCTTCAGAATCTCTTCTGGGGTTAAAATCCCAAATCTTTAAAACAAGGGTCTTCAAACTTGGCAAGTTTAAGACTTGTGAACTTCAACTCCCAGAATTTCTGAGCTAACAGGAGTCCACAAGCCTTAAAGCTGTCAAGTTTGAAAACCTCTGCTCTAAAAGGTACCAATTTAAGGAAATCCAGAAGAGCATAGGTCATAGGAGTGGGTCATCCTGGGCTGAAGATCTTCATTGCTCTTCTGGATCTCTTTTCTGAGAATCCCAACATCCCCTTTGCTTTTTATATCGCCACTAACCTCTGCATTTCTTTGTCTCCAGTTTCCTTCATTTTCTTGATAACAATAGGAACAGTAAAACTTTCTCTTCTGCAGACATGTGGGCCAGGCATTGAACAACACTGTGACAAAAATCTTTATGTAAGTGGAATCTGCTACCTGTTTGCTACCAAACTGCAAAACCCCAAGAACATAACAACTGGATATCAAAGTAAGGAGATGCATCATTATTAATATTTTAATTGTAATAGTTAACACAACAGAAGAAAGGAGTTATTAAACTCTTGGGGAATATTTAATCGAATCCAGTTTAGTTTCTGTTCAGCTTCATATATGCCCTTATCCAGGAGTCTATTTAATTTTTGACGCACCATCAACAGGAAATTCCTCAACAGTTTAGAAATCCCAATTGCCCTTTTTTCACCTGAGATGTTTTCGCTTTTTTCACCCCACAGAGTGCCTGAAAGGAAAAGTGGACCTGGTATTTCTTTTTGATGGGTCAGCAAGCATGAAAACATCTGAATTCATGACTATCAAGGAGTTCATGATTGACGTCATGAAAGAATTGTGGAATAGTTCTGTACATGTAAGGTGTTCTTACTGATTATCATGTACTGGGTGGGTTCTGCATAAGAAATTTGAATTTTTTAAGAGGCAGAATTAACTTACTTGCCATGGAGAAAGATCCTTCCTTCCATCCTTCCTTCCTTCCTCCTCTCTTCTCCTCCCCTCCCTCTCCCATCTATCCACTCCTTCCTTCCTCTCCTCCCTCTGCCTCCTTCTTCTCCTTCTGTCCATCCACTCCTCCCTCTCTCCCTCAAGAGTATTTCTTTACTACGCTGAGTTGGTGTATCAGAAGACATAACCATTAAAAGCATTAATTTGCCTCTTCTGTAAGTTCACACAACAGGAGGGAGAGAGGGAAGGAAGGAAGGCACTTGAGGTCGGACCTCTCCATTTCGGCTAAGTGTTGTAATTGTGGATCCACAGGAAGAAAGTGGATCCATTAACTCTCATTTCATCAAGGGTAACTTATCAGAAGTTGATTTTAAAAAATCATTCAAAACGACTCTGCCTTAATTAAGGAGACTGCCATAATTATAATCAGGGCTGGGAAATTCTTTTTATAGTTTTTAAGATTCTATGTTGACTCCAGATTAACATTAATGATTTTCAACCCTAACCCTTTCATCCGACCACTTTGACAAAGTGAGACATGCTGTGTTTTGCAAAAGATCTTTCCAGCCGTGCCATTAACACCAGTCTCTTTCTCTTTCTACCCTTCCAGTTTGCTGCTGTGCAGTTTTCAGAAGATGCCAAACTCGAATTTGATTTTAACAACTACACCAGTGACCCAAATCCTGAAAAGCTCTTGGCCAATGTAGTTCATGCTGAGCAAATAACAAACACCTTCAAAGCTATCAAATTTGTGGCGTGAGTAGTTTCCTTTCGGTGGCAGGAGGTTGAGGGTGGGGTGGGGGAGAGCAGCTTGAGAAGAAATCCAGTCAAGTTGGAGATTTAAAATGTTGTGTCTTTTCTAAAGATTTAGATCACAATTGCATAGAAACATCTGGTGATGAATCAAGCAGGCCATACAGATCTGGAATGTGCATTGCACTGGAGGAACAGGGGGGCTTTAAGTACAGTTTGAAATTACATTTTGCCTAATTCACTTGAGCGTGTTGCCTAAAGCTGGTTTATTGTACTACAATCATGTTTCTAATCCATGGTTAGATGAGTGGAAAGCTTAGTGACTTTCTTGGTTCTGATATTCCCACCAGGATGAAATGGGGACATAAAGCTGAAAAGGAATATGCACCTTTTCCAGTCTAAAACATCTTGCAAGTCACTTGTTACTTTTTACTGTCTTAAGAAAATGTTTGGAAAACTAAAACCTGGATGTTTCAGTCATCCAGCCACGACGAAGTGGAATTACTGGGGTGACTGTGACGTGCCATGTTATATGACACTAAAGTCATAGTTAAATAGTCTAGTCATGATTATTCCCTGGCTTAGTTTACTGTGTTGTACAAACCAGCTGATAAAAAACACTGCACTCCGCATCTAGTTTTGTTATGGTGAGGTGAGTGAAGAGAGTAGTATGAATTTTGTGTTGTGGTATGGCAAGAGGTACAAATAGTCCTTGACTTACAACCATCATTGAGCCCAAAATTCCTGTTGCTAATTGTGAGACAGTGATAAAGTGAGTTTTGCCTCATTTTATGACCTTCTTAGCCACAATTGTTAAGTGAATCACTGCATTTCTTCAATTAGTAATATGGTTGTTAAGTGAATCTGGCTTCCCCATTGACTTTGCTTGTCAGAAAGTCTCAAAAGGTGTTCACATGACCCCAGGGCACTGAAACCGTCATAAATATGAACCAGTTGCCATGCATCCAAAATTTGATAACATGTCCATAGGGAAGCTGCACCAGTTGTAAGAGTGAAAAGTGATCATAATTCATTTTTTCAGTGCCGTTGCAAATTTGAACTGTCACTAAATGAATATTTGTAAGTCAAGGATTACCTCTATTAGCTTTTAGCTGATACAACTTTCCAAATTAGATACCTTCCATAAGTAGTAGCCTTAACCTCAATTCACCCCAGCAGATAGCCTTGTTGTGCTAGTATCCTTTTAGCCTGATCGCGTCTGGAAGGATCAAATTATGGCAAGACCGCTAGAGGCCAAATGCATGTCTAAAGTTATGAATGTGCCTTCAGGTCCCAATAATTAAAGTGCACTCCACATTTTCCTTGGTTTAGATCTGTGTTTCTCAAAACTGCCATTTGTAAAATGTGTGGACTGCAACACCATGTTGGCAAGTTCGAGGAACAATGATTTAGATAATAATTCCTGTGTTTTCTGTGGCAGAAATGAAGTCTTCATTCCCGAACGTGGCACCCGAAAAGAAGCAAACAAAGTGATTGTCATTATCACGGATGGGGACGCCTCAGACAGGGACAGGGGACATATAGAAGCTGTCAAGAAAAAGAACATTTTGCGCCTAATCATTGGGGTAAAGTATCCAGAGGTGCCATCCATCAGTCTAATGGAGAGATCCACCAAGCAATATCGAAGTGATCTGCCTTATTCCTTACATTAATGGTTAATATGTAAACATGAGCTCAAAAGGAGAAAAGTGAAGAAGCATATTTCAGTCAATAAGATCAGATTTTTTTTCGGGCATTAATAAAAGTTAATTCTACACCTGTACAGATGGTCCTCAACTTATGACAACAGTTGGAATAAGAATTTCTATTGCTAAGTTAGGCAAGTTAAGTGAACTGTGCCTAATTTTATTGCCTTTTTTGTTTTTTGCTACATTTGCTAAATCTGTCTTCCTCCATTAATTTTGCTAGCTGGAAGCCGGTTGGGAATCACGTGCTACAACCATCATAAATATGTGGGGGTTGCCAAGTGCCCACATATTGATCACGTAACCCCGGAGATGCTGTGAGAGCCATAAATGCAAGGATCAGTTATAAGTCCCCTTTTTCAGTGGCTGCTGTAACTTTGAATAGTTGCTATATGAATGGTTGTAAATGGAGGACTACCCATATGTATCAAATTCTCATGTACAGTCCTCCACTTATGACCATTCATTTAGCAACTGTTTAAAGTTACAACAACATTGAAAAAAAGGGAGTTATATCCTTTATGTTGCCAAGTGAGAAATTGGTTAAGTGAGCTTTGCCCCATTTGACAACCACTCTTGTCAGTGTTGTTAAGTGAATCACTGCAGTAGTTAAGTTAGTAACATGGTTGTTAAATGAACCTGGCTTCCTCATTGATTTTGCTTGTCAGAAGGTCACAAAAGAGGATCACATGACCCCAGGACACGGCAATCGTCATAAATATGAACCAGTTGTCAAGCATCCAAATGTAAATCACGAGACTATAGGGATGCTGCAACAGTCGTGAGTGTGGAAAATGGTCATAACTCACCTTTTTTCAGTGCCTTTGTAACTTTGAATGGTCACTAAATGAACTGTTGGAAGTCAAGGACGACCTGTACTTGATTCTTTACAGCTTCCCATTCCCTTATTGCTCTTTCCTTTTTCTGCATCTTTCAATGTTTTTAAAGACTCGCTATAGAAATGCGAAGTATTATCTTAATAATTCCTTCCTTGTCTCTCCAGATTGGTAATCACCTTAATGCACCTGAGTCCCAAAGGAATCTCAAACTGATTGCCTCAGAACCCAAAAGTCAATTTTTTAAAATTCTTGCCAGCTTTGATCAGCTCAAAGACAGTTTCAATGATCTCCAGTCTAATATCTTTGCCATTGAAGGTAAGTTGGGCACAACAGGAGCCTCCATGGAGAGACTGAGGGAAAAATGCTACCTCAGTCTGCTTTTAAAACAGAGTCTTAATTGTGTTTGAAATTTGATATGAAAAAAAGAAACCCTGATAAATTGGGGACTTTCTATATAGCTGTATGTTTACTGCCTCCTTCATATTGGTGCGCTCCAGATCGATTTTGACTACCTTTCTACCAGCAATAATAGTTTGTGAATCTGGAAAAATGTTCTCTGCAGACCCCCATGAGACCACGTTGAGGAACTCCTCCTATGCCACTATAGGAGAGTTCTCCAAATTCGGCAACTTTAAGACTTGTGGACTTCAACTGCCAGAATTCTTCAGCCAGATGGAAGCTGAAGTCCACAAGTCTTAGAGTTGTCTAGTTTGGAGAGCCTTACTCTAGAGCCTTCCAACATATATGCTTTGCCCAACAGGCCTGGTGCTTCTAAGATAGGCCTTGGAGGGCAGAATTTCCAACAAACCTTACCAAGCAATAGAAATCAACCTTGAAAAGACAACTGATAAATTTCCAGCCTTTTAGGGCACCAGCGTCTCTGGCCTAGTCCCTATTATCCTTTCATTCATTCCACAAATACCTTGGCTGAGGGAGCTCAGTGTGAGGGAATGTACCTAGAGGACTGACCTTCCCACTCCCCAGTCATTTTCCATATCTGTATGTGGGATTGGCAATGTAGATCACCAAATCTCTAAATTAGATTTGTCTATATGTGGACATGGGCTGGCAATGCCCTCCAAATTTGCATTTTCTTACCCTTGTTTTCTGGGATGGGAGGGGGCAAAGGGTTGTGAAAAGGCCTCAGCCATCCCTCTCTCCCATTTTTCTTCATGATCTATTTTTATTTTATTGAAAAAAAAAGGTAAAATACAAAATGCAAATACAAAACATTTTTTCCTTTCAAATAAACAAAGGGGTGTGTGTGAAAACTGAGATATTTAAAAAATGCATTTAAGAACCCCTAACACCTATACACATGTTATTCCCATTAGTTGAATACTGAACTGATTAATGTATTACAACAATATTAATTTCTCAACCCTTGTGAAACTGGCTCAAAAAATAAAAACATTTCCCCATCTTTCTTCATGACAGGCACCAGTGACAGCAGATCCTTCCACCTGGAATTGTCATCCAGCGGATTCAGTGCAGATATATCCCAGGTGAGGCTGAAGGATTGGAAAGACCCCCTTGCCCCTCCCACCTATGGACTTGACTTATGATCTCAATTGGGACCAGAATTTCCATTGCTAAGTAACATGATTTTTAAATAAGTTTTTCCTGATATTTTGACCTTTTTTGCCACAATGGTTAAGCAAATCACCACAATTGTTAAGTGAATCACATAGCTGGTGAGCAAATCCAGCTTCTCCCATTGACTTTGGCTGGGAACAGAGGTGGTATTCAGCAGGTTCTGACCAGTTCTGGAGAACCAATAGTGGAAATTTTGAGTAGTTGGGAGAACCGGAAAACACCACCTCTAACTGGTCTCGGCTCCATCTATTCTCCGCCTCCCGAGTCCCAGCTGATTGGCTGGATCTTCTTTTGTTGCCCTCCACAGGAGAATGGAGCTAGAAAGCAGGTTAGTGGGGTGGGGTGGGAATGGGGATTTTGCAGTATCCTTCCCCTGGAATAGGGCAGGAATGGAGATGCCATGCCCGCCAACCCACACCACACCCACCAAGCCACGCCCACAGAACTGTAGTAAAAAATTTGAATCCCACCACTGGTTGGGAAGATTGAAAATGGAGATCATGTGACCTCAGGATGCTACAACTGTCATAAATACATGTCAGTTGCAAGTGCCTGAATTTTGATCACATAACCAGATTATGCTGGCTGGAGAATTTGGGGAGTTGAAGTCCATGCATCTTAAAGTTGCCAAGGTTGAGAAACACTGGTATGGATTCATCATCCTTAAAACATTTGTTTTTAAAGAAAAATCAGGGCTGAGAATACCTCTGAATGAGCATGTTATAAGGTTGCTATCTCTGCTTCCTGGTGATCTCCCTTTGAAAAGCAAGATCTTTTGGTCTGCAGGGTCGGGTGATTCTTGGTGCTGTGGGTGCTGACAACTGGGCTGGGGGCATTCTGGAGCAGCAGAAGGATTTTGCTGGTGAAAGATTCATCACAACTCCCTCAGTCCGGAAAGAGATGGAAGGGGCCTACTTGGGTGAGTAGAGGATGCCAATAAAATCTGAACCACTCTTTCATATCCATCATCATGTGTTGGCTGAAGATCGTGGCTGTTCTGAGTGCCAGTTTACGGAAGGTGGATCTGGATGTTTGTACAAACTGAAGTTAGTTTTTGTTTTGCTTATCCTATAGAACTGGGCGATACATTGCCATCTTTCCTATGGAACAAAGGGTTATGAGTCAAACCTGTCTTTCAATCTTGTGATCGCTTCTTGTTGTTACAAATATATTTAAAATTATTCACAAACTTGAATACAGGTAATCCTCGACTTATGACCAGAACTGAGCCCAAAATTTCTCTTACTAAATTGTAAACTGGGTTTTGCCTCATTTTACAACCTTTCTTTCCATACGTGTTAAGTGGAAAACTGTAGTTGTTAAGATAGTAACACAGTTGTTAAGTGAATTTGGCTTCCCCATTAACTTTTCTTGTCAGAAGATAACAAAAGGTGACCCCCCCACCCACCAAGGTATACAACCGTCATAAATTTGAGCCAGTTGCCAAGTGCCTGAATTTTGATCATGTGATTATGGGCATGCTACCACAGTTGTAAGTGTGAAAAACAGTCATCAGTCACTTTCTCAGTGTGGTTGTAACTTCAAATAGTCACTAAACAAATGGTTGTAAGTTGAAGACTACATATAGTAATATCCAATAAGTATTTGGGTATAAAGTGAGTACAGTAACTCCTATGAAGGGTTTTATTCTATGAAACCTTTGCCTATAGCCTTGATGGCTGCACAGACTCAATTATTTATATAGATCTCTAAATACCAATTGTTAAAAAAAGCAATTTAACATACTGTGTGAACGCAGGGATTGTGGTTTATAAACATATGGCCTGCTGATTAGCATTTTGTATAAACCTAGTTGTACTGATATGCTTTCCTTAGTAAGTACACCAAATTTAATGTAATGTATAAATCTAGCTATTGTGACTTATTTAAGAAGCTGTAGTGAAAACAAGATTTGATGTAAAACAGTGTGTAAACCCAGGCAGAGTGTCTAATCTTTCCTATTATAGAATTGAAGAAGAAGCTGCTCTGTTGTGCAAAAGGCCCTCAGTCTAACTCAATGTTTCTCAACCTTTGCAGCTGGAAAATCTGTGGACTACAACTCCCAAAATTCCCCAGCCATCATGAATTTAAGGAGTTGATGTCCACACATCTTAAAGCTTCCAAGATTGACAAACATTAGTCTAACCCTTCTGTGGGATGTCCATCCATCATGTTTTTAACCTTCACAGGGTACACACTAAGTTTTCTCCAGCATCATCAGAAAGTGTTCTACGCCGTTGGTGCCCCTCGATACCAACATATTGGAAGGGTCCTCATATTTGAGGTTGATGCCAAAACTGAGAACTGGACATTAAAGCAAGAAATTAAAGGGCAACAGGTAAAGAAGAAAAAATAGAATAATAGAGTTGAAAAGAACTTTGAAGGTCTTCTAGTCATAAGGAACTTTCTAGATGTTTTGGTCCACTACTGCCTATCTGTATTATTAGAACTAGGCTAATGTTTCCCAACCTTGCCAAATTGAGTGGACTTCAACTCCCAGAATTCTCCGCAGTGGCCAGGCTGGCTGTGGAATTCTACGAGTTGAAGTCTATACACCTGGAAATTGCCAAGGTTGGGAAATCCTGATAGAAAAAGGATGGTCATGGTGGCCCAAGAAAACCTAATCAAGATTCCTCTACTTCTGTTTCCCTAGTAGATAGCAGTGGCTGAGAGGTTAAGCTAGAATCACAAAGTCTGTGGTAGTCAAAATCAGAAAAAGCCTGATAGCGCCTTTTTAAAATTATAAATATTGTGTGTGTAGATCACTTCACCGAAATAGGATTTACACATGACAAACATCAGAAGGGATCTGATAATACTGACAAATGCATTTTATTGTGTGACTTTTGTGAGCTGTAGCACACTTCATCAGGTACATGGAATAATTAAACATGGGGTACCCAGGGAGAGAGAGAAAGAGAGAGAGCGGGAGGGAGAGAGAGGACAGAAATGGAGGGAGATGGGATGGTTTTGCAGATGAAGATTCAAGGGAAAAGATTACAAATATATTGCCAATTAACAAATGTAATGTGTTTAAGACCCAGAGTGTATGTTCAAATGTTCAAACAGGCCAAACTTTGTCAGACAATGTAAATGTACTAGATTATAAGGTAAGATAAGACGATAAGGTAGTATAGGGTAGGGATAGGGTAGGGTAGGATAGGATAGGATAGGATAGGATAGGATAGGATAGGATAGGACAGGACAGGACAGGATAGGATAGGATAAGATAGAATAGGATAGGGTAGGGACAGAATAGGGTAGGGATAGGATAGGATAGGGACAGGATAGGGATAGAAAAAGGATAGGATATGGATAGGATAGGGATAGGATATGGATAGGATAAGGATAAGATAGGGATAGGATAAGGATAGAATAGGAATAGGATAGGGATAGGATAGGGATATGTTAGGAAAGGATAGGAAGGGTAGGGTAGGGGTAGGGTAGGATAGGGATAGGGATAGGATAGGATAGGATAGGATAGGATAGGATCAGATAGGGATAGGATAGGATAGGATAGGATAGAATAGAATAGGGATAGGGATAAGATAGGGATAGGATAGGGATAGAATAGGGATAGGATAGGGATAGGATCGGATAGGATAGGGATAAGTTAGGACAAGATAGAGTAGGGTAGGGTAGGATAGGACTGGACTGGACAGGAGAGGAGAGGACAAGTCAAGATAAAATAACTTCATTGCCATTTTTGACTGAGAGCACATTGGCAGACATTAAAAATGAAAGTATGTTGCCTGATCTCAGGAGAAAGTGTATATCTATCCGAACACATACATAACACACATATGCACATGCTATACACACACAGACACACAGACACATATACACACACATATATGTGTGAATGGGTGGGTGTGATCATTTCAAAGTATAGTGCAAAGGTCAACTGTTATTATCTATGATTAGGGATCCTGTGCTGGCACTCTGTCTTTTCACTCTATGGTTTTGATGCCCCTTTTGCAGACTGGCTCCTACTTTGGAGGGGTGCTTTGTGCCGTGGACATAGATGGTGACCAGGAAACAGACCTGCTGCTTATTGGAGCCCAGCAATACTTCACTGAAACAAGAGGAGGCCGGGTTTATGCGTATGGCTGGGAAGAGGTAAGCCAGGAAAATGGACAGAGCAATACAGGTAGTCCTCGACTTGCAACAGTTCATTTAGTGACCGTTCAAAAGTTACAGCGGCACTGAAAAAAGTGACTTACGGCCATTTTTCACAGTTATGAAGTTTCCAGTATGATCATGTGATCAGATTCAGGCGGTTGGAAACTGGTTCATATTTATGACAGTTGCTGGGTCCCAAGATCACGTGATCCCCTTTTGTGACCTTCTGACAACAAAAATCAATGGGGAAGCCAGATTCACTTGTCAATCGGACCACTCACTTATCAACCGCAGTTATTCATTTAACAACTGAGGCGAGAAAGGTCATAAAATGGGACAAAATTCATTTAACAAAGGTCTCACTTAGCAACATCATTTTGGGGTTCAATTATGGTTGTAAGTTGAGGACTACCTGTGCATATCCAACACATCTGTGAGGTGCCCACATTGTGTCCTAAATTTGGAGGGTGGACGCTCTTTCAAAGATATCTTTCCTTCCAGGATAATCTCATTCTCCTTGGAGAATTTAATGGGGATTTAGGATACCCCTTGGGCAGATTTGGAGCAGCCATCACAGATCTGGAAGACATCAATGGAGACAAACAGACAGACGTGGCTATAGGAGCTCCCTTAGAGGATGAAGAGAGGGGAGCGGTCTACATCTACAACAGCCACGAGAAGACTCTGCTTATGGAGTATAGCCAGGTAGGACTACAGCAATGGTGTAGCATGCTAGGTTCACCTGAGAGATTCGCTAAATGCCACATCCAGCTGTTTGCTGCTGATCTCCAAAGCTAAGTAGATCAGATTAGAGTAACAGTTGGATTAGAAACCACTACAAAATGTTAGAGCTGTAGGCATCTCAGAAGATGTCAATGGTCAAGTGTTTCCGTATTGTTCAGTAAATTACATGGATATGTGTGTAAAATCACCAAGGGGGGGGGGGGGGAATCAGTTTGAAGGATATAAAAAATAGAAAATGTTACTTGTAAAAGAAATAAACTAAAGGATCCTATGAGCCCAGGCCACTGAACTAGTCACGACACTTCCAAAGGTGCTTTTTTAAAGAGGCAACTGGACTTTCTGGTTTTCCTTTGAAGATGTTTTGCTTCTCATCCAAGAAGCTTCTTCAGCTCTAACTAGCAGTCAGAACTTCTTCAGCAGTCAGAGCTGAAGAAGCTTCTTGGATGAGAAATGAAACATCTTCAAAGAAAAACCAGAAAGTCCAGTTGCCTCTTTAAAAAAGCACCTTTGGGACAACCATGACCTGGATGACTAAGAATCTCCATAGATATTTAGCCAAGAGACTGCCCTGAACATTTCTATGCATCAACAAGAGTTCATAGAACACTTCTGATACATTCACTTCACATTCTGAAAGTCTTGGGTTGGGACGACATTAGAGCTAGAGAGTTGATGGCTTACAACAGGAATATCCAATCTTGACAGCTTTAAGACTTTTGGACTTCAACTCTGCCTAGGGAATTCTGGGAGTTGAAGTCCACAAGTCTTAAAGTTGCCAAGGTTGGACACCCCTGGTCTACAAGGCTTCTTCTGTCTGTCAAATGTTATGTCTTTGAATAAATAGTGCCAACATGACTGACCAAAGAAATCCTGCATCTCTTCTGTCAATCACTCCTTAGTAGATCTTTTGTAATAAGAAAAAAAGGATGTGAAATTATTGGGGGATGGTAGGAGGAGGATTACAAATGGAAAAGACCATTGACTTCAGGCTTGGAAGGATAGCTACATTAAAAAAAAAACTTTTGGATGACCATCTATCATCATTCCAAGAAAGTAAAAAAATATACTAAAATGTGGAATAGAAACAGTAAAATGTAGTTTAAAAAATTAGTTTTTGAAGCACCAGCTTTCTGAAGGAATCAGTCTAAAAAGGCTCTTTCAGACTGGAACTTCACTTCTAGTTAAGTCAACAGCATTTATCTCCCGCAGAGAATTACTGGAGCCAGCATTTCTCCTGGTCTGAGATATTTTGGACAGTCCATCCATGGAAAGACAGACCTCAATGGAGATGGCCTCACCAGCATAGCAGTAGGAGCCTTGGGAAAGGTGATGGTGCTCCAGTAAGTGACCGAGAGTTCATATTCTTGGGTTGTCCCAGATGTGTCTGTAAGACTTCAGAAAGTGAAAGAAAGATCAGAAAGTGAAGGGAAGAGCAGTTGTGGGACACATAACAATATTTTCAGTTTCCGCTACTGTATTTCTTAAACTGGGAACTTATTAGAAGAATTTTCATTTCCTATAGCAATAACAAGGAACTCGAGAAAGGATTACATCTAAACGAACAACAGAATGGAAATTTCTCAGCGTGTAGGAAGCAATTCACTTTTTGTTATCTTCAAAAGATACTACAAAGAAAGAAAAATAGGCTTTAGATATTTCAAAGATTCATTTTTCCTTTCTTGAGGCTTCAGCAGAATAATTGAAAATAACAAACAAAAATAGACTTTTCATTTAAATAGTGAAGATAAGGAATTTGAAATTAGTGTTATGTTACGAAATTTACTATATAACTTGAGAAAGAGAAACAATCTGATTTTACTTTTTCTTTCTCTTGTTTCAAAAATAGAATTAAACATTAAAGGGAAACTCTACCTCTTGTTAATGATAATTAATTATGGGGAAAGAGAAAATACAACATTCTTACTTTGCGGAAGGTGATTGACTTTTCTCTAATTGGCTGAGATGGGAAGGAGTAAATTATTGGAAATAAAATCCCTGGATTTTAGGAAGATTAAAGTCTGTCTCATCTGGAAAATTATTTCTCAAATTAAATTATAATTACAGGTACTCTTTGACTTAGGGCCATAACTGAGCCCAAAATTTCTGTTGTTAAGTAAGACATTTGTTAGCTGAGTTTTGCCCCATTTTACTATCTTTCTTGCCATAGTTGTTAAGCAAATCACTGCAGTTGTTAGTAAGACAAATAAGGTTGCAAAAGGCGATCACAAGACCCCAGGACACGGCAACCGCCATAATAACCTGTGGCCAAATCTCTGGATTTTGATTACATGACCGTGGGGATGTTGCAGTGGATGGTCATAAAAAATATAAAGTCATTTTACTACAAATAATAAATCTTATACAAACAATAGCTATAACTATTATTCTCAAAATCTATTCCCCATAATCTTCACATATCCTTATTAAACATTTTCCATTATTTAATTAAATGCTCTGTTTGGTTTTGTCTAACTGCCGCTGTAACTTTGAATAGCTACTAAATGAATGGTTGTAAGTCAAGGACTACCTGTAATTGTTTAATTGTATAACATAGTGCTTTCCATGGAATCTACAGATCATCCACAATTTTAAACTCCTACATTTCTTTCTCTTCCATAGTAAATAGTCTCTTTCCCTCCTCACCTAAACATAGAAGCTTTGATCCACAGGGACTAGTAGAATATTTTTATTTTCTGGTACTTGCAGATCTAGACCAATTGTTAACGTGGCCACACGAGTGACTTTTGAGCCCAAGGAAATTCCCGTGAAAGATGTTGAGTGCACCGGGCCCAGCAAACCCTGGCAAAATATAAATTTGAAACTCAGGATCTGCTTCGATAACACCTTTGCCACAGAAAGTTACACAGGTGAGTCAGTCATCTGGAAGACAGCCAAACTGCGGGACTGATCCCGGAACCCAACCCAAAGAAGAATCCAGCATTCACAACAGTTACACAGCAAGTGATATGAGGACAAGGCGAAACACACCGTGGTTTCCTTGATGCTAGTTGCTTTCCTATGAAATTGCCAACTTTAGAAAGAACCCAAATGTAGAATCGGCCAGTCCATTATATTGGAGTGTTTTCTGTGTTTGCGTCTTGTTATAGTCTTCAGGTTTTTTCCTCACTTAAAATGGCATGGTGGTGTTAGACCAGGGGTGTCAAACTCAATTTCATTGAGGAACGGGGGGACGGGGACATGTAGCCCTCTCAAACTCCGTTTTTCGCTGGCAGAGGCACCATGGGCCAATCCTTTGTTGTTTCCAGGACAGCCATGCAGGCCTGATTTAAGCACCCCATGGGCTGGATCCGGCCTGCGGGCTTTGAGTTTGATACCCCTGTATTAGGCTAAGCAAAGCACTACCAAGGCTTTGGACTCAGCTGTGTCTTTCATTCAGGGCTTTCAACGTTGCTCCTTTTTAAAAGTAGTTTTCTGTTTAGGCAACAATGGCATTGGTATTCTTTATGAATAGCCTCCAATTGCTTAAAAAAGGGGTCTCCAAACTTGGCAAATTTTAGACTTGTGAATTTTAAAGTTACCAAATTTGGAGAACTTTGGATTATACAGATAGTCCTCGACATACGACCACAATGGAGCCCAAAATTTATGTTGCTAAGGAAGACATTTATTAAATGAGTTTTTTACCCATTTTAATGACTTTTCTTGCCGCAGTTGTTAAAGTTTATTATGGCAGTTGTTAAGTTAGTTACATGGTTGTTAAATGAATCTGGTTTATCCATTGACATTAGCTATAGCACTTAGACTTACATACCACTTTATAGTGCTTCACAGCCCTCTCTAAGCAGTTTACAGAGTCAGCATATCACCCCCAACAATCTGGGTGCTCATTTTACCCACCTCGGAAGGATGGAAGGCTGAGTCAACCTTGAGCCTTGGTGGGATTTGAACTGCCAAATTGTAGCTTGCAATACAGCACTCTAACCACTGCGCCACAGAAGCTCCTTTGCTTATCAGAATGTTGCAAAAGGTGACCACGTGATCTTGGAACACTGCAACTGTCATAAACATGAATTGTCAACTTTCAGAATTTTGATCATCTGACCGCAACAATTGCAAGTGTAAAAAATAGTCATAAGTCACTTTTTTCAATGATGTTGTAACTTTGAACAGTCACTAAATGAATTGTTGTAAGTCAAGGACCATATGTAATAATCCTCTTGGGGACTTTCTGTAACGATTCCTTCTAATACTTTTTCCCCTTAGCACAATTTTGTCTTTGATTATCTAAAAGAGAAGAAAGCATCCGTTTCCTTGGCATTTTTTATTTTAAAAAGTGATTATTGTTTTTAATCCATTTTGTATAGGTTGTCCTCGATTTATGATTGGTTACTTAGGGATCATTTAAAGTTACGATCTACCTAAAAAAAGGAACTTATGAGGACTTCCTGTTTACTTCCTGTTTCCTGGTTTTTCCCTCTTTTTTTTAAAGGCATGGGATGTGGGGGGGGGGGGAGGATTTGTATTTTTGATACAACAGGATCCAGAGATTTGCTGTGATAGTCATCAAAACAGACAGAGGACTTGCAGAGTGTCTCCTCTGTCTTTTACACACCGGCCATTTTCTTCCTTCTAGGACACCTGTCTGTAAAACTCTTGTACCGCTTGGAGATTGACCCAGACAGGGTGAAGTACCGAGGAGAATTTAGCAATGGCAAGAATATTCTAAACGGAGCTAAAGAAATCTCTCTAAAGCCAGTGTGTGTATTGGAGGAGATTAATATCACGGTAAATCAAAGCTACTCATTCTTAAACCTCTTACTTGTGTTGCTAATGGTACAGTGAAAGTGATACATCTATAGGGAAAAGGATGAAGAGAAAACACAAGAATTCCAGCAAGCAACTTTATTTCTAACTGTGGAATCTTCAGGTAGCCCTGGACCTACGGCCACAATAGGGACCAGAAAATTCATTGTTAAAAGGTGCAATTCTTAAGTGAGCCATCATATGACTTCAACTTGCAGACTTTCCCGGCTGGCTTTCCCATTCTCCACAGTCAGGGTTCCCCAGGCCCACAGGCTGAATCATGTCTTCAGGGCCTTCTGAAACAATGTCAGAGTAGGGGGCCAATCTAATTTCCAGAGGGATGATGTTCCAAAGAGAAGGAGTCACCATGGAGAAGACCCTTCTCCTGGGTCCCACCAGATATATCTCCTTAGGGAATAGGACCTGCAACATTCCTTGCCTAAGTCCCTTGTTTCAACCCTTTGTAACTTTAGTACCAAACCAATGGAAGACTACCTGCATTGTTCAGAGATTTCTAGATTTCTTCCTCTGGTGTATTGGTGAAACAAGGAAGGCACTAGCATCTTCTTGGGAAGGTTGGCTGCCCTCAGATATTGCTAGTGTGATCGTTACTAGCTATGTTATTATACAAGAATCTTTGTTTAAGCAGCTTCTTTCATTGTTCTTTCAGAACTGCATTGAGGATTACTTGTCACCCATTAAGGTCCTTGTGAATTTGTCCCTTGAGGAAGACAGTGTGCTAAAGAGTGGACCTCCCAGGCCTTTTCTGGACCCTTTAAGCAATAGGACAATGGTGGAGGTGAGACACTCTTTGTGTGTGTGTGTGAGAGAGAGAGGGGGGGGAGGGAGGGAGGGAGAAATAACAGATTTAACCATCAGCATAAGAGACTATTTGTAAATCAGGTTTGAACTGTGGTGTCCTTGGTGCCCTCTGAGCTTGGTTGTTTTCTGGCAGACATTTCATTACCAAACTAGGCAACATCATCAGTGCTAGCAGAGAGTGGGGTTTGCTCTCTGTTTATATATCAGTGGCTTGCTCTGTCAGTGTTGGTGGGAATGGTCTTGATGGTTCTTTGATCGGGGTATTGTCCACTGTTAGCTTGTTTGGCTAACAGATTAATATTAGACCAACAATCAAGAAGCAAAAATAACCCAATCAAGGAACTGCCAAACAAGCTAACAGTACAGAGCAACCCAATCAAGGAACTATCAAGACCATTCCCAGCAATATTGACAGGGCAAGCCACTAGAATATAATATGAGAGCAAATCCCACTCGCTGCTGGCCCTGATGATGTTTGGCCCTGATGATGACTTGACATTTCAAGTTTGGCAATGAAATGTCTGCAAGAAAACAACCAAGCTCAGAGAGCACCAAGGACCCACAAATTTAGCCATGAAATCAGATGTGCTTAGCGGCTTGTGGCAGAACTGGGAATGCAGGAAATGACACTGTTTGAATGAACCTGAATTTCAACAATTAAGAGACAACTGATTTCCCTAGGATGGAGATAGGTAGGATGTAATAATAACTTAAAGCTAGCTGGGAGGAAACCAGAAGGCAGGCTTCAACCTGGCAAATTTCAGCATTGGGTAGATGTGAGGTTCTTGGTCACCCAGGTCATGGTTGTCCCAAAGGTGCTTTTTTTTTTTAAAGAGGCAACTGGACTTGCTTGTTTTTCTTTAAAGACATTTTGCTTCTCATTCAAGGAGCTTCTTAAGCTCTGCCTGGATGGTGGGGAATGGAAGGATTTATATTCTTTACAGACAGCTGGTCATTTCATTGAGGCCACTTGGAGGTTTGTCTGTGTCCTCAGGGTCACCTGAGTAGTGGGGGAGTGGGAGGGATACGACATCATGTACCTCCAATCTACAACACCGTCCTTTCAGCAGTTGCAAGAAGGCTCCACGCCCATTTGCACTGCTCAGGACAGAACACAGACAAACCTCCAGGTGGCCTCAGTGACCCTCTAAAAGGATGCGAATGACCAGCTGTCTGAAAGGAACATGGATCTTTCCATTCCGCACCATCCAGTCCGAGCTGAAGAAGTTCAGCAGGGTGAGGTATTTCACTGGACACAGGGCTGAGATTCTACCGGTTCGGACCACTTTGGGTGAACCGGATATTAAATTTACATCTGGTTCAGTGAACTGGTAGTTGAACCAACTGGCTGGCCCCACCCCTCCCCTCCCCTCCCCTCCCAGGAGTCAGGTGCAGGTAAGCGCAGGGTTCACCCGGAGGCCCTGGGAGGGTAAAAAACAGGTCTTCCAGAAGTCTGGAAATGGGCCTGTTTCCAGCTTTTGGGGGGCCTCCGAATCCCGGGGGAGGGCAAAAATGGCCCGAGGGAAGCCTCTGGACCCTGGGGAAGGCGAAAAATGGCCCTCCCAGAAGTTCCAGTAGACCATGCCCACCATGCCCACGCCCACCCAGCAAACTGGGCAGCAAACCAGTTCCTCAGATTTTTTAATCCCGCCCCTGACTAGACATGTGTAAATATTTCCTATCTTATAAAATACAACAGATTCCTTTTGACAAGAACTGTGGAACAGATGAAGTGTGTGTAGCTGACCTGAAAATTATTTTCCATTCTTCAGGGTGAGTATAAATTCCTTGATACTGTCAGGAACTTTTCTTCAAAAAATATGAGAAAAATCAGAAGCTGTCCAAGAATGGCAGGGCTTCAGTTTCGTCAATACTAATCCACATTCATGTAGTCTGGTTTTAAATACCAGTAGTCCTCACTTAACCACCAGTTGCTTTCTGGCTGTTCAAAGTTACAATGGATCCCATTATGGTGCATCCTTTGCAGTCATGTGATCACATTTCAGCACTTGGCAGGCAAGTTCATATTTACGACTGGTTGCAGCATTGCATGGTCCCATAAATTGCAATTTGCGAGTTTTTTTTTCTAGTTTCTGGTACGAAAAACACCCCTTTGGGAGAAAGGATCTGCTTATTGATCAAATGATTTGCTTAATGACCATAGAGACTCACTTCATAAAATAGGTCATTAAAATAAAGTCAAGTCACATGGTGATGCACTTAATGATCACCAAAATTTACAACAAAAATTCTGGGCTCAATTGTGATTGTTAAATGGGGATTGTATGTAATTGTTTTAATAATCCTTATATTTAGCTTTGTAAGGTATTGCAATTTAATATGAAGCTGGGTGAAGCCACAGATAGCAAATGTGGCTACAGCGAAGAATCCTTGAGATTTTAGGCTGCTGGAGTTGAATAAATGATCTTTCAGAAACTCCTAGCTTCTCTTCTACCCCAGTTTCTTCAGTTCTAACGGCTACAGGGAGAAAATGCATTGGGTAAGCATTCTTGTGGCTCCCTAGCAAGATTGCCGGGCCTCAGGGATGCATCAAAAGAAGGATGGTGTCAAGATCATGTGAAGTCCTAGTACTGCTTTACATTGTACCGGCAAAACCATATTTGGAATATATTTTTAAGAAGAGATTGGACAGCCATTTGTTCAGAACAGTGTAGGTCTCCTGCTCAAGTACAGGGTTGGACTAGAAGATCTCTAAGGCCTCTTCCAACTCTGTTATTCTGTATTTGATTCTGTTTTCTGTATATTTATCAAAACTGGGAATGGAATAGCACTAATCCATTTCTTCTCCTGTTCAATAGGTCCAAGGAACTGATTGTATCTCCTCAACATCCACTTGAAATGAATCTGGAACTGGTAAATCAGCGGGAAGATGCCTATTTTACAATGCTCTACGTGCCCCTGTTGCCAGGCCTTTCTTTCCGCAAACATTCGGTGCTGAAAGTACGTATGCCACCTTTTCGAAGGCGGGACTTTGCAGTAGGTGTCCCCACCCCACCAGGTGCTGTAATTCTCTCTGCTGGAATAGCCTATATTTCCTCATCTCCCCTTGACCTGTCTGAAGAACGGTAGCTAAAGGAGTTTGAGCTTTTTGAAAACGGAGTGTTTCTAATGGCCCAAAAGTCTAGGCTATATGGTGAGTGTAAACTCTCTATGGCAGGGATCCCCAACCTGTGGGCCATGGGCTGTTGGCCACCGGGCCGCTTGAGTGGCTGGCCAGTACACACGTGTCCCCGCATCCCACTCACGCTAGTGTCACAGCATTGCGTTGGTGCTATCATCGCCACGAGCACACACTCCCCCCACTCGCACTAGCATCGCGTCATCGCGTGGGTACTATTGTTGGTGCGAGCGCACCCCCCTCTTATGATTGCATTGCAGTGTCGTGTGGGCACTAGCATCTCTCTAACATGGTACGGGTAGGTGCTCATGGCCCTGTTTGCATTGTGCGTGCAATCGTGGCCTTGTTCACACATGTACACGTAAAGATGGCTTCTGTCCCAGACCGTCAATCCAGAAAGGTTGGGGACCCTTGCTCTATGGCATGGGTCTCACCCCAACTTGCATTAGCCCACTCCACTCACTCTGGCTGAAGGTGCAGCAGCCAGTGAATTCTAACTGGAGGGGTTAGAATTTTCTGCCCTGGTTCCCTCCCTCTGAAATACCCCTTGAGATGGGATCCACCCCCCCCATCCTGATTTTGGTCTTCTGAAAGGGCCTGATAACCTGGCTATGCCAGTTGGCTTTGGGGCCTGAGAGAGACATCCTTGTATGGGGATGGTTAGTAGATTATAAGATCCCACCTGCATCTCATTTACATATTGGTTTTTTCAATTCAGCTTGTTGAGAATTTTAATGTTTTAACTTTTAAGGCTCAACATTTTTAATGTTTTAAACCTTTTATTTCTTTCATATTGTTGTTTTATTATTTACTTGTAACCTGCCTCTGTTATTTTTATAAATAACTCAAGGCGGCGACCATATCCAACATACCTTCTTCCTCCTTTTTTCCTCACAACCACCATCCTGTGAGGTGAGTTGAGCTGAGAAAGAGTGAGAGAGTTTTATGGCATTGTAAACCACCTAGAATCGCTTGATAGGGAGATGGACAGCATATAAATATAATAAATAAATGTAGTCCAGAGCTGCAGGAAGGAGGGACTTTTTCCCAGAGGCCAAAGAGACAGCAAAGCTGGGAGTGCCTAGTAGGCAAGAAGAGAGTGAAAGCAGACCCTCCCTAGCAATTCACAGAGTGTATTTATAGTTGTACAGATTCGGTCTCAAGATTTCTTTTGTAGGCAAACAACAATAAAGAACTATTTAGAAGTGTAGGTAGTCCTTGACTTATAACAATTTGTTTAGTGACTGAAGTTACAACAATACTTTAAAAAAAAATGACATGACTGTTTTTCACACTTACGACCGATACAGCATCCCCGTGGTCACATGATCAAAACTCAGCTGCTTGGCAACTGAGTCGTGTTTATGACGGTTGCAATCTCTCGGGATCCTGTAATCATCTTTTCTGATCTTCTCACAATCGAAGTTATTGGGGAAGGCAGATTCACTTAACAACTGTGTTGCTAACTTAACTGAGTTGATTCACTTAACAGCTGTGTCAAGAAAAATGTGTAACATGGGACAAAACTCTTTTAACCACTGTCTTGCTTAGCAACAGAAATGTTGGGGGCTCAGTCATGGTCATAAGTCAAGGATTACCCGTAACTCCGCATGTCATTTTTGGTTCATGAATCTTGCCAGACTAAAGCAACTATCTGTATAAGATACACTCTGTGAACTGCTAGGGAGGCTCCGCCTTCACCCTCTTCCTGACTACCAGACATTCCCAGTTCTGCTACGGTATCTCTTTGCCCTCTGGAAAAGAGCCCTTCCTTCCCGTGACCCTTGATCACCACATCCCATCACAGAATAACCGGTCTTGAGTTAGAAAGGAAAAAGTCACAGCAATTAAACTGAATCTCACCACCGCTTCTCTTCTTCCTCAGTTCAATGCTGTGGTCATCCTGCAATGTGATGCAATGCTTCGTCGTCAGGACTTTCAAGGCCTCGCTTGCAATGTCAGTCACCCCATCTACAGGAATAGCACAAAAGTATGTATACGGTCACCCTAGTGAGGTGGTAGGGGGATGGTAGTGGTGGACTTTCACCATTTTATATGCAGGATGATGGCCGTATTGTAAGAAATGCTTACCAGTACTTAAACCATGGTTTAATCAACTAACCTCATTTCCTGGGTTTGCAGGACACACTGGATTAACAGATTAACAGAGCTGGAAGGGACCTTGGAGGTCATCTAGTCCAAAAACTCAGCACATTTGCTGAGTTTGCAGACTTTATGGATAGTTGCTTGCAAACCTTGCCAGTCCTGTGCTATGTCCGGGGAAAAGACTACACTCTAAAGTCATTATAGTTGAAGGAACAAGGCAAGGTCATTCCCACATATCATTATATTGGGTTAGTCCATACATGGACCAAGGATCCTAAGGCGCTCCTAAGGATGAGTTACAATTTGCAAGTTGGTTCAGTTGCAATTCATCACAGCAATATGAAGCAATTGACCATCTTGCATTATTATTCTTTTTTTGTCTAATAGCATCCTATAAACTAGAGATTATGACTTTTTCCTAATTTTTGGAAGCAGAAGCTGCTTAAAGATGAGGCCTGTAGCAAAACTGGTATCCTGAAATAAATTATGTGCTAGTTCGCACTTTACAGGAAGCCACTGTTTGCTTATTGGCTACAGTTTTCTGAACCATCTACAATGCCTGCCTCATATATTGTGCTAAATTAAAAACAGGAGTTTTCAAACCAAAGCAGTTATGTTCGCCAAACCTTATATCAAGCAACAACAGCCCGATCACATTTACATTTGGCAACTGTTGGGTGAGTCCCGCCAATGTCTCTAATTTAGGCATCTTGATTGTGAATATAGAGGATCGGGTAGAAAGAACAGAAAATGTTATTTTTTTAAAATATACACACACACATACATACACATTGTGCAATGTCTCAGCAGTTAAAGATGCTGAGCTTGTCAGCTAGAGAGCTGATGGCTCAGGTTTGAGACCCTAACCCTGCACAACAGAGTGAGCTCCCGTTCTTGCCCCAGCTCCTGCCTACCAAGCAGTGTGAAAGCATGCAAATGCAAGTAGATAAATAGGTACCATTTTGGTGGGAAGGTAATAGTGTTCCATGTACCTTTGGTGTATAGCCATGATGGCCATATGACCATGGAAATTGTCTTCAGACAATCCTGGCTCCCTCAGCGAAAAACATAGAATGAAAAATACAGTAAAATGCTTGGCAGACGTTGTGAACTGTCTCAGTGCTGGCCTGCTCTCTCTTAGGCTTTGATTCAGCTTCAGTTTGGTGTGCTCAGCAATGTTGCCTGGAAAGAAACCTTGGAGATGACGGCTTATGTCACCAGGTAAACTTCAATTACTTATTTTACTGAACCATTCTGTTTTTATCTCTTGCAGCCTTACTATGTTAGGTGCCAACCTAGAAAGTAAAATGAGCTGTCTTAATTTTAAATCCTCCAGTTAGGATGAGAAGGGAGAGGAAAGATGAAAAATTAACAAAATTGGGGGGATCCGAAAATGTAAAGGTCTTAAAAGAAAAAGAGGAAAGGGGATTGAAGAAAAGATTCAATTGCAGCTGCAGAGAAAACCAGAATAGAAGCCATCAATGTACAGATTCTAGTTATTATAATAGTAGTAGTACAGGTATATAGTACAGTACATTACTATAATGTACTACAGTCCTCAACTTATACCATAATGGAGTCCTGAATTACTGTTATAAGTCGTGGTGGTCGTGCAAGGCACTCACACGACAGGATCCAATTTTACAACTTTTTTTGTGGCTGCTGTTAATTGAACATGTTGGTCATTAAGGGAACACCTCAGTCGTTATGTGAATCTATTTTATGCATGCTTTTTTCCACGGGAACCCACCAAAAAGGCTGGAAACCAGCCAAAATGTCATAAATCATGGTCATGTGATTGCAGAATGCTGCAACTGCCTGTGCAGCCCTCAGAACTCGGGATCTTTAAGTACCTTTTTTGGGGGAAATCCGTTATAACTTCAAATGGTCATTAAGCAAGAACCAACTATCTGTATCAGATGTTGGAGAAAAATTGTCTGCATGTTGGCTACAACAAAACGTTGCTTTCATTCTAGCCATTGTCTATCCCCTGCTGGATGAAGGCTTCTTTTGCATTCCAACCCATATGGTCCTGAGCTTTCTTTCGCCAATTGGGCCCATGATTCTTGCTGACATAATCTTGTTTTAGATCTCTTTCATGGGTTTCTGATCAAGTGGGATCCATTATATGAGTGCCTTGGTCCACCTGCCATCAGTTCTTCTTGCTAAGTGACCGGCCCATTTCCATTGCAGTTCTTTTACTCTCTTGACAATATTGTATACTTTTGTTTTCAAATCCATGTGCGTGTCTCTCTATCTTGTCTTATAATGCCGAACGTGTATCTTTCCATGGCTCTTTGTGCCACTCGTAGCTTTTGTATTGACTGTGAAGTTAGTGTCCATGTTTCACTGGCATATGTTAGAGCAGGAAGCACACAACTGATCGAAAACTTTTCAGGCATGGGGGAGCTTGTTCTTGTTTTGTTGCTTATGGATGCAGAAGTCTGGATCACCTCTGGAACGAGTAGTTCTAAGGTTATATTGTGTGTTGCTCTCTTATAGTGAGAATGAGGAGAATGAAACTCTTCAAAACAACAGAGCTGTTCATAGCATCCCTGTGAAGTACCCCATCAACATCATTGTCAAGGGGTAAGACTCTTGGTTGCCTTTCCCCCCATTTTCCTCCTGCAAATGAAAGCAGACCTGTACACCGCTGTAGTGCATTCCATAATTAAGCAGAAATAATCTAACATCCAGAACAATTGAGTCAGAGGGGATATACAGCAGGTTCTGACCAGTTCTGGAAAACCGGTAGCAGAAATTTTGAGTAGTGCAGAGAATTGGTAAATGCCACCTTTGACTAGCCCCACCTCCATCTATTCTCTGCCTCCTGAGTCCCAGCTGATCGGCTGGGTCTCCTTTTGTTGCCCTGCACAGGAGAACGGAGCTGAAAAGCAGGTTAGTGGGGTGGGGTGGGAATGGGGATTTTGCAGTATCCTTCCCCTGCCACACCCACCAAGCCAAGCCACACCCACCACGCCACTCCCACAGAATAAGTAGTAAAAAAATTTGAATCCCGCCACTGAATCTGGTGACTGTGGGTCAGTCACACTCGGATCTTGTAACTTGACAAATACTGGTGTCTGAAATTCCTGCAAAAACTTCCACACTTATTTCTCAGAAGATATGACATTTCCTGGGCTTCCAACAGCTGCTTATTGTGGCTTCATCACAAATGCAGAATATACTCTAGGGTTACTTTGCTTGGTTCCAAGATTGGACTTCTAAATGAGGTTTTATTGTGCAATTTGCTGTGGGGGGTCATAGATTATTTGGCAGAGTCCACACCTTGTCAGCTTTGAGCTGCAACCCTGCCACTTAAAAAGACTGAATGGTTGCATAATGTCTTTTACCGGTTTATGGCCTTCTGTGTGCAAGTACTGCAGAATTATTTTTCCCCTTTCAGTTAGTATAATGGACAGTTAACTTCTCTTGGAGACAGTAAATTCAAGGGGGTTCTAGTAATAATAAGATCTCTTGTTGTGACATAAATTTGGAGTGGGTTTGCCTTTCTCATCTTCTTCCTTTCTTGCTTGCTCATCCATTCCTGCTTTTGTCTCGTTCAGGTTGGGAACGTCTATCCAATACGTTGACTTCAGTTCTAAACTGCAAGAAAACAAGACCGTGACACACTCCTACCAAGTGAGTTAGCACTTGCAAGATTTCTCCCAAAATAAGAACTGTGTAATGTTTTTCATGTTCCAGTGGACTTGGGAGAAAGTGGCCCAAAGGCTCATTTTTATGTATTTTCATTTATTAAAGAAATTTACATGGCTGTCCAAGTCACACAAAGGTGACTCTGGGTGGCTTACTGCATTAAACATTACCAACGTTATAATGATTGGTTGCACAGTCAGCCAGATGTTTGGACTTGGTTTGGATTTTTGTCCATCTATTAAATCTTTCCCAAATACTTGGGTTAGGCAGATGTTGTAGTTGGATGGTGTTAAAAGGTCTTGTCACAGGATGTAAGCTGTTCCAAGCAAAGTTGCCTTTCACAATTGACCAATGGTTATGTTTTAAATGACAATGGTGTTCAAGGGATGCCCCAGATGTTTTGGGATTGCATCCAAGGCATCTCTTACTATTGGTACTATCTTTGCTTTCTTTTGCCACAGTTATTCTACTTTTATTTGCAGGTCTTTGTATGTGATGATTTTCTCTTGTTCTTTGTCTTCTCTTCTGCTGTCTCCAGGTATTGTAATGTCCACTATCCAGACTTTTTTGTCTTTATTAATGACAATTGCTAAGTGTGGTGTGGCAGATGCTCGTCTGTTTGAATTCTAAAGTTCCAGAGCACTTTGGCTTCTTCATTTGCGATTACTTTGTATTTGGTGATCCCATCAGTTTTTGCTTGCAGGCAAACAGTATTTCTTGCAGATTTTCCAATGTATCATTGTTGTTACTTTGCCCTTCACCTTCCTTCACTTCCAGGTAACTAACTGGGCCCTGGGGCCGTTCCCACCACCGACAATATTGGTATATGTCAAAGTGCCAATTAAAGTTCCTGCTGGACTGATATGGAAGATTGATAAAGTCCTAACTGCGGTAAGTCAGCTTACTTAATGGAAACCTACTTGAACTGTTATTCTGTGCTCAGATCTAAGCCCCCGAGGCTCTGTTTTATTTAAACAATCCAGTTGGTTCCATCAAAATGATCTATTGGATATATGATCAAAACTTGCAATTTGGCAGGTGCAGCAGTATGATCCAAACCTATGGTGCACTTATAAAAGAGGTGAGGCTTGGACTGTGATGTGATACCCACATCTTACAGATTTTCACAGACATATACACACTTTACAATTACCAGACACATTTAAATTTTTAAAAGAATACTGTGAATCTTCCCCGAGATATCCTTATCTTTAAATGATTTTGCCTAAGGCAAAGAGCGTTAATGTCATTTTTTAAAAATACAAGTGTGTTAGGAATTGCAGGAGGAAAAAATAATGTCCAAGTTTACAAAGGCAGGGTGGATAGCACAGCATATTTGACATAATCAATTCAGGCATACCTTTTCATATTAAAAAGTTTACAATTTACTTTGTCTGCTCGTACCACAGACAAGTAGCCAATATTTTGAACCTCCTTTTCAGATCACTGCAATGGTTTCTGTATAACCTCCAGTCTCATACTATGTTCCGACCTAATTATGTCCTTAATTAATGTCTTTAATGTTTACTCGATAATCATGACAGATAATCTGAGGCTATCATTTCCTGTTTACTCAAGAATGAAAAATATTCTTAGGGTGGATTAATGTAGAATAGTGTTTCTGGCTGGCGAATTTTGGGAGTAAAAGCCCACCCACCTTCAAGTTGGAGAAACATTGATGGGGGGGGGATCTTAGTTTCACTTTGTAGTTTACAAACTTTTTAAAAATCTTTCAGTAATTTTCTGAAGGCCTGCTGTCTAGGAAATCTAAAATAAGTTAAAGATTTTGATGCAGCAGCCTCTGGAGCGTCTTGCTGCTTTAAGTCACAGCAATAACACTGCCCATTTCAGCCATCTATTTGATGTTATACGTTTTGCATGACAATAACCTGGAATAGTTGGGTTTTTTTCAGGATCCTAATGTGAATTGCCAGCCTGATGATCATAACAAGACCACAAGGAATTATCCCATGTTAATTAAGGTAGCTTCTGTCTCTAAATATGATGTAATATTATTAAGTAATTAAAAATATGCTGCTGTACAGGGGCAAGATGGACTGGATAGTTCATGTTATATAAAAAACAGCTGGGAGATGAAAGAGAAAAGGAAGCACAGATAAACCAAAGAAAAACAGGTACTGGTAGTCTTCGACTTACAACAGTTTGTTAATTGACCAAAGTTACAACGCCACTGAAAAAAGTGACTTATGACCGTTTTTCACAGTTATGACCTTTGCAGCATTCCCCATGATCACATGATCAAAATTCATATGGAAACCAGATGCACTTAACAACTGGGTTAATAACTTATCAACTATGGCAAGTAAGGTCATAAAATGGGGGGAAACTCACTTAACAACAGAAACTTTGGGTCAATTGTGGTCGTAAGTCGAGGGCTACCTGTACTTATTTCACTGAAACAGTCTTGAGTCCAGTATATTAGGAATAGGAGAGGGTAGAATGGGCTTTACTGATTGCCAACTCAATTTCTTTTAACAATAATAACCCAAAGACAGAATTTGTCCCTCCAAATTATGCTGAGATGGAGGACAGTCAGGAGTGGATTATATGTGTCCACATGAAAAATACTGCAAGCATAATTTTAGGATTAAAACCTTTCCTGGACCAAGTTTATATTCAGAGACATCTGGGAAATCTAAGAATAATTTTCACACAACTCTCAGCTATTATTTCATATCTAGATGACGTAAGATTCTCAGGAAAGAACTGATAACTCTTGTGTGCTGATACTTACCCATTGTTTTAGGTAACTTTGGAAACTAAGGTAGTAGGTTAAAGGTTTGATGGAAGAGGTAGGCTCCAGGCAGAACTTTGAAGAAAGAAAGGAAATTCACTTCATAGGAATTAGGAATCTTCATAGGAATCTGGAAGTTAGACACTGGGTTAGAGACAGTAAGGTGAGTATTTTGGGGTTAGGGGAGATATTTGGATAACAGAGGTTGGTAGAGACAAATAAACAAAGTTGTTAGGGAAGGAAGGAAGGAAGGAAGGAAGGAAGGAAGGAAGGAAGGAAGGAAGGAAGGAAGGAAGGAAGGAAGGCTAAGAATGAGCAACTTCATTTTGAATTGTGCTTAATGATCAGCTATTCAAGAATTAATGTGTATCTAATTTTGAACTAATTTCTTCTTCTGTTCCTAGCAAAGACTCATTCATTCAAGAAATCCATTTGATAGAAAAAGCTGAATGTTTACAACACTCTCAAAAGTAGTAAACTATTCTAAAGGACACAGAAGATACTATTCTAGTCCCTCCGAGATAAAGAACATGAAGCGCTGAATTAGGAAGATTCCCTATGAATATAGAGACCTACTTCAGAGAATTTAACTAAATCACCTCAGCTTCTTCCATCCAAATGGATTTCTTGAATGAACTGGGCATTTTATGCTAGGAACACATGAATAGAGTGAAATGTACTGAAATCTTTCTGGAATTGTATCATCCATCAGTTATCTTCTTATTTTTATTTGTGTAGATCATTTGGGGCATAGCCAGTTTCTTAAATATTTTATATAAATGGTGTGATTCATCATGGAATTGCTTGATCATTAAAACAACTAGCTCCCCAAGAAATTATTCCCATCTTAATGGAAGAAGGAACACCAGAAAGTACTCTACTGTCTGATTTATCTTTTGAAGAAATAGTAAGAAACAATTTCTTCTTACCAGCCTGGGACAGGGCTATGATCCAGAAAAGGCCTTCCACCATGTCTTCTTTTGCAATATGATTATTTTCAAAGGCAATATATCGGGAGGCCTGCTATGTGTGGGAATGTTAATTTGATCAAAATAAACTGCCATTTTAAGAAATCTAACAATTCCTAAAAAAGATGATGGGTGCAGCTGAAACATTTCTTTAAATGCACTGTTTACTTTCTAGCACTGGGAAGTTGATGAATATCTTATCTACAAATGTGATCTTGGACAGATAAATTCCTCTACGATCAATGTTATTGGGATGATGTCTACACAAAGCAAATCAGAGGTAAAAACAGTTCCATAATTAATAATGGTTTCTAACCCCATTTCTTATACCTGAAACTTGGAGAATGGGAAATTGTATGTTTCCCTCATCTAATAGATGTCTGAATATTTCAGTAGGCAAGGACATTCATGAAGTGTGTGGATTGCAAAGGAAAGAAAATACAGACCTACAAAAAACTGAGATGAAGTATTAGGAAAGAGTCTGTGATGGGAGTAAATATCTAATTTAGCTATCCTTATGTCATGACATTATCCAGGTTTTAAAATAACCTGTTATTTCGTTATGATTTGTTTGGTTTTGTTTAGCATACTATAGGAACACAACTGCCAGCACAACTGAGTGATAAATTGCTGGACATCAAATGGTTATATAGATTCAAGTTTTCTAACTACCTCTGAGAATCACAGATGTGTTCATGGATTTTGAACATGTTACAATTGTTCATTCATACAGTACCTGTAATCTGCCTCACATAATCCTGTTTCCTCCTTTCCATCTACATTGCATTTGATGAAGTAACTGTAGTTACTTCATAACAAAATCGTATATTTTATGATTAGCAGATTTTACTTATGAGGTGTTACCAGCCTCCAATTTTGGGATACCATAAAGTAACATGGCTTTCCATCTAATTAAAAACCTCAAGCAAACACAAACGTTTTTGTGCGGGATATGTGAACTCCCAAAGACTTTGAATTTAGTTCTTGCACCCACATGTTTGAAAGCAAATGATTTGCTTTGATAAAAACTAGCATATTCGTTGTGTGATTTATGCTGCCTGATGCAATGTAAACTTCATTATCCTTTTATCTTGTCAGCACTCTCTTCAGACCCAGCTTTGCACAGCCTTGTGGGTTGAATTTGATACCAGAAGATACAAAAATATCTACAGTCATGAATTTGCTCAGGTTCAGGTGGGTTTGTGACTGGAATTATTTCTTTCCCCCCTTCTCTAAGAATTTTCTATATTCTTATGATATTGAAATCTTATGCTATCATTATCTTTTCTGATACAATATTCCTTCAGCCAATCCATGTATTTTAGACTGGAAGTTCTCAGAGCTATTCACAACAGGGGTCCCCAGCTACCAGGCCCACGGCCCACTAATGGGCCTTGAGCCTTTTAGAATTGGGCTGCAAAAGTGGCAGGCATAGGTGTCCACTGCGTTTGCAAATGGAGCTGCATGCATTGCTTGTCCGCTACACACATGGAACCTTCTCCCCTCCCGCTCCCTGCCAGTCTGCAAAGCCAAAACGGTTGGGGAACCCTGATTCGGAAGGTTCACATAAAGGTTGCAGAACACTTTTAAATTTATTTAATTTTATTCTTTATTATAATATGGTCAACTGACCAAACCAGCTTTGATGCAATCTACTAATTTCACCTCCTGTATTGAATAAACCATATCATCTCTTCAAATACAATCCGAAATCTAATTGGCATGTAGGTTTTGTTAGAACCAATAAAAAAACACAAACAATTGGATAAAACATTCAAGATCCTCCAAATCTCCTTCATTTTCAGACATTATTACAGAGTATGTTCAAGCACACCTCCAGAATTGGTGTTCTGGGGGATTTTTAACTACTTTTTTAAAGTTACTGAGTGAATTGAAAGGTCAAATATTAATAATAATAAATTGAGGAGAACAGAAGGGAAAATGTTATGAGATAATAAAGTTTGCATTATCAGAATCTTCAGCTAAACAGGAAGGATAGGAGACTTCATCTGTTAGCTATTGTTTTTAAAGCAACTGCTTAATAAAACTTCAATGGAGAAAAGATGGCCATATGCCAGTTTTAAATGTTTGTTTATTTATAGGATCTCGCTGGCTGTAAAGATACGATTGTGACTTTATGCCTCCCTTTCTTTCTTTTTTCTCCTTTCTTTTATATGCCCTACAGGTCACAGAAATAGAGGTGATAATTATGATGGATTATCTCCCAATTATAATAGGCAGCGCCATTGGAGGCTTGTGCTTGCTTATTCTCTGCATTATAGTACTTTACAAGGTGAGAATTACTTTATTTCAGAAATCCAGTGCAATTCTGAGGACCTGAAAGTGGGCTCTTTCTGCTCAATTGGATTTAAAAAATGATTTGATCAGTAATATTTCAAACTAGCATTGCCAACATTCAAAAATTATTCAACTCATCCATCATTACTTTATAATGTCCAAAGTATATTGTCAAGCTACAGTTTCAGCTAGGATTATTTGAGATGACAGAAATTAAGCCTAGGATCTTTTGCAAAGTGTGGACTGTACCACTGAACGGGGATAATTTCCCAGTTGCTTCCAATTATTGTTGATGTTGTCTCTGGCATGGAAAATTGTTTCACACATCCAAAAAAGAATGACTGGAATTCTTAAATTTTTAAGACTGTTCTGATTTAAATCTGATCTAGCTGCTCTACCACTTTACTTAAGTTTTTCAAACTTACTAAAGTTTGAAAAGAAATTTAATCAGAAGAACAGCATGCTTGTGGTCTGCTCTTTGGTATTTAGATTTTCCTGAAATATATCTCAGGAGAAGAGAGAAAAAACATTTGTATTTTTATAGCATTTCATCCATTTTTAAAATAATACTGTTACATTTCCACAATGATGACCGATAGCTCATTGCTTTCCCTGGGCTCTCCCAAAAGCATACTGGAGAATACACTAAGGTCTAAGCTAGTAATTTTTATATTAGGATGAGATCTTCCCTAGGGCAGAAACTTGGGAATTATAAAATGTGGCCTTATGCACTGCTCAGAACAGCTCTGAAAAATGTTCTTCAGCTGGGTGTATAGATCAATGACATGAATCAGATTTCAACCCATTTGATTTTAAAAGGATTGTTTAGCTAGTTTTATACTATTCAGTAAAACTAAGTTTCATACATAAAAAAATGAGTGTTTACATTTCCCACTAGAGACCATCGGCCTCTAGTAATTTTATTATTTAGGGCTAGATTACATATAGCCCTTGATGTATGAATACGACTGAAATGAAAAAATTCCATGGCTAAGCAAGATAGCTGTTAAGTTAGTTTTGCCCCATTTAACAACCTTTTTTGCCACAGCTGTTATATGAATCACCACAGTTGTTAAGTTAGCAACATGGTTGTTAAGTGAATCTGATTTCTCCATTGACTTTGCTTGTCAAAAAGTCCCAGAAGTTGGTCACAGGACCCTGGGATACTGCTACTGTCTTAAATACATGCCAGTTGCCAAGCACTTGAACTTTTTAATATATATTTTTTATTATTTACGTATATAACTATTGAACACAATGTGACCATCCTGGCGTTTTTTCCACCTTACACACTAAAATAAAAGACAAATAACATATGTACTATTTATACATGGCTAGTTTTGTACAGTTGTTTTTGACCAATATACTCATTTTGGTACATATATAGTGTCATATTCCGGGTCTACTAAGCCTAATTATTTCATGTTCCAACTCCCACCTCTCAATTCCAACCATTGGTAAAATCTGTTCCATATGTCGCAATATTCTGTCTCCCCTTTGTTTTTTAGTTCTAACATTAAGTCTATCCAATTTTGAGCAAACCAATATTTTCTTTATTATCTCCCTTTCTGACGATGTATTTTCACTTTTCCATTGCTGGGCATATACCATTCTCGCTGCTGTCAGAATGGTGTAATATTAGATATATTGACCCTTTATTATAGCCCTCTGTTGTAATTCCTAGTAAAATAGTTCTGGTTTGAATTCTAAATATCCAACCATTTTTTCTAACCACATCTGGATCTATCACCAAAATTCCCTTGCTTTTTTGCAAGTCCACCATATGTGGTAATATGTGCCTGGTAGTTGTTTGCATTTCCAACATTTCGGGGATGTATTGCTAAACATTTTAGTCAATCTTGCTGCGGGAAGATGCCAAACATTTTATACAAATTCTCTTTGTATGATGTGGCCAATGTTAATTTCCTGTTTCTTTCCCAAAGTTTTTGCCAACTATCCAGTTCAATGTTGTATCCAAAAATTTTGGCCCATACCACCATTGTCTCCTTAACTTGTTCTTCCTCCATTTTATAGTCTAGTAGATATTTATAAGTTACTTTTATCAATTTATCATCCATCCCCACTAATAATTTGTCTAGTATCATCAATTCTCTATTGATACCCCATACTTTCACATCGTTCTCATAGCATGATTGTATTTGTAGGTATGACCACCACTCCAATTTCATCCCTTGTTCTTTTAGTTCTAGTCTAGTTTTCAATTTACCTTTTTCGTTTAATATGTCCTTGTATGAGACAATTTCCCCCCCATATTTATAAGATTTGGATGTACCAGCGCTTCCAGAGTGGAAAGCCAGACTGGTATTTTCATATAGTTTTGTTGTTTGATTTTATTTCATTTTATTCCAATATAGCATGTCTTATGTAGTGCCTTTGGAAATACTAATCTGCCGTGTTTCTTCCATACCAAAGGAATGCATGCCACCCTAATTGAATATTGTGGTCCTCCACCGTTAGTAATTTCCTATTCCTTAGGGTTATCCACTCTTTTACTCATGTAAGTGTTGCAACTTGATAATACAAACCCTCCTTTTTCTTTTGATTCTTGCAATAGTTTCAATTTAATTCTCAGTTTCTTTTCTCGCCATATAAATTTTGACATTATTTTATTCAAATTCTCAAAATATTTTTCTAATTTTATAGGTATATTTTGAAATTAAAAAAAGGATCTTTGGCAGAATGTTTATTTTTATTGCAGCTATTCTGCCCATTAAGGAGAGTTGCAAATTCTTCCATCTCTCCAGATCCACCTTTATTTGATTTGTTAGTTTCATGTAATTATCCTCTTTGTTATACACCTTGCAGTTAAATAGATTCCTAGATACTTCACTTTCCTCACTATATGAATGTGTATTCCTTTTGACAATTCATCCTTCTGTTTGTCATATTCTTGGTTATCATTTTGGTTTCTTCCTTATTTATTTTTTGTCTGCCTACTTCTCCATATTCCTCCAATTCCTCCATGTCTTTGGCCTGATTGCAATGTTCTTCTAAAACAAAAACTAGGTCATCTGCAAAGGCTTGTAATTTGTATTCTTCTCTTTTAATTTTCAGTCCTTTAATTTGCTCATCTTTCCGAATGATCCTCATTAGTACTTCCAATGTTAGAATAAACAGTAACGGAGATAATGGACAGCCTTGCTTTGTACCTTTCTGTATTGCAAAATTTTGTGTCACCTTGCCATTCACTATTACTTTGGCCCCCTGTTTCAAGTATATTGCTGTAAACATATTTATAAATTTATCGCCAAAATCCATGTATCTTAATTGTTGTAACATAAATTTCCATTTCACATTATCAAACGGCTTTTGAGCATTTTGTATTTCATAATATTCCAGTATGTCTAATATTGTTCTCATGTTGTTTTTTATCTGTCTTTTGGGCAAGAAACCATTTTGGTCAATGTATATAAACTCATTCAGGAAACTTTTCAATTGTTCAGGTATTATTGATGTGAATATTTTATAATCAGTATTCAGTAGGGAAATGGGCCTATATTTTTTAATTAATGTTCTATCAGCCTCTTCTTTCAGGATCAATGTGATGTTAGCTTTCATCCATGATGCTGGTATCTTCGCTTACATTAGGACTGCATTGTATACCGCTAATAATGTTTGGCCTAGAGTATCTTGCAATTCTTTATATATTTCTGTCAGTAACCCATCGGTTTGGTAATTTTTTTGTTTTTTAATTGCCTCTATTATTTCTGGCATTTTTATGTGTTCATTTATCATAGCTTTATTTCTTCTGGGACTTTAGATAAATAATCTTTTCCTAAGCATTGTAGTGCCTTTTCTTCTGTATAGCATTCATTGTCGTTATATGGTTTCTTGTTAAAATCCTGAATTATGTACTTTTGCCCCTCGCTTTGATAACGTATATTTCCATTTTCATCTTGCAATTTATTTATCCATTTTTTCTCTTTCTGTTTCTTCAGTTTATAAGCTAACCACCTCCCTGGCTTGTTTGCGTTCTCAAAAAAGTCTTGGTTCATTTCCCTTATGTGTTGTGCCAGATCTTCTTTTTCGAGGATGTTCAATTTTTGTTTGGTTAAATCCATTTGCTGTTTTAGGTTTCCTTTTTGTGGTTCCTTTTGTAACTCTGCTTCGAGTGTTCTGTATTCTTCTTCTAAATCTTTCTGTCATTGCTTCTTCCTTTTGTTTTCCTTTTCCATATAGAATATGGCAACTCCCCTCATATATGCTTTCACTGTATCCAATAGATTTGGTAAGGATGTGTCTTCTTTCTTGCTTTCTTTAAAAAAGAATCCCACTTATTTTTCCACCATCTGTATAAATTTTTGTCCTTTTAGGATCAATCAGTTTAGAGTCAATCTTATACTCTTCTTTTGTCCTTTCCAACTAATTCTCATTGGGTTATGATCTGCCCAGAGGTTTGTATCTAGTTCTACTTCGTTTATTTCAGAGTTTAGTTCCATTGACATCCATACCATGTCAATTCTAGATCAGGATTGGTGTCTGTTAGAATAGTATGTATATTGATTCCTCCCCTGGTTCTTCTCTCTCCATGTATCCTGTATATTTAACTCTTCTACCATTTTGAAAAAGGTTCTAGGTAGTATTCTTCTAGTTCCTTTCCTTATTTTGTTACTTTTGTAATTATTTTTTTTATCTATTATTGCATTAAAATCTCATAAAATGCAAAGATTGTCACATTCTATGTCACAAATAATGTTAAGTAATTTTTTGTAGAATTATTCTTGTACCCTATTTGGTGCATAATTTTTGACTAATAAAACCCATTTCCATTTAGTATTATTTCCACAATCAGAATCCTTCCCTCCTCAAACTTGCTTAGCCTTAATTGTTTCCTTGGTATATAATAGCACTACCCCTCTCTTCCTTTGTTGTTATAATGATACAAATAATTTCCCCGATTTGGGGTATTCCAGTAATTGTTTATGTTGTTCTTTTATATGAACTTCTTGTAGTACTATGATATCTAAATTCAATCTTTGTAGTTTGAGTTTTCTTCCTTTTCAAGGAGGAATTCAGTCCATTAAGATTAAGTGATAGGATCTTAAACTCTCTTGCATTTCTCCACCTATATCTACGTCTTATACTCCTTGTTGTTCTAAGCTCTCTCAGATCCTTGAATCTTTTCTCATTGCTCTCTGGTCTTTCTTCTTTCTCTTTTTCCCTCTCCTTTAGTGTAATTCCTTTTCTTCCATAGCAAGTATTCCTTGGTCCCTTTCTTTTATTACTTCCCTCTCTTCTGCTTACTCTTCGTTGCTGATGTGTTGATTATAAAATTCCTCCGCTTTGTCCAGTGTATCCACTCTATATCTCTTTTCTTGCCATGAGACTAGAATACCTTCAGGAGTCAGCCATCTAAAATTGATGTTATATTTGGTCAACAATGATGTTAAAAATTGATATGGCCTCTGCAACTCTCTGACTCTTCTTGGAATCTGTTTGAGAACTACCAGTTGCTACCCATTGTACTCTATTGGTTCATCTCTTGTCCTATGAAGCACTTTGTCTCAAATAGATTTCTTCACAAATCTAATGTGCATGCACCTCCTTTGGAAGATTATGCCTCCTCGCATAGTTTGTATGAATTCTGTACAACTCATCTATTTCTGTCAGCATTTCTTCCTTCTCTGTTCCTAGTGCCTTTGCTATTACCTCTGCCATGTTAACTGGTAAATCTTCTCCATTTTCTTCTCATGTTCTGGAATCGCAAGCAGTGTGCTGCTTTATCAGATTCCAAAATTACTGTGGTTTCTAATTCCTTATTTGTCTGGATTAATTTATCTTTTATTTCATCTACTCTTTTTTCTTCTTTGTCCATTCTCTCTTCTCTCTTCTGTAATTTCTGTTCATTTTTGGTAATCTGTTGTTGAAAACTTTCAAATTTTTGGTCCATCTTTTGCATTTTTTCTTTGAGTTTTCCTGTGTTGTTTCTTACCTCTCCTATCGCTTCCTTCATTTCATTGTGGTTCCTGGTCATAGCTTCCTGCATTGATTGTAGCATAGCCTGCAGATCTTTAAATTAATTTGACCTTTCTCTTTGTATCATATCTTCTATTGATCTCTGGTTGGACAGGCTGGAGGTAGGCAACAATGCCTGGCTGGTTGGTTTCCTCCCTTTCCCAATCTTAGTTAGATTCGTAGTGCTTTAACAATTTTTGCACAAGATTATTTTTCCCCCAACACTCCCACCCTTTTTTTTTACATGTATATAACCTTCCATTGCTCAATCACAATTGAGCTGTCAATATTAACCAAAATATGTCAATCTAATCTCACTTCAATCTTCTCTTTAAACCACTTCTTTTGTTGTCTATATTGTCCTAATACTTAGCGGGATAGGTTAAGAGTAATAATAATAATAAATATAATAGTACTAATAATACTAGTGAATTCAATCCTAGTAATAACAATAACAATAGTAATAATCACAATAATGGCACTAGCACAATAACAGTAATAGCATTACTAATAGAAATATTATTAACAATAATAACAATAATAATGATACTGATAGTAGCACCAATAGTTCCTGATAAGGAAATCACCTGAACTTTGATCACATGACTATGAGGATTCTGCAATGATAATTAAGTTGAAAAATGATCATAAGTCATTCACTCAGTGCTGTAATAACTTTGAATGGTCACTAAATGGCTTTCTGTAAAGGGCTAACTGTATTTCTGTTTGTAGAACTTTTTTTAAAAAAAAATTTGTTTGCAACATACAACGTAAATTCCATTTCTAACAATCTTTCTGTGAGATAGCTTATGTATAACTGTTTACCTCACAAATGTTGCACAGATTGTTGGCATGAACTGTCAAACTATTTAGATCTTTTAGATTTTTAATTAAAGTAGTATTAAAGCACTTCCAATAAACAAATAAGCAAGCAAACTACCCATAAATAAATAAGCAAATCTAGACCAAAAGGATTTGTCTGGTCCTTTAACATATGTATATAACTGGAAAGAAAATGTCATCTGATAAACTATGAACAATATTTAATGTTCATCATCCTATATTAAAAATTGAGGCTGTAAAAATGGAAGCTGTCTGGAAGGCAGGACATGCCTCTATTTATTTATTTGTTTCTTGCCTTTATTATTTTTACAAATAATTATAAGCAGTGAAGGTATTTATTTGTATCCAATTTTTATTATTGTTACGAATAATTCGAGGTGGGTGAACACATTCAATGCACCTTCCTCCTTCTATCCTCCCCCCCCCCCCCCCCCCCCCCCCCCCCCCCCCCCCCAATAACTCTGTGAGGTAACTTGGGCTAAGAAAAAGGGATTGGCCCAAAATCACCGAGCTGGCTTTCCTGGCTAAGGCAAGACTAGAATTCACAGTCTCCCACTTTCTTAGCCTGGTGTGTAGATCAAACTGGCTCTCCTTATTAATTCAAAACTGAGGCTGGGTCTCCCTACCTAAATACTGCTTCTAATGGCTTTTCTTACTTTGCATTACAGTGTGGATTCTTCAAACGGAATTATAAACAGAAGATAGAACTTCAAGGAGAACATGAGAATGCTGTACAAGCAGCTGACAATCTAGAAGATGGTGCAGAGAAAGAAGGTTCTAAGACCGAGAAAGAGAACCCAAGCAAACTCCTTACAGAACCATTGAATTCAGAAAATGAGACCCAATGATCGAATAATGTTTCTCTCCAGAGACTATAGCCGAGCTATTTGTTATTAAATGTTCAGTGTGTGCGGAGGAGGAGTATGGGGGGGGGGGAGGAGGTGGGAGCCGGGTGACTGTGATGCTGGTAATGAAGACTTCCCTTTTCCTTTCAGAAACTAAGTGATAATATGTGTTTACCGAGGCAGATGGCAGGTACACATGATGAGAGGACCAGAACAAGATGCAGGCAGGCAAATGTGTTTGTCTGTTTTCTCTACTAGTCCCTTGATCTGAGACAAATCTGCTGTTTTGTGTGCATACTGTCTTGAGATTATTTTCTAGAGAATATAGATTTGGGGATTTTGGCCTTTGTTTGTCTTATCAGTTGCACAGTAGAAATGGGTAAGACTTAAAAGGGGAATTGTCTGAATTCAGCCTACCCCACTTGGCAAGGGATGAAAGAAACTCTCTGGAATTCTGGACATTAAGTACCAACAGACAGAGAAGTAAATGTCAAGCTCCAAAACCAAGAAAGATGTGCTGAGTTACTCCAAAGCATTTCCTTTATTATTCCTCATCTATGGACAGAAATCTTGCCACACTAAAGCAAACTACTAGCATCGAAAAAGATAACACTCCAAGTTGCTACCTTCAGCCTCTTCCTCCCAATCGAACTATCTAAACTTTGCTGTCTCTCGGTCCTCTGGAATGCAGCCCCTCCCACCTCAAAATCCAGACTACATTCCACCACATTAATTCCCCTTGGAGATTACAAGGGCCAAATCCAACCACCAGTTATCACTTCAGCTTTCTTACCAGAGTCTAAAATCCTTATCTTAGCAATTCTCAAATGAATGGGAGGAGAGAAGACAGAATGGCTTGGACCCTGGTCAGGAGCTTCACCATCTTAGTAGGCACCATTATCGCCCTGCAGGATGTCTCTAAATACTCTTAATTTGATTTATATTTCTTCCCATGTTTAGTATGAAAGGAAATATAATAAGGGATGGGAACCTCCACCCCCAAACATAGAAACAAAAAACAAGAAGGGTAACAAATGACAATCCGTTGCTGGCTAAGCCCTTGGAAATAGTAAAGCATTCTGCCATCAGAAAATTTGGAGAACAGAATCTGTAAGGATCCAATTTTTTAAAAAAAGGCAGTGTGTGTCATCAAACTTATATGGCTTTCAAACTCTGGCATTGTTTGAACTTTCTATTGATCACTTTTGCATTTATTTTTAATCTGTGTTAAAATATTTTTGGGGAAATTTTTTGAATTTCTACTTTCCTCACCGTATTACAGTAAGGGCTTTCTTAAATATATAATTTGGTAATGTATTTGCTATAATGTAACTTTTTCCAAAAATCTTTAACAGCAATGTGACAAAGTAAAATTACAATAGTTAATAATTTCATAGTCGGTGGCCAAAATAAATGTCGTAGATAATTTTTACCTTAATAAATGAAATCTATTTTCCAGAACCAAAAAAAGTTCACATATCCAGAATCTCCATATATCACAAATCACTAATGAATTTCCCTTAACTCTGAAAAGAGGTTAGCCGTGTTCCTTCTTTCGGGGGGGACGGGGGGGGGGGAATCAAGCTTAAGCATTCAGTGTATATACATATGCAAGTTATATGCAAGCGTCTTGAAACTGATTTAAAATAGTAATAATGAGTAATAATCCTGGCTCAATTTAAAAGAATGCAGGGTGCTTGAGTGGAATCAAAAAGAGCATTTATTAGTTCAGCAGAGGGAGACACAGAAAAGAGAGAAGGATTAGAACGTTACAAAAATAACTATAGTTGGGAGAGATTCAGAGCATGCAAGCAACAGCGGTTTCAAAAGCTGTTCTGGTTAAATATTGGAGTCTTACAGTGTTCCCACATTCTGCTGGGTTCCTAAGTAACGATTATGAAAATAAAACATCTGTATTATCTTTTTTTGTCCCCCCACTCCATCCCAACTTCCTAAGTCAATTATTTCAAAGTTTATAGACTGAATTGAAGGAAAATTTCTCCCAAATCAACTCCTGGAATCCAGCAAGAATTGCCACCGTAAGGAAAGGCACCCACTTATTTATAAAAAAGGCATCTTACCTTGGAAGTGTTGTGAAACTTTTTTTAAAACAAAACTTGGGCTGGATTGTGAAGTATAATACAGCATGTACATAGGCCGTGTAACGTTTAAAAATGGACTGACTAAAATCACCCTTTGGAATTATTTTGATCAGCAAACGGCACAAGGCTTGGAATGATACAGGCAGCCGGTTCATACAGCTTGACCATAAGGCAGCCACCACACAGCGCTCTGTAGCACAGGCATGCAGGGACTGGAGGGACATATTCAAGTGGAGAGTAGACACCACAGAATACCCTACAAATATAAATACAACTATATTTGTTGCAGAAGGATACGACCGCTTTGCATCAATGTATGGTTCTGCTGTTTGACCTCCATAAGTTCTGATGACTCGCTGGTTTGAGCTATTGTAAGAGTGTTGTAGGCATTCTACTCTCTTCAACTGTAACCCAGTCAATAATTTCAATTCCTTAAGCTCCTCAGCTTCAGCAGAGTGACTCAGTCTCTGACTTCTGTCTTGTTCTCTCCAAGCTGTCCTCCCCACCTCTTAGCCAACTGTGCTTCTTGCTATCATCTTCGCTGTCCTGCCATTCCTGTTCCTCAATCAATTTTCCCTGCCTTAAATTATCTAAAGTATTCTCCCATTCTTCCCTTATGCTTTCGCCTCTATCATCCTGCCAGTCGTGCTTTGTGATCTTGTCCTGACCTTTTCCCCTGATACCTGAACTACTATCACCTTGTACGTATTCTAATACACTTTCACCATCTTCTTCATCATGACACTCTAGCCTGATACTCAGATTGTCATCCTGGAAGCTCTCTTCCACCCTCCTGTAATCCTCCTCCTCCTCCTCTTCCTCCTCCTCCTGACATTCCAGCCTCATGCTTTCAATACAATCCCCTTGTGATCCCCGTTCCAGTTGTTCATCCTCATCGTCCTGCCACTCTGTCCTCATGGAGGATTCCACACCATCTTTCCAGGTCTGCCTCATGCTTTCTCTGCCATCATCCTGCAACTGTTGCTCCAGACCTTCATCATCATCCTGCCACTCCACCCTCATGGCCTCATCCCCGTCATCCTCCCATTCCTGCCTTGTGGCCTCATCCCCAACACCCTGCCATTCTGGCTCCATAATCCCCATTCCATTCCCCTGCCACAGGCTATGTGCTTCCCCTTCCACTCCCTGGTCCCCAACCTCTTCCATTCCAGCTGTTTCCCAACCTTCCATCAAAGTCAATGTCTCCCCTCTCCTCACATGGGCTCGCCGATGCTGAGAAAGTGCTGATTTCTGTCCAAACCCTCTTCCACAATAGGGGCATCGAAAGGGCTTCTCACCGGTATGAGTTGCTTGATGCTGAAGGAGAGCAGAACTACGCACAAAGCCTTTCCCACAGTCTCCACATGAGTAGGGCTTTTGCCCTGCATGAATACGCTGGTGTATATGGTAAGTGGAGCTGACACTGAAACTCTTCCCACACTGGCTACAGCAGTAGGGTCGTTCACCGGTGTGAGTTCGCTGGTGTTGCAAGAGTGCAGAGCTTACGCCAAAACCTTTCCCACACTCATCACATTTGAAGAGTTTCTGGCCTCGGTGTACCCGCTGATGCTGCTGGAGGTTGGAGCTCTGATTGAATCCTTTCCCACAGTCTGGACAGCGAAAGGGACGCTCGCTCATATGGATCCGCTGGTGTCGGATAAGATGGGAGCTCTCTGCAAAATGTTTCCCGCATTCAGGGCAGCCAAAAGGCCGCTCTCCGGTATGAGCGCGGAGGTGACGGACCAAATCAGCCCGGAGACGGAAAGTTTTGGTACACTCCCCACAGGAAAATGGGCGTTCCCCAGAATGGAAGCGTTTGTGTTGGGTAACCTTTGAGCTCTGAGAAAAGCATTTTCCACAGATGGAGCAGACGTAAGGCTTCTCCCCGGTGTGGATCCGCTTGTGCTGAATGAGATCAGAACTATGGCTGAAGCTCCGCCCACACTCTGGACAGGTGAAGGGTCGTTCGCCTGTATGTGTCCGCTGGTGGATGATGAGATTGGAACTCTGGGAGAAGCCCTTGCCGCAATGTGTGCACCGGTATGGCTTCTCACCTGTATGAGAACGCATATGCTGAACTAAGTGAGAGTCTTGTCGATAACTTTTGTCACAATGGGGGCATTTGTATGGTTTCTCACCTGTATGGACGCGACGGTGACGGATTAGGTGGGAGCTGTTACTAAAGCTCTTCCCACAGTCAGGACAAATTGTAGCTTTGAGCATTTTGTCGTTGTCAGAAAAATTATCTGTAGATTCCTGTTCCAGAGATATGATAGATTCACCGTTACAGACCTCATGCTCCGTGCTTTCCATCTGATGATATGCTATTCCTTTCACTGGGGAGTTTCTATGTTGCATTTGTTGGTCTTCTTTCTGTTTGTTCTGTGATTCTGCTTCTTCTTCTTTGTTTTCATGTGTCATTTCAATGCCTACAGAAGTTATATCACCAGTTTAATCTCATTCTATCCAAATAAATTTGAGCTGTTACTTTTGGAAAGCAGATTATATCTTAAAATAATTGGTGGCAAACTCAAAGGATTTTTGCAAAATCAAGTTCACTCCTGATTTACACTGCTTTAAACCCACACTAGGTAAGATAATGCGTAGAGGTTAGTTTAGATATTAGAAGTTTATTTAACTGACTTTCCCATTTAAGTTATGAAGATTGTATATAAATTTTCTTGGATCTTTGTAAAACATAGAAATTTTTAAAAATGTAAATAAATTGTCCATCCATATCTAGAAGAATCTCTATAATTTGAAATGAAGTAGAATTTAGCTCTGAAACATAGTGTGAAAATATAGGGAACAATTTCAGGATAGAATTTCATTTTCATTCTTATTAACAGCATTATTATGCTAACAATTAGCATATTTGTTAGTGAGACAAAACCAGCAAAATTTGTTTCCTGTACTTTGCAATGAAACAAAGAAGTTAAAGAGTTTCTTTAAATGGTATACTAAGTGTCTGGAATTTCTCCCATAAAGTGCATAGAGATTTAATATTTGAAGCCTCAAAGAAAGAGATAACTGTAAAGTAACTTTGGCTGTGAATCACAAGTTGGAGTGGGGGAAGCACGTATTTATTTATTAAAGTTCTATGATACTCTTGAGGTTTTCTAAGACAGCAGAGTAAAATCAAACTACATTCTAAAAGAACAGAAAACAAGCACAAACACACACACACATTCATTTAATGTAATAAAAGCAGCAGTCCCAATAAAATAGCTTTAAGCAGCAATATATTAAAAGCAAATATAATGATTTAAACTTAGAAGTACATTTACACTTAAAAGTGTAAAAAACTAACTCAAATCTTGTTATCAGAATCCAAGATCTATGCCAACATTCTTCTATGGTAAATCTGAGTTACAGGTTTATGCTCAATATAAATATATTTTTAGAAAGCTATTAAGAAATTGTGACTAGGCTAGGGACAGTTAATGCTGTAAAGCAAAAATGAAATTTGAAATAAGAATTACAAGTCACAGCACACTCTTACTAACATATGTTCAATTTATTCCTCACCTCTTAATGTTTCTCTTCCACTACAGTCCTGGAAGTCCAGAACATAGGCTTGTTTACCACTTTCCATGTGGGAAAACTGCAAGTTAGCTCCTAGGAATTCTGATTCTGGGGAGGAAAAACCAAATTTCTTTAATATGGTGAATGCAGATGTCTGTGAAATTCTGTCTCGAAAAAGAAAAATGTAAGTCTCCAGAGTCCCCAAAATGATTCTCTCCCTTCCTCCCACAGGCACATATTTGCTAAAGTTTCTTCAAGCTCTCAAATTCCCTTACAGAGTAGATATATTTCACAAATCCCAACCCTTCAAAACAAAACTTCTATTCATTACACAACTGCATTTCTCCTCCATCCGATAGGATAGATCGAATCTAGCATAATATATATTTGTTAGAAAAATGTATTTACCAAATCACTTATTTTTTTATTTCAAAGCCATCCCCCTAACACACGAAGGCTATTTCGACAATTGAAAAAAAATACAGCGAATGAGATGGAGCTTTCCTCCTTTAGCTTCTCCCAACCCAATTTGCTGTCATTAACAATTTCCTGACCAGATTGTTCTTTTGATTCCCACATGTTCACCGGCCCTTTCATCTTCTCTTCAGGCTGTCCAGAGAGATACTGCTAGCGCAGCCATGTCAAGCCTTGTTACTTGGTTGGGCTCTCCCACCCCCACCCCACTCCACTGGCTTTGTTTTCATTAAGAGTGGACACAGGGAGGCAGCTAGGTGCCTAGCTATAGAGATCCGCTTGGAACAGGAAGGTCCCTTCATGATTAAGACCCTTCTCCAACCATACTTCCTTCTGGGTCCTTTCTAGGCATCAGAAATCTTGCCCGCTCTACTGTTTTAACTCAGTCGGCTCCCCGCGGGCCGTTAGCGCGCGACCCTCTTTTTAAGAAAAAAACGGCTTTATTCCTCCGCAGCCTTACACAAGTCCTTTATTTCAAAGTTATCGGCTTCTTTTTGAGGTGGCAGCCAAAGAAGCCAATGCAATCAATTCTAAACTGCATTAACAGAGGGACTGAATCAAGATCACATAGGGTCATAATACCACTCTTATAAAGCTTCAGCAAGACCACAGCTAGAATACTGTATCGTTTTGAACGCCAGATTATTTAGAAGAAGGAAAAAAATGTCGAGACTCTAGAAAGAGTGCAGAGAAAAGCAACAAAGATGATGAGGCAGCTGGAGGCTAAAACATATGAAGAATGGTTGCAGGAACTGGGCACGGCTAGTGTGAAGAGAAGGAATAGGGGTGACATGATAGCAATGTTCCAATGTTTGAGTGGCTGTCAGAGAAAGGAGGGGGTCAAGCTATTTTCCAAAGCATCCGGCTTGCCTTCAGAGGTTGTGGGTGCTTCATCATTGGAGATTTTTAAGAGAAGACTGCACAGCCACCTATATGAAATGGTATAGGTATGGGGTCTCCTGCTCGAGCAAGGGGTTGGACTAGAAAATCCATGGTCTCCAACCTTGGCAAGTTTAAGACTTGTGGACTTCAACTGCCAGAGTTCCTCAGCCAGCTTTGCTCTGGGAGTTGAAGTCCACAAGCCTTAAAGTTGCCAAGGTTGGAGACCCCTGGACTAGATGACCTGTAAGGTCCCTTCCAACTCTGTTATTCTATATTTCCTTTTCTTTTTTTTTTTTCATATAAATTTTATTGAATTTACAATTAAAAAAATAACATAACAACATTACATAAGAAACAGAGAGAGAAAAAGAAGAAAGAAAGAAGAGAAAGAGAGGAAAAAAAAAAAAACAAACGCTCGGTCTTGCGACCGAAAAAGAAGAAGAAGAAGTATAAAAGAGAGAAAAACAAAAAACAAAAAAACAAAGAGACGGAAGAAAAAAGAAAATACGTTAAAACCAGACAAATATTCTTTTTGACAGTCTACAAGATCCAATTCTCCTACCTTACTTTAAATATACACATCTTATCGCTATTTATGGATATTTATGCTTATTTATGCTCATTAAACAGTTTATCTCTGATATAACCAATTATACCATGCATTCCAATTATTATCAAATGCTCTATAGCTCTATATTTCCTTTTCATGCCCACCCAATATGCCTCTTAGGTCTCATGGACATTAATTCAGTATTACTGCTGTTGCAAACAACAGTATTTATATAGTATTCAGAAAAGGATTTAGAAACAAAACACTGTTCCTCTGTGTTTTTCTCAATTATCCTTCTTTGCAGAATGACATTTCTTTAAATGAAATGCAAGGAAGGAGTATTGAGGAAAACACAGTCAAAGCAGAATGTATTAAAATAATTCCCTTTTTTTCTGGCAGATCTTGAATGCATCATTAACAATCATTATGTACATTCATGATCTATGTATGAGACAGAAACCTGAATTTGGGTTAACAGAATGGCCTTAAAAGCCAAGTGCCTTTGGCCAGAAAGACTTAGTACCGTTGAATTTTGCTCCTTCTTGCCATAACTGTTGAGTGAATCACTACAGTTGTTAAGTGAATTTGCATATGATACAACAGTGGTGGCTGCTTTCATGGTGTAGAGACAATAACTTGGTTCTCAACACCAATAAGACCAAGGAGCTTATAGTGGACTATAGAAGGAATAGATCAGACATCCAGCCCTTGCTTATGAATGGAGACAGAGTGGAGCAAGTGGCCAGTTTTAAGTTTCTGGGTGTTACCATAAAAGAGGACCTGACCTGGGGTGCCCACATTGCAGCCCTGGTCAAAAGGGCCCAGCAGAGATTATACTACCTGAGACTTCTCAGAACCCAACTGAATGAAAAACTGCTGGTAACCTTCTACCGCTGTACCATAGAGAGTATCTTAACTTACTGCACCTCTGCATAGTTTGCCAATTGCACAAGGGGCAGATAGGACAGTGTTCCAGAAGGTTAACATCATTGCCCAGGGGATCATTAGTTGTCTTCTCCCCTCTTTGGAAAAGCTTTATGCTCCCATTGCCTTAAGAAAGTTCAAAACATTCTCAAAGAGCCATCTCATCTTGGGCACCCCTTTTTTTGAACTATTACCATCTGGCAGATGGTACAGGATAATAAAAACAAGGACAAATAGGCTTCTGAAAAACAGCTTCTATCCCAGGGCATCTCTATCTCTGTTGAATTCTACTGCATAGGGCAATATTAATGCAATATCACATGACCATGGAAATGCTGTAATGGTCATAAGGGTGAAAAGCAGTCATAAGTCACTGTTTTCAATGCCATCATAGCTTTGAATGGTTACTAAAAGAATGGTTGTAAGTCAAGGATTACCTGTATAGATGGAAGACTCAATTGTTTGTGGTTGGGAAATTTTCTGGGTTCAAAAGCCTTGACTTACAATGCCTAGGTTGTGCCATGGTTGGGCATTTTGACAAGCACAGGTGGGAGTTTCAGGAATACCTATTTCTGCAGATACCTAGGTTTATCATCTATGAATTATTGCACTTTCTTCCTTTGGAGAGGATGATTGGTGCTCCTTTCTTCCTTTTTGTTCCACTCTGGGTTTATCTTTTTTCCTCATCCCTGTTCATTTTATTCTGTTTTTGTGCTGTTTTTGTAATGGTTGTTTCTTTTTAGCTGTTTTAAGAACTATAAATTACCCAGAGTCACTAAGAGACAGGAGGCATATAAATTGAACAAATTATTACAGTTGGTATCACAATCAACCAAATGTTTAGATAGGATTAGATTTAGATGATACTTTTCTGGGATAGGCAGAAATTGTTTAATAATATTAAAGATATTATTATTATTAGGGTTGGTTGCACAGTCAGCCAAATGTTTACAGACTGGATTTGGCATTTTTAGCCACCTATACAGTCTTCCCAAGAACCTTAGATAGGCAGATGTTGATGTTGAAAATGTTAAATGTATTATCATAGGACTTTACAGTTCCAAGTAACGCTGCCTTTTGCAATTGACTGATCTTGCCAATGTCAACAGTATTCAAGTGGTGCTCCAAATATTTTGGAATTGGAAATTTATCCTTGTAAGCTGCCAGACTCACTGAGTGAAATTGGGCAACTGTATACATTTTCTAATAAATAAATTGCACTTAAGATGCCTATTACGACTACTAGTACTACTGCTGTTGCTACTGTTACTCAAATAATCTCAACAAAATCTAAAATCATTAGATGTCCACTGAAAGACATTTAGGGGGAGTCTTCATTCAATATTGCATCCAGTTTTGGTTGCCAAAATGTAAAAAAGATGTGGAGACTCTAGAAATAGAGCGCAGAGAAGAGCAACAAAGATGATTAGGGGACTGGAGGCTAAAACATGAATAACGGTTGTGGGTATGTCTAGTTTGATGAAAAGAAAACTAGGAGTGATATGATAGCAGTCTTCCAATATCTAAGAAGAGGGGATCAAGCTATTCTCCAAAGTACCTGAGGGCAGGATAAGAAGCAATGGGTGAAAACTAATCAAGGAGAGAAGCAATCTAAAACTAAGAAGAAATTTCCTGACAGAATAATTAATCAGTGTTAGAACAATTAATTAGAACAAATAATCATTAATCACTTGCCTCCAGAAGTTGTGAATGCTCCAACACTGGAAGTTTTAAAGAAGATGTTGGATAACCATTTATCTGAAGTGGTGTGGGGTTTCCTGCCTAAGCAGGAGGTTGGACTAGAAGACCTCCAAGGTCCCTTCCAACTCTGTTATTCTATTCTAGTCAGGAGAGAATATTTTGGCAGCTACACTTAGGCTTTTGAATTCCTTTCCATGGGAGGTTCATTTTTAAATTTCCACTTTGACTATGGTACAGGTAGTCCTCAATCTACAACCATTTGTTTAGTGACCACTTGACCTTACAACAGCACTGAAAGAAGTGATATGACCATTTTTCACACAACCATTGCAGCATCCCTGGAGTCATGTGATCAAAATCCACATGCTTGGCAACCGGCATCTATGAAAGTTGCAGTGTCCCAAGGTCATGTGACATTATATCAGTATTATTTGCTGCCCACAGTAGCCCCTTGGTGAGATGGGTGGCAAATAAATGTAACAAATAAATTTGCCCCCTCTTTTAAACCCACCTGTGTACAATCCAGCACAAACCAGTGGTGAAAACAGCGAGTGCCCCCGTATTAATGAAAAAAAAAACCATAAATTGCAAGTGAACATAGACAGAATTGTTTGATAATTGATACAACAAAAATAGTTCTTTCTCAGTTGCTTCTGCTCTCCCCCTTTCCCCCCATTTCCTCTGCCTAAATAGTATATTCTGGATTTTATGGGGAAACAGTATGTCCTGTTTATCGAATAAAGAATAGAATAGGAAAGTTGGACAGGGTTTTTATAGGTCATCTAGTCCAACCCCCTGCTCAAGCAGGAGATGTCATTTACGTAAAGCATAAAGCGTAATTCAGACTCACTGGGTTCCTGAAATGTTTTCCGTTATTTTATTGGGCTCCCGCCAAAATAACCGCACACCTTTCTTGCACTTTAGTGAAAACTTTACTACAGATCGCGGACTTTCGCTTTTCCCCGGGGCGCCGCGGTGGGGGGGGGGGGGGGGGAGAGAGATGAAAGGGGCGCGCGAGAGACGTCCAACGGCTGAAGGCGCGCCTTCGCCTTTAACTCCGCCCCCTCCAAGGGTAGCTCTATAAATAGCCCTCGGGAGGCACGTGCCTTCTTCGGCTTATTACTCACCGTTGAGGGTGTTAGTTTTCTTCTGTTTCGTGTTTCATAAAAGAGGTGGATTTAACCCGACCTTCCCCCGGCCCCGTTGCCTTCCCTCATCCAATTCGTTTGTTCGATTTCTGCTCTCCTGCGCCTTAATATAAGTGTGATACATAGGGCTTTATTGAAGACTGCGATTTCTAGATTTCTAGGTTGCTCAGTTCTGGAGGGAAAAAATATTTACCATAATGGCCCACACACTTTGAATAGTCAAAAGGCACTCCCTTTGGGGTAATATAAATTTAATAAACATGGTTACTAAGAGTTGAACCCCCAACTGATGGTAAGTCAGTTCCAAAATGACTCACAGCAGCTTACAAATGATAAATATTTGCATCCTGTCTTTATTATTTTTGCAAATAGTGCAGCAAACATATCCAATGCATCTTCCTCCCATTTCCTCCAGCAACAAACTTGTGAGGTGGGTTGGGTCCAGAGAGTGACTGGCCTACAAGGTCTCTTGATAGATTTATTTGGTTCAGACTATAGTCTTATGAAAAAATAAGAGAATTGGTATAATATGAAAAAAGGGACTACAGGGATAGTTGGAAACCATTCGAGAGCTTTCATGCCTCGCATGTCATATTTTGACAGATAATGTTAAGCAGTGTTAACTACAAGAGACATGTAACGTGTGAAATTTTGTGGGGAAGAAACAGCCACAGAAATGGATGGAAGAATCCTGGTGATTATTAAGGTACTCCAAAATTCTGGGTTAGGTTGGGAAAGGTTTAGTAAACACAGAAAAGAGCAAATATCACAACAGGAGACAAGTACAGTACTGTCATAATTTATTCCTCGAAATATTTCATTAAAAACACAAGTTTCCCTTTCAAATCCCAAATCCCAGGAAGCCCAATTCTCACCCTTTTTTATTTCCCACCGTTCCACAAATTGATCCCTTCCAAAGAAGGGATCCTATTTGCAGACGGCCTCAAAAATCTCCAGAGTCCTCTTAATCTCCCGGATCTGCTTAGCGAGGATGTGAACAGGTTGCATGGAGCGATCCAACTCCTCACACCTGGCCATCAGAGTGTACATCCCTTTGATGCTCATGTCCACGGATTCACCCAAACTGTCCACAGCATCTCGATAGGTCTGGATGTAGCCTACACTGAGTGCTGTCATATTCTGGATGGCACTGTTCAAGGCTCTCAACATCTGGTCTACTCTCTGTGCCACATCTGTGGTCAGCCTTTCCAGATCCCGAAGGACCTGAGGATCCACTGGAGGGATGTCTGCAGTTTTGCCTCGGACAGAGTGTTGGGATGACATCGACGAGGAGGTGGGCTCTGTATCATCCAGACTGCCCCGAGAGCTCATCTTGATCTTCATTTGCAAGTTGTTGGCCACAAAATGTGTCAGATCTCCATCGTAGCTCACTGTTCCTTCCAATTCCAAGGCGCTCGATATAGTAGCCCTCCTTCCTTCTTGGTTCTTGGATGCCCCGTATACCTGGCTTATCCCATCCAAGCTGTGACTGTCCAACAGACGTCCTCCGGCCATGCTTTCCCTGGCTGCAACCCGCACGGGGTTCGGCAACCGCCTGGATTCTTCCCCGGCTACGGAATTAGACGAGGCGGCTTGGATGTGGACCTGGGCCATTATATGTTGTCCTTCCATCAGGCAATGCAGGAAGGAAGCCTAGGAACCCGGGGGAAGTACCGAAGCAAGGAAAGGAGGATGCAAGGCAAAGGCGGAAGTGTGGAGAGAAACGCAGAGAAAAGCCTCGAGGGGTTTCAGAGGAAAGAGTCCTCCGGAGACAGAAAGCACAAAACCGACTCGTTTTCCCCCATCGCCCGCATCTAAGCACGCACTGGAACCCCTTCCGCTTTTGGGGGGCGGAGATTGGTCCAGGAAGAGGCGGGGAAAAGAGCGGTTGACTATAGGGAAGGACTAAGGAACCCTTCTCATTGGCTGTCGTCAGTTTAAAGACCCACCGACTCTTTGACTGGGCTCGGTTCCTGCCGGAAAGAACAGAATGCACAAAATATCATCCTGGGCAAGGAGAGGGCAAGCGGAGCCTGAGATGGCACTAAAGGAGCAGAGGGATTTTCATTTCTGACCCTTCAATAATATATTGTTGTAATGTGTATTTTTAATTTTTTTATTAAATTTATATGCTGCCCATCTCACCATCCAAAGCATCCCTGCACCCGAAGGCCAGACAAGAAATAGTGGATGGAAACTGATCAACGAGATTCAACCTGGAAATTAGGATACATTTTCTGACAGTAAGAACAATCAACCAATGGAACAGCTTGCCTTCAGAAGTTATGGGAGCTTCATCACTGGAAGCTTTCAAGAAGAGATTGGACTGCCATCTGTCAGAAATGGTGTACTAGGGTCTCCTGCTTGGGGGGGGGCGGGTTGGACTAGATGACCTACAAGGTCCCTTCCAAATGTCAATGCTAAAAAGGTGAAGAGATGCAATAGAACTTCAACATTATAGTGGAAGGAAGGTGAATTCAATAAGATTTACTCTGAAGCAAGTGGTACAAAGTGTCTCTGAATTTTAGATTTAATCCACACTTTATTTAATTTTCTCCTTTCTTTTTTATCTGGACTAAGATTGAGATTTAATATGGTAGTTATTTTCAAGCAGAAGGAAGCAAATGCAGAATTGTGGTCCTGCAAGCTGAATCCACATCCTGCTCCTCTTCTGCATTTATCCCTGGTTGGCTTATCCCATAAAGCTTTTGGCTGTATCAGAAAGGGAGGAACAGGTGGAGGATTGCTGGTCATGAAGATGTCCACCCTAAGAAAGGTGACATCAACGAAGCAACAAACATGCCCAAGACTGTTTCCAATTTTACCTAAAAAGCTATACCAGGTGGCCATAAAGACAGAAACATGTACAAAATCAGATGTATACAAATAGCTAAACACCTTTCCCCCTCTCCTGGCATGTCATGTCACTACCACCAAAGAATAATTATGCAGAAGCTAAAAAAAAGGAAAATTATGATATGATTAATAGAATTTGCGTTATTTACTTTAGTGAGGTTCTTGTAGCAAAGATTATTTTCACTGAGGCTTCTTTTACCTTTAAGTGAACTAATTAAAAGATCAGTTATATAATGAATTATTACTAGAGGCATGTATTTATTGTTCCTACTAGCCCAAAATATTTGCATTTGTATTATCTTGACACATCTTAATGAAGTGAGGTAACTACTTGTATAAATATCACCCAAGCATAGCCTGAGGCTAGTGCAGTGCAACCAAGAAACAAACATGACTTCTGCTTGTTCGGAAATGAAATAATTATTTCATATATTCGGTGTTTTTAGTTTGTCTTCTTTCAAATTCTTTTTCTTGTATTTTTTTACAAGAAAGTAAGCTTTAGGAACCAGACTGTCTTATAATGAAACTAATTTAGAATTTTTTGTTTTAATCTGAAAAATGGTGCCTTCATATGTTTTCCAAATCTATCATTTCAAAAAAGTTATTTAGAAAAAAGCAATAAGGGAAAGACGGAATTACTGAATTTGATTACTGTAGCACATTGCAGTTTTAAACAGTCACTAAATGAAATGTTGCAAATTGAGGGCCACCTATACTTATTGTTCAGAGTTTTATTGGCTTTTAATTTCTGCAAGCTGCCCAGAATCATCTCTTGGAGTTTGTAAAGATGGGTGGCAAAAAAATCTAATAAACAATTTTATTTATGTCTGCCTGCTTGGTTGCCATTTCGGAATAAAGTATTAGCTTTATATTTTACTTGATTTGAAAATGATTCAGTAACACATTTCTGCTTTGGTAATATCAGAGTTTTGGTATGTTTCTTTAAAGCTTACATATTGTATCACCTGGTGCTCTCTACTCATTAACTAAAGTTTGAAACTATCTTTGCTGACAAATATTAGGGATCCTTTTAAGTATCTCCTGAAATGGCCCCTCTCCCCAAACTATGTGCTCTTTTGTTCTGATTCAGGAGAGAGATTTTTCCAACTAAGTATGATTTTAAACTTTTTAAATAATTGTGAAATGCTTTGAACCACTCTTGTGCTTATGATTTTAAACTGTATATATTATACCATATGCTGGCTTTTGAATTTGGACAATAGGAGTGTTTTTCTTTATAACACTGTGGGAGACTATATGATAGCCACAAGAAAGAAATTTAATATACATGAACATACAACCTATTCTGCTACATGGGATAGCAGGAAATATAGTGGGCAGCATAATTAGCAGAAAAAAATTACAACTACCTTTTTAAGTGTTATTATTCTAAAGAACTGAGAGTTCCTTAACATAACACAAAGAGACCATTTATGTGAAAATTGAACGGCCTTCTCTCAATAAGAGTGGGACAGATGCGACATTAGTTTAGTTTACTTTATTGTCACTGCACCTCATACAATGAAATCAAACACCATCTTCAGTGCACATCATGACCCTGACCATGAAAATAAACACAACACACATCCTTCCCCCTTCACACATTGAACCAGATACCCCTGACACCACGCTAACACTGCACTATACAGCAGAATTCAAAAGAGCTCCTGCCCTGGGATAGCTGTTTTTCAGCCTATTTGTCCTTGTTTTTATTATTCTGTACTGTCTGCCAGATGGTAATAGTTAAAAAAAAGGGTTCCCAGGATGACATGGATCTTTGAGAATGTTTTAAACTTTCTTAAGGCAGCGGGAGCTATAAAGCTCTTCCAAAGATGGGAGAGTGCAACCAATGATCTTCTGGGCAATGACATTAACCCTCTGGAGTGCTTTCCTACCTGCCACTGTGCAATTGGCAAACTATACAGAGGTGCAGTATGTTAAAATGCTCTCTATGGTGCAGCGGTAGAAGGTCACCAGCCGCTTTTCATTCTGTTGTTTTTTTCTGATAAGTCTCAGGTAGTATAATCTCTGCTCGGCCCTTTTGACCAGGGCTGCAATGTGGGCAGCACAGGTCAAGTCCTCTTTTAGGGTAACACCCAGAAACTTAAAACTGGCCACTTGCTCCACTCAGTCTCCATTGATAAGCAAGGGTTGGGTGTCTGGTCTGTTCCTTCTATAATCCACTATAACCTCCTTGGTCTTATTGGTGTTGAGGACCAAGTTATTGTCTCCACACCATGAAAGCAACTGGTCTACCTCATCTCGGTAGGCAGACTCATCCCCCCTGGAGATAAGTCCTACCACTGTTTAGCAATAGTATTACTAGCATGAGTGGGAATACAGTCATGCACATAAAGAGTATAGAGTAAGGGACTCAACATGCAACCCTGTGGTGTACCAGGGTTAATAAGGGCTGAAGAGGTATGATGACCTAATCTGACCCTCTGTGAGCGGCCAGACAGGAAATCCATAATCCAAAGGCAGATTGAATTGGAAAGCCCAAGGTCCAGAAGTTTAAACACTAGTCTATGTGGAAGAATTGTATTAAATGCAGGTTTAAACACTAGTCTATGTGGAAGAATTGTATTAAATGCAGAACTAAAATCCGCAAAAAACATCCTCACATAGCCCCCCCCCCCCCGTTCTAGATGAGTCAGAGCAGTGCGAAGAGTGATGGCTATAGCGGCCTCTGTAGATCTATTTTTTCTGTATGCAAACTGGTGCTTATCAAATGTATGCGGAAGACTAGAAATGATGTGCGGGCAGACCAATTTCTCAAAGCACTTCATGATGATAGGAGTGAGTTCCACTGGTCTGTAATTGTTGAGGTTATTGATAGGAAACTTCTTTGGCAGCAGAACAATGGTGGAAGCCTTCGAACAGGATGGAATAGTGGATTGGGATAAAGACTGATTGAAGATCCTGATAAAGACTCCAGCCAAGTGATTAGCAGTATCTTTAAGCACTTGGCCAGAGATACCGTCAGGACCAGCAGCCTTTCTAGGGTCCACGGCCCTCAGAATGCTCACCTCCTGTTCCTCCACAATGAGGTGGGGGCTACAATTGGCTGGTAGTTGTATTTTATCTGTCTCTGATGTCTCCACTTCAAAGCGAGCAAAGAAATTATTCAGTTCCTCTGCCAGTGAAGCATCCCCCTCAGCAGGGATGACAACTGGTCGGTTGATGGTTTATAATTTGTTGAATCCCTCGCCACATCTGCCTCATGTTATTGCTATAAAAATTATCCTCAGTCTTCCTCTTATAATCAGTCTTAGCCTTCCAAATACCTTTCTTCAGATTAGCTCTGGCAACACTGTATCTTGCCCCATCACTGGACCTATAGGCCTTGGTCCTGTCACGCAAGAGGCGCTGGACTTCCTTGGTCATCCAGGGTTTCTGATTGGGATAGATCCTAACATGTTTATCCACAGTGATAGTATCTGTGCAGTGTTTAATATAGCACAGAACAGTTACAGTGTGGTCTTCTATGTCAGGGTGGTAAAAGATGTCCCAATTTGTATTCTCAAAACAATCCTGAAGTTGTTGGGAAGCATCTTCTGGCCAAGATTTCACTGTCTTTATTATAGTCAGAGCCCGTCTCCTAAGAGGGATGTACACCGGTGCTAAAAGCAGTGACGTATGGTCTGATTGTCCCAAATGTGGTAATTGTATAACCTTATAGCCATGTTTGATGTTGGTATATACTTTGTGCGATATGTTTGCTCCTCTAGAAGCACACTTAACATGCTGATAGAATTTAGGGAGCGCTTCTTTTAAATCAGCTTGATTAAAGTCCCCCGCTATGATATGTACAGCATCAGGATACTTATTTTGCTGATTACTTACAATGTTATACAAGAATCCGAAAGCTATGGTAGCATTGGCATCAGGTGGGACATAGGCTGCAGTAATCAAAACCACGCTGAATTCCCGCGGAAGATATATGGGTCTACATTTAAGATAATAATTTAAGATAATATTCTATCTCCAGTCTACAACACAGTCCTTTCAGCAATTTCAAAAAGGCTCCTCACCAATTTGCACCATTCAGATGACCCTGAAGACACAGATAAACTTCCAAGTGCTTCAAGAAGTCTCTCTGAAAGAATGCAAATGACCAGCTGCCTGAAATATAAATCCTTTCCTCACCAAGTCAGAACCAAAGAAGCTTCTAGGATGAGAAGTGAAATGTCTTCAAAGAAAAACAAAACCCAGTTACCTCTTGAAAAACTACCTTTGGGATAACATAATGGTAGCTGGGGGCGGGGGGGAATTATGAAAGTTGAAGTCCACACATCTTAAACTTACTGAGGTTAAGAAAGATGGGTTCAAGCATATTCACCATTTATAGCCCTACTGAAGGTGCAGGATAGTCTGCTCCATGGCTATAGTGACTTAAGTCTCATGAATTTTGCGGTTTTCAAGCAATATGTTGTATTAATCAGCTGAATTGTTTCCTTCAATAAATTCAGATAAAATAAACTACAGGTAGTCCTTGACTTACAACCATTTGTTTAGGGCCATTCAAAGTCACAACAGCACTGAAAAGACCTGACTTATGACTGGTCCTTGCACTAATGACCATTGCAGCATCCCACAATCGCGTGGTCAAAATGTAGATGCTTGGTAACCGGCAGGTATTTATGATAATCAAAGCAACTCAGGGTCACATGTTTGTGACCTTCCCAATTGGCTTCTGACAAGCAAAGTCAACAGAGGAAGCTCGCTTCACTTAACGATTGTATGATTCACTTAACTGCAAAAATTTACTTAAATCACAGTGGCAAAAATCACAAAAATCGGATGCCGCTCACTTAACAACCACCTTGCTTAGCAACAGAAATTTTGATCCCAATTGTGGTTGTAAGTATGGCTGCTACTGTACTGTGTGAGCTGGTGCCTGCTGAGACCAACAGTTAATTAAGGACATAAGTGCACCATCGCGCCTACCGTCCCTGTCCTATTGTCCCCAATTATGAGTTCCTATTTCTTGTATTTAAACTTATGTTTATTCTTGTTTCTGTTATATTGTAAGCTTTTGACAAAAATAAATAAATAAAATAAAAAATAGTCAAGACTTGCAATGTTCATGACTCGAGGCTTCCCATTTGTAGATACTCACCTTATCTGGGAACAGCAGGGTTTGGGGAAACAGGCTGAATAACACACAATAAGGAGCCTTCTACAACAGGCTTAATTGGCACAATTTATTCAGGTTAGCCTAGTATGCATTTTTTTTTCTTAAGATACCACTTTCAATTTTTATCCAAGCAGAACAAGCGTGGCCTTTCAAACAGCCTCCACAGTAGAAAATTGGTAAGGCTGTTCTTCGGAGCATCAGAGCTTATCCAAGGTATTGGAGAAAACAAGTGCAATTTTGGGACATTTTGTGTCTTCTGTACAAAGCTAAACATGGGCCCAGATATAAAGTTCCAGGACATGTAAAAAATATATATGCATGCTAACTAAATAAGCTTGCTTCAGTGATCAGATTCCTGCCCAGTGGCTCAGCATAACCTTACTTCGTTCATCTGGAATTTCTGCATGTGTGTAGCTTGTTTTGTTTTGCAATCAAACATCAGCCACTATTAGAAAGCAAATTATTTCCCAGGATCAAGGGACAGTTGTTAAAAAGTCTCAAAGACAAAGTCTCAATGACAAAGACTGTCATTGCAGTGTCCTAGGTTACACCCATTACATCCTTCATTTTTTCAGCTATTCTAGAAGCTCCTGAATAATTGAGGAGGGAGGGAGGGAGGGAGGAAGAGGGAGGGAGGGAGGGAGAGGGAGAGGGAGGGAGGGAGAGGGAGGGAGGGAGGGAGGGAGGGAGAGAGAGAGAGAGAGAGAGAGAGAGAAATCCAGTCTTTTGTCTATTTATTTACTTTTGGCTGAAGTGGATAAGCCCCAACAGGCCTTTCTACCTGTTCTCATTCTATAGTACTAATTCAGCCATTGTAACTTTCCCTGTCGGAAAAGAAAGCTGAACAGAAATCCAACCTTTTACTTACATGGTTGTTCCTCAACCGTGGCAACTTTAAAACCTGTGGACTTCACTTCTTAAAGTTGCTAAGATTGAAAAATAAATTTCATACCACAACCAAGGATAGGAATTTGGAGTTGAACTCAAGGGGCCAAAAATTCAAGGTCAACTCCTTGCAAGGGTCAAGACCGTTCAGTGAACGAGGAGCCAGAATTACCCCTTGACCTAATCTATGTCCCAATTTGTTACTGACAGATCAATAATTCTCTTTTGTTATATATTGGGCTTTACATTTGGACCTTATGGAACCAGCTACGTCCAGCAGCTGTTACCACACTCGGTACAAATATAAGGCCCTTCCCCCAGAGCCAAGTCATCTTGGTTGGGTTTTCGGGGGTTAGACTCCAGGTGAAAACCTTTACCACAGTGGCCGCAGATAAGAAGCCGGTCACTGTCTTCTTCATCAGAGGTATTATTGCCATTGGTAACACTGGCATCAGCACACAGAGTATCCAGACCAGTCATGTGCGGGATCCCAACACTTCCATCATGGTGGACTTCCATGCTGCCCTTGTCAAAAGTCGGGTCAACCTCACAAAGGAGGTCATGGCTCATGCTGGGGCTGCGAGCATTGGTGTGAGTGCGACGGTGGCGAATGATGTGTGAGCTGAGCCGGAAGCTCTTCCCGCACTCGGTGCACACATAGGGCTTTTCCCCCGTGTGCACCCGCCAGTGGTCCACCAGATTGGAATGGTGGGTGAATCTCTTGCCACACTCAACACAACCATAGGGTTTCTCACCCGTGTGGGTACGTCGGTGGTTAGCCAGCGTGGAACTCCCCGAAAAGCGCTTCCCACATTCCTGGCATTGGTACGGCTTCTCTCCAGTGTGAGTCCGCTGATGGCGAGTAAGGCATGAGCTCCCGGTAAATCGCTTACCGCACACACTGCACTGGTAAGGGGTAACTCCTGTGTGGCCGCGCCGATGCAGGTTGTAGTTGGAGCTTTGAGAGAAGGCCTTGCCACACAATTCACAATGATACGGCCGTTCTCCGGTATGGAAACGCCGATGTTGGAGGAGGTTGGAACTAGCCGTGAAGGCCTTGCCACAGTCCCCGCAGACATAGGGGCGCTCCCCAGTGTGCGTCCGCTGGTGCTTGGTGAGCGCCGAGCTCTGGTTGAAGCTGCGGCCACAGTCATTGCAGCGGTACGGCTTCTCTCCCGTGTGGATGATCTGATGCTTGGCCAGGTTCGAGCGGCGGCTAAAACTCTTCCCGCACACGCCACAAGTGTTTGGATGCAAAGAGGAAGACTGCAAGAATGGAGAAGAAAGTGTGAAGAAGGGTTTTTGGAAAAAATGGTATGCCTGCCTAAACCTTGTTCTCCTACTTCTGAAATGGGTGCTCAGAAAAATATGGCTTATTTGTGCCCCATCCCTTTCAACAATGGAATTTTTGAAAAATACAATAGCTAACTGTATTTATACAAGCAGGGGCTTCTTCAGAAAGAGGTAAAAAAAAAAATCAAGATGATTTGTGGTTGAATCCACCTACTGGAATACCACCAATCAGCTGTTCCACTGATCAGCTGTTTCAGGCTGCGGGGATCACTGCCATCCATCAGTGCCATTGCTACCCAGTGCTACTACCACCTACCGCTGCCTCCCCGCACCCCAATTTTTGACCTCCGTGCATCCCATTTTAGGCTTCTGCACGTCCCATTTTCAGCCTCCACACATCCAGTTTTCAGCTTCCGCGCCCCCCATTTTCCCCCTCCATGTGTCTTGTTTTTGGCCCATTCCAGGCAACAGGGATAGGCGGTGGTGGCAATCCCCACTGTCTGGAACAGGCCGAAAACGGGATGTGCGGAGGTTGAAAATGGGGGCATGTGGAAGCTGAAAATCGGGTGCACAGAGGCGGCAATAGGTGGCAGCACCGATGGGCAGGGACAGCGCCGATGGGCAGTGGTGATCCCCACAGCCTGGAACAGCTGATTGTCATTATTCCGGGAGGCAGATCCAACCGCAAATCAGCTGCTCATGCTAAATCAGGCTGTGCTGAAGCTGACCAGGCTGTTTGCTGTTTGTTGCAAGGAGACAAATTGCTGGGAGGCAGGGGTTTTTTCCCCTTGTTTTCCTCCCCAAAAGCTAGCTGTATCTTACAGTCTGGAGTGTCTTCTAGGCCAAAGTTGTAGTGCCCCAGGGTCATGTGATCACCTTTGGCTTTGATAAGCAAAGTCAATGGGGATACTAGATCCACTTAACAACCATGTTACTAACTTAACAACTGCAGTGATTCACTTGACAACTGTGGCAAGGAAGGTCGTAAAATGAGTCACTTAACAACTGTCTAGCTTGTCTAGGGAAATGTTGGGGTCAGTTGTGTTTGTAAGTTGAAGACTATTTGTACATGCATTCCTGTAGCCACCATCTTGACTTTTGACTAGTGATGGGATGGCCTGGAAAAAACCCAGAAAAATGTGGCTGGGGGACAAGTTTTTTTTCATTTCTTGTTTTTTTCAAATGGCTTTCAAAAAAAATGAAAGGAAAGAAAAAACCCAGAAAAACCTGGGTTTTCCCTAGTTTTCCAAGATTTTTCCAGGTGTTCCCATCTCTATTTTTGACACACATATTCCTTTTTGCCTCAGAATAAGGAAAGATGTCCTGATCCATAAGTTCATTTTGGTTTTGCATTGTGCAATCGAAATTCAAATCTCTTTGGTGAACAGAAGATTTTGGGAAAGAACATCAGGGGTGCTACTCCAGAAAAAATAATTCTCAAGTGGAGAATTATTATTTCTTTCTTGTCACTTTATTTTAATTATTGGCCACCCAACTCCATCCTGAGGACAGAAGCAAACTTTAGAATTTCTTTTTCAATCAACCCAGGAACTAACATGTGCTAAGTTCTGCTGAACACCCAAGATAAAAAGCTTTGGTTCAACTTTTCCTAAGATGTGGGCTTCTCAGACATTCATTTATTATTATTGTGTGGATCAGTAACACCTGAAAGGAGCATATATAGAAAATTCAAGATGGCAGCTACAACCGTCCAATTGAAGCCCCGCCCATTTTCAATGGTCTTTGGCTGCATTGCTGCTGCAGCCATCTTAACATTTTTTACTCCTCCCATAGGGATGCTTTTAGTTGGTATATAAGATGTGGGCGAAACTAGCAGTGGCTATTCCAAAACCAATAAGCTCAGGAAAAAAGTATTTAAATAACCTGAGTGACATCAGCTGAGAATTGTGGAAACAGCAATCTTGATGTTTGTTTGTTTGTTTTCTTCCTTTTTTAAATTAATATTGTCACCTACTCACATATGGAGACTCAAGGCAGCTTACACGGATATAAAACACCATATAAAAGAAAAAATAATAAAAAGAAAAATAATAAAATAACCCCCACCCCGGCAACAACATACATTCATACTAGCCATTTAATGGACTCACTCCAGCTCTGGATTCCCCAGGCCCACCGACAGAACCACATCTTCAGCTCCTTCGGAAAGAGTATTAGAGTGGGAGCCATTCTAACCTCTTGCGGGGTGGGGGTGGGGGGATAATGTTCCAGAGAGAGGGAGCCATCACGGAAAAGGCCTTTCTTCTAGGTCCCGCCAGATGTAACTCCTTAGGAGATGGGACCCGCAACATTTCTTGCCTCTCCATTCTAGTGGGTTGGGTAGATGCGACCGGCAAGAGATGGTCCCTTGGATAACCCAGTCCCAAGCCATGAAGGGCTTTAAAGATGATAACCAGCACCTTGAATTGTACCCAGAAGCAAATCAGAAACCAATGCAGTTCCCCAGGAGAGGTGATATATGTGCACACCAAGGTCTGAACAAAACCATGCAGGCCGTTGCATTCTGCACCAACTGGAGCTTCTGGATGCTCTTCAGGGGCAGCCTCATGTAGAGTGTATTGCAATAGTCAAGATGGGAAGTGACTCGGGCATGAGTGACCGTGAGTAGGGATTGTTGATCTAGGAAAGGGCGTAATTGGCGCACAACCTGCAGTTGCGCAAAGGACCTCCTGGCTATGACTGCCACTTGCTCTTTGAGCAGGAGTCGCAGGTCCAGGACAGCCCCAGATTACAAATCTTAAGAATACTAAGTTTGGAAGGCATGTTTAAGGGGGGCTTTCTCAGTGCTATAGCCCTCTGAAGTGAAACATGCACCTGGCCAAATTCTCTTTCAAAGCCCTGGGGCAAAATATGCTCTGGGCGGCACATATGTGAATCATGGTACAACCAGTCCTGAAAAGTCTGATATGTTTAGTGCTGAAGCATAGCTGCAGAACTACAAGTAGTTTTCGACTTACATTAGTTCATTTAGCGAGCCTCCAAATTTCCAACAGCATTGGGGGAAAAAAAGGACTTTTGACCATTTTTTACATTGATGACCATTGCAGCCTCTCTCCCTGGTCAAGTGATCAAAATTCAGATGCTTGGAAATTGGTTCATATTTATGATGGTTGCAATGTCCTGGGGGTCATGTGATCAGTTTCTGCGACCTTCTGACAAGCACAGTCAACAGGGAAGCCAGATTCACTTAACTAAGTAGTAACCAGTTAATTGTTGCTTATTTAACAACTGCAACAATTCTCTTAATAACTGAGCCAAGGAAGGTGGCTAAAAGATCTCTAGTCCAACCCTCTGCTCAAGGCAGGAGTCCTTAAACCAGCCCATATTTTGAAGATCCCACAGTTGTACTTTACTACTCACCGAACCCTCTATTGGGATGGTGACTTTCTGCACCTCAAACTCTTGTACCTTCTGCTCCTCAGATTCCACCTTCATCTCTTTCTGAGTTGAGGAACCTCGTGAAGGTGCAGGACCCAGCTGGTTTGGGCAGAGACAAAACAATCCAAATAATAACAATCCTTAAAGGACTTCCGGTTTGGTCTGCCTCGAAGACGGACCGAAATCCGCGATTGTCTGCGGTTTCGGTTCGTGCTCTCTCGTTGGATGGCCCCAATCATCCTGATTTGGGGCCGGAGCCACCTTGTAGGAGTGGCGAAGAAGAGGGAGACCACCAGCTGGGTTGAGGGGAGCCACATCTCCCCTCCTTAGCTTGGTAATTACTCTCCTCTGAAGACGACTGCAGCAGTGGACAATAAAATGGCTACCCTAAGAGATAAGCCGATTGGGACAAGATTGTGCAGGAGTGGGAAGAAGAGGATGGCATAGAAACCAGGAGAATTTGAGCACAAGATAGCCCGGATTTAAATTTTTCAAAATTATTAAGAGAGTGGATTTGAGTGGTGGACAAAGACGTTAAGAAAGGAATACTTGATAGCTTAAATGGCTTTGAATTCTAGAAGAAAGAAGCCGGAAGAAGAAGCTTACCTTTGAATTAGTTAAATATATAACCCTGACACTAAATAGGCAATTAAAGCTGGATTGGACTGTGTCAAGGTGGAAAATAAAATTTAAAATTGAATTTATTGAATCTATTTGGATCTATTGACTTTGGAACTCTAAAAGCCTGAATGAGAGAGAAAAAGCCGGGAAAAATAATTGATTCTGAACATAGCGAAGTGTGGTAAAGGGAATTGTTTACTTTCATCCCTTCCTATTTTAAAGCTTGGAACTGCTAAAGACCTATTTGATACAAAGTAACCCAAATTAGGATACTACAAAATAGAGACCCTGTAAAGTGAAAGTGGAACATTAAAACAAAGGAAAAATCATGGGATTGTTTGGTGTCTCTGGAATAAACTTTAATTTATGGACATTGAAATGTGGAATCAACCTGGAAATCTTCTGGAGAGGAATTAATAAGAGTTAAACGTTGAAAAAACTATGGATATTGTTTAAAGATGGCAGGAATGCTTTTGGAACTAAAATTGGAACTTAGAAATATGAAAGAAGGCAAATTGCTTGGTTTTGCCCTACAACATTTAGAAATGGCGATTTCAGAATATGAAAGACAACAAGAAGGGCTAGAAGAAGAAGAGCATCAATCAAAGAAGTGGCTATCTTTAACGAGCATCTGAAACAACGAAAACTTAAGCGAAGGGAGAAAAGAAGGGGAATTAAAAGTAAGTTTGAAATTGTAATTAAAAAGGGGTTTACCTTGAAAACCAAACAAAGTGAAAGGAAACAGCAGGAAAGGGAATTGCAGAAGGGAGTGCTGAAAAAGGAGGGGGATAAAAATCGGGGTAATAAAAAGAGGGAAAGAATGAAGCAGGACCATGAAATAAAGAAATATGGCAAGCAAATAAGAATGAAAAGGAATTGTTTATTTAAAAGGCACAGAAATAATGGTTAATTGAGATTTAAAGAAGGGGATTCTACAAGTTGATAAGGTGTAGCTTAAATAAATTAGAAATAATAAACTATCTAGAAAATAGTGGAATGTAGATTATTAAAATGGGAGATGGGGACTGATACTGTTCTGTTATTGTAATGATTGTTTGCTCCTTTCTTTTTTGTATGGAATTAAGAGATAATTAGAATAAAGATATTAACAATATTTAATGAATTTGTAAGTTATAGTTAAAATGGAGTACGAGTATTGTTGGTAGGAAAATAATATTAGTTCTTATGATGAAGTGAAGAGATTATGTTGTTGTTTTTTTCTTTTTAAATCTAATATACTTTTTATGTAACCAAAAGGGAAACTTGCAGACTCAGATTTCAAAAAGATATATACAATGTAGTAACTACTAGAAAATTATTATTATGGATTTTTTTTTTCAGTGTTAATTCAAAATTAAAATTATGGGAATTTTAGGGGGGAACTAATTATATGGCATGTTAACCACAGGGGTGGCACCTCAAAATTGGCAATAATAGGGGTGTTTTATTTTCTTTCTTTTTCTATATTTGAAAAGTTTGAACTGAGACTGAATCTTTGGAATGATGAATTAAGTATATGCGAGGAAACTGCAAACCTGACAGAAGAGAATATAAAATATGATGAATATGAAGATATTTAAAGAGGCATTAAGAATGTAAGGAAATAGATTAAGTAATGAACTGAGAAAATTTATAAAATAAGCTGGAAGAAACTAGATGATTAAAATTAAAGAAAATATATAAAGTAAGGTTAAGGTATGTTATTAAATGTGAAGAGTAGGAAATGAAAGTCAAGTTTGTATGGAAATGTGTTGACTTGGAATCATGCTATTCACTGAAAAAAGATGTTTTTAATATGTGAAAATTGAATAAAACTCTTTTTAAAAATCCTTAAAGAACTTCTTTCCTTACAAGTCGGTTCTTCCACCCATCCAATTAAATCTTCAGTGTTTCTATTTTCCTTATCTCCACTCACCAGTTTTCCACCTGCAGAAAGTTCCATCTCAAATTCCAGATCCTTCTTCTCCTTTTTTTCAGTCTTTACTCTAAGAAATCGCTTTTCTTCATTACCATGAACTCTGGCAGACAATCTATCCCGGAAGGAGGAAGAATCCAGCTGAAAAACCCAAAGGAGCAAAAACAAGAGATTCAGCATTTACCTTAATGTTGTGGTTAGCCGGCAGCAAGTGCAGATGGCTGAGGAGAGCGATGACTCTGATGAGGGGCCAGGACCATCAGGGAGTGGACTGCTGCCTTCAGAGACTGTGGGGGCTGGCAGCAGTGACAAGGAGGTTCCTGAGGAGCTTGTGCCAAGTGCACGTGCACGAAGGATTAATCGGAGGAAAGAACAATTACAGCAGCACAGGTGACTCGGGAGTAAGGCTGCAAGGTAATGGCCCCTCCCTCAAAAGGATAAAAGCTAGGTTTGGAAAAGAGTTATTTATAGACAGCAAAGAAGCTCTGAAACTCAACTGGTGGACATCTTAGTTCGCGTTTGGAGAATTTTGTAAATTAGTTCTTATCTCTGGGTTTTTGGCAGCATTGAGGAACACCTTGGCAAGGCTCTTTCTTGTCGAAGCTAATTAGTGGAAAGCAGCCTTCAGAACAGAATTCTTTATTAAACCTTAAAAGGTGGGAGTTGCTGCCTTTGTCTGTGTTTGTTCTTTGGGAACCTGGTTGGGTTAAAATACTTAGGTTCAGTTTGTTCCCAAACAAAGAGATATAGACATGACACCTTACAACCAATCTTAAAAGTTAATGTTAACAATATATTTTAGCTTGCAAGTTCCCCATGTAAACAGCAACAGGATTTTTACACCGTGAGGTGTAATAACTTCACTAGGTTGCAAATTACTATAACTAAGTGTCCACAAGGAATCTTCTCAAGTGGAACAGCACAACATGAATGCTAAGTACTCAGCAAGTCAAGCCTAGTATTTCAGATTTAAATAAATGTTCCCATTATATTTCACAGGGAAGGGCATTTGAAATAACGAATGAGTTTCATATCACAACTTCTAAAAGCCTGATTTTGTTTCTTTCCTGCATTCGTTTTCTCAAATCTGTGTGGTATCCAGTGATGCATAAGCTATTTGTCCCACTAAACCTAACCATGCTTTTAGTAATTACATTACAGCCAAGAAAAATGTGACTGTTTCAGATCCAGCCTGTTCCTGCAAACTTCAGGGAAAAAAACACATGAAATGTTGGCATTATACACCTTGATATCTCGAATCTTTTCCGCTCCCTTTTTCAGGCTAGCATTCAGTCCCAAGGATTCCCAGGACCGGCCCTCACCTTCCGCTAGTGGTCCATCCATCTGAAAATACAGAAGGGAGGAAATGGAATCCATTAAAAAAATAGACATAGTTCTAAATTAGATATCAAAATATTCTAAGAACTTCCTATATGCTACTCTGGTCTTCCTTATACAAGTAGTTGGAATAGAAAGAAATATAAGATGTTTGGCATTTTTAAACCACTGGGTGTATGTGGGGAGATGATCACAGTTTGTGGTTATTTATCTTGTTCCCATCTTCATCCATTGTAGGAGCTTCTAGAACAGACATTCCCTTGAATTAAGTTTTTTCTGTGCCCTCCCTGCCCTCATCCATCGTGAATGCACACACAAAAGTAAATGGCTTTTGGAGAGAAACCAGATTAAAAGAAATCTCCCTCTTTAATATAGCTTCAGAGAGGCAAGTAACCTGTCAACTGCCTGCCAACAGGTCCTGCAACAGCCCCATGAAGTCAGTGAGGTAGTAATAAAGACAGGATACAAATCAACTCCATAAATAAACAGACGGCATTTGGACTGTAGCACTCAAAGCTCTCGCCAAAATTGGCTTCATCCTTGAAGAAAGTCCAGACTTCTATTAAGCCCTTAGCATAACCCTGGTTTCCAAGAGGACTTAAAGACAACATGGTATCTCTGTGGAGGACACAAAGTAAGATCCCAAGACTTAATCCTGTCTGGACTGTGATCCCCAGAAAATAAAGGGTTTACCTGTACATGTAATTCTTGACTTACAACAGTTCATTTAGTGACCATATAAAGTTATAACAGCACTGAAAAAAAATGATTTATGGCTTTTTCACACTTACGATCATTGCAGCATCCCCATGATCATGTGATTTACATTTGTATGCTTGACAACTGGTTCATATTTATGATGGCTGCTTGATAACTCATTCATATTTATGACGGTTGCAGTGTCCCAGGGTCATGCAATCCCCTTTTGCAACCTTCTGACAAGAAAAGTCAATGGGGAAGCCAGGTTCACTTAAAAAACATGTTAATAACTTAACAACAGCAGTGTTTCATTTAAGAAATGTGGCAAGAAAAGCTCACTTTGCAGCATAAACGTTGGGCTCAATTGTGATCATAACTGGAGGATTAGCTGTATTTTTTTTTATAAAAAGGAGTGGGGGAATCAAAGTCATGAAGGAAGGCTTCTTCCCAGAGGCTCGAAGATTGGCAGGTTGAAACCAGGACCCGCTGCACCCCATCCCCATCCCCATCCCTTGGCTGCCTGTTTCCCGGACACTCACCTGAGGGTTCAGCCTTCATTCCACAGCTGGGGCGAGGTGGTGGTGGGGGACGATCTACAGCAACAACTGACTTCTCCAGCCCACGTGCGCGGTTTTCCTTTCCACGCGATCTTTCTGCGCGCAGCACCCGGAGAGGCGGGGACCCGGAGGGTGGGTGGGCTGAAGCCGGTGGGCCCGAGAGGGGGAGAGATCGGGACCACTCGGGGGAAGGACGTTGAGCGAGAGGATGGGATCGCTTCCTCCGGGGATCCGGCTTGCCAGCCTGCTCACTCGGGCCTCTGGCGGGGAGGAGAGGAAAGGAGGGGATCTTCGTAGATGCTGGGGAAGAGGGAGGGAGAAGAGCCCGGCAAAGCAGCTCAGAAGGATCCCTCGCTGAGGCCCTCCCCCGCAGCCGCCCCAAAGCCTGAGGGCGATCCGCTCTCGGGGCGCTTTTACGGCCGTCCTTCCGAAGTAGCGACCCTGCCTCGAGGAGCGAGGTGTGCGTGAAAGACTCCGAAGGGGACGGGAGGAATGCTGGGCGAAGAAGAAGGGGGGGGGGAAAAATGACAGAAGGCGGGCTCTTCGCGCTGATTGGCTAACGTGGCCGGCCCCCCCTCCTCCTTGTTTGTAATTGGCAGAGAGAGAGAGAGAGAGAGAGAGCGAGAGCGGCTGCGGACAGAGAACCGCAACCGCTGGAGAGGCGCCGTCCCGAGCACTGGGTTGGGCACCCGAGTTCTGGTCCTGCCCACTCCCTCTCCCCTTCATACACTAAGCCCACCTAGAACCGGGATCGCGCCCGCTCATTGGCTGGGACCTCCCCGTCGCTTTAACGGAGCGCGCGACTGGAAAGAAGGTGCGGGGGGGGGGGCGGGGTACGGGACTTTCCAGCTGGCGGAGCCGGTGTTGGATCGGCGTCCTATTTAGAATTAGGGATAGATAGGATAGGATAGAAAATATGGAAAGGAATGGAATGAAATGGAATTGAAGTATTTATTGGCCAAGTGGTGATTGGACACACAAGGAATTTTTCTCTGATGAAAGATTAGGATTAGGATCGAATAGAATAGAATAGAATAGAATAGAATAGAATAGAATAGAATAGAATAGAATAGAATTCTTTATTGGCCAAGTGTGTTTGGACACACAAGGAATTTTTTGGGGTGCATATGCTCCCAGTGTACATACAAACAACAAAGTGATAAATCATGATTATGATAATCATAAATCATAAGATAAATGATAAGGAAGGTCTAGAAAGAAGCAAGGGATTAGCATGAGAAAGGCTGTCCTGGAAATTCCCTGTACGAAGCAGGGCTGGAGTCTGATTCCCACGGTTTCCATTTGGATTCATGCCTCTAGTACTGTACAGCATTTCTCAAGTTTGGCAGCTTTCAGACATGTAGGTTTCAACTCCCAGGAAGCTGACTGGGGGATTCTGGGAGTCTTATGGTTGCCTTCAGTTTGAAAAACACTTGCTCTTGGGGCGATCAATGCAATGGTTGTAAGTGCGAAAACCAATCATAAAGCAGTTGTTTTTGTGCCATTGTAATTTTGAACAGTCACTACATGAATAATTTTAAGTTGAGGAGTACCTGTATCAGGAATGGTTTCAAACAATTTACAAAGTCATCCCGATTGTGTTTTCCCACAATATGTTAAATTGAAATGTTCTGCTGGCTCAGTGTTCCTCAAATTTGACCACTTTTAAGATGCATGGACCAACTCCCAGAATCCCCCATTCCATACATCTTAAATTGCCATATTTGAAAAACAAGTGTGCTGGTTTACTGCAGATTGATTCTATGTCAGCACAATTTGGACAAATTACTAAGGACTTGTAGCTTCAGTGTCCATCACTTTTGTTGTGCCCCTCGGAAGTAAATATAAAACTTTGGGTTGTGATATATGTCTTTCTACCCTCACCTTACTCGGCGGGGCAGGTGGAGGGAAAGGCCTATGGACTCAATTACAGGTGCAATGCTTGCAATGTTGGAAAACCCAGTCTATTGATGTGATGAATAAGGAAAGGCATCACTTTATGTTGGTGGTCAACCAATCAACATCACCTTATATCCCTATCTTGAAAAATTAGCTTGCAGCTAAATAACAGCACCCCATAACTTCAATAAACAAAGAAAAGCAACTTTGCCTCTCTGCAAGCGGTATATTTTCAGGTCAGTCGAAGTGTGTTCTCAATGCATAGATGCTCACAGAGCATGGTAAAAAGTGTTAAGATGGCCATGGCAGTGTGATCAGACAAGACTCCAGGACATTAACCAGACTCTGCAGATGGCCCGTCTATCCAAATGTATCCTCTGTTTCGAAAGGACAAGGAATATGACAAGTGTATGCATGTTGCCATTGATTGAAAGCTTTGGGCTGTCCTTCTCTCATTTTTGTTCTCTTACAACTGGGATTTTTTTCCTTCAGGCAATTGGCACTTAAACAAAAGGATTTCCATATTAAATTAATCTTAATAGAGATTGAAGATAGGCAGCCTGCTTCAGCACTGTGTCTTTTATATTGATGGATTACAACTCCTATTGAAATCCTATCATTTATTTTTAAGAAGTGGTGCTTTTTATTTTTTAAAAAAACTTTCTTGCCCATTTTTTTCAACATTATTTGAAGAAAGGGAAGAGATACAATCATTTTCTTTCCTGGCAGAGGCTTTTGTGTGTCTTTAGAAGGGAGTTGGATGAGTGGTAGAATTTGCCAGTTTTCTTTGTCACAAGATCAAAGTGAGATGTAAGAGCCATGATGGTGCAGTGTACTGTAGGCTAACTCACTGCTCACTCCAGGAGTTCAGTTCTGAGCAGTCAAGGCTAACTCATCTGACCAAGGTTGGTAAAATGAGGACCCAGATTGTTGGAGGTGATTCTATAAATTGGTTAGAGAGGGCTGTGTAGCAGTGTATAAGCTTAAGTGCTACTGCTAAAACTGCCACTGCAGTGTCATCCTGTCAGTATAATGGGTGAAGGTGTATAGACTTTTGACAGAGAGGCAGCAGATGGGCAATTCTGAGGTGAGAAAGGAGGGCAGGGGATAAGGACCCTTCTGAAACAATGTGATTTGTGCAAATGCCACAATTCATGTCCTTGCAATTTGGCTTATGCTTCATTATGTCCTCCAAAGTGTGTAACTATTTTGATGTCACTGCCAAATGCTGTGGATACCACTAACCTGCATAGAGACCCCTCCTCCAGTTTTTCTCCACTGTAACAACTCTACTAGAAAGAGCAAGAAAGAGAGGCCCAAGTCAAGCAGGTAAATTTAAACCTGGTTCTCCAGAAACTCAATTCCATAACCCAGTGTTTTTCAACCTTGGCCACATGTGGAATTCAACTCGCAGAATTTCCCAGCCAACAACTGAGTCTTACATTCCAGGAACCTCACATCCTAGGGCAAAGTGTCACTGAGAAACATGTAGTATCTTCCTGAGATTTTGGAGTGTTACCCTGAACCAGCAATGAAGTTCTTTATTTCTTATCCTGAAAACTGAAAACAAGGATCAGTCTACAGAATCTACTATAGACAGTATTTAGGAAAATAAACTATACTTCCTTAGTTGCAAGAATGATTTGGAGCATAGTTTCTCTTACATTTCCATTTCCCCCGCTTTTCAGACCCAATACCAAATCCAGCTGTGGGACAGTGCATTGGGTAAATGAGCATGAGAAAAAGTTAGTTTCCTACCAAATACTTAGCTTTCTTGTCTTGGGGGTGGTTTTGCATTGGTCAGAGCAGTGTTTCTCAACCATAGCAATTTTAAGAAGTGCAGACTTCAACTCTCAGAATCTCAGAGAGGAAAAAACTGCAAGCAGAAAATTCATTGGGGTGGTGGCAGTTATTTAGAAGGCGTTGAAAATACTGGTAATCCTCGACTTCATTTAGTGACTGTTAAAAGTTGCAATACTACTGGAAAAAGAGACCTATGAGTATTTTGTCACAGTTACAACTATTGCAGCATCTCCATTGTCACATGATCAAAATTCTGATACTTAGCAACTGGCATGTATTTATAACGATTGCCAGTCATGTGATCACCTTTTGCGACCTTCTGACAAAGTTAGCGGGGATTGGAAGCCAGATTCACTTAATAATCGTGAATGATTATTAGCAAGGGCAAAATTCACTTATCAACTGTCTTGCTTAGCAACATAAATTTTGCTCTCAATTATAAGTCAAGAACTACCTGTACAGAAACTTATATTCAAGTACACCTACGACCTACTGTACAAAGAACTGAACTGAATTCTTTATTGGCCAAGTGTGATTGAATACACAAAGAATTTGTCTTGGTGCAAATGCTCTCAGTGTGCATAAAAGATAAATTCATCAAGAGTCAAGAATCATAAGGTACAATACTTAATAATAGTCAAAGGGTACAATAAAGCAATCAGCTCATACTGTGTCAGGTGGTGCTCCATGCAAAATCCAAGAAAGAAATACTTAAGACTCTTTAGATTAGAGAAAAGATATTTTTTACTGAAAATGAAGTGGTAGCAACCATAGAATTCTGAATCTGAGGAATTAGGCACGTAAATCACAGATACAAAGTAATGGAAACGTTCCCACCCCCAATAGTTCAAATGATTCTTCCAATTAAAAGTTGTGAATATGATCATGTGGACATCTTCAGGTGGTGATGAGGCCTGTCTGTTGACCTTGGCATATTTTGATAAAGGGTTGCAGCTGCACAGAGAAAAGAAAGCTAAGTGAGAAATAGAAACCTAAACAGGAATGTATACTCCCCCCCCTCTCATTATATACAACCCTAGAATGTAACACCTCCAGCTCCCTTCCCAGACTTTACCCCCTCTCCCCCACCTTACTTATGGCAGCCGAAAGATGCAAAGCAATAGTAGAAGATCTTAATGGCTGACACTAGGAAACAGTCAATAAAAATCGTAAGGATACAAGCAACAAAGTTACAGTCATAGAAGCAGCATGTTTAATTGAAAGGGATCTCAATGGTCATCTAGTCCATCCCTGTTCAGCAGTGGACCCACAAAGTTCATGCCTGATAGTCATCCAGCCCTCTTGTGCAAACCTCCTGCCAGAGGGAGTCCGTCCAATCAGTCCATTTATCTCTTTTTCTCAGAAGGAGCAAATCTCGATGCAGTATTGAAGAGAATATGAACCAGATATACATTTTTATTCTTTATTTATAACTGTATATGATTAAGATCCAACTCTCCTTACACCCCTTAGTTTTCTCCCATCCGTTCAGGCGTTTAAAATCTGCTTTGAAATCAAGCTTTCACCTTGGAGCAGAGTAATCTGATTCATAAATAGCAACGAAAACGAAAACGCCTTTTCAAAGAATAAAGAGGTTTGGAAAGCACTGGCCCTTTAAATATTCACATCTGGAATGTGTCTTATTGCAAAATGGCTACCGATTTTTGATGAGGCGCCTTATTTTGATAGCCTCTCTTTTCTTGCCCACACTCAAAATGGTGGGCCTTTTTAACTTTAACACTTCATTGACCCGAACTGAGACGGCAATTACAACGTTTTTCTTACAGTGCAACGTCTAGTTTCATTTCCCCCCGTTTTGGCCATTGACTAGTAACTGAAAGTTTTATCCTATTAATAATAGGAAGGAGGCGCTGACGGTGTCAGTGACGTCACCGAAGCGTGCGCCCTTTAAAAAAGATGGGGGAAACTCAGGGCGAGATAGATATAATTTTCACCGATAGCTGGAGAATCAGTTTCGCGGGTGTGCGGGCGCTGCAACTAAAGTGAAATGAAGACACGCCTACTGAATCCCCGACACTAAAACTGACCCGCGCCCCGTGCTTCCCGACCGCGCTCTTCGGCGCCACATACAGGCCTTGACTACAGACTGCCCACCATTCCTGCCCTAAGTAATGATGGCGATTCTTGAGCCACCACTTGAGTAAAAAACAGGAAACCATTGGCTGCGGTAGAAAATGGGTCGCTATTGGACTGGCGGGATCTAGAAGCAGGGTCTGGCCGGGCCCAAGGGCTGATGTGAGGAGGATAACCGGAGAGGGGGTCATGTCCCCTCGTCCTGTTTCGTGACTTCGTCTTGCATGCGGGGCCTGGAGGTGAGATCCCCCGCGGGGCATTGGGTGGGTAGGGGTCGCCAATTTGGCGGATAATTGGGAGGAGTCCTTGTGGGGACCGAAGGCAGCAGCTCCTGCTGTTTCGCTACCAGCCGTGCATCCTCGGCTCGCTCCTTTGATGACCGTCAAGTGTGGGAGCGGCTGCGCGGCTTCTTCTACACCAGACGAAGGAATGTGTATGTGTTGGGGGGGGGGGGCGCCCGGGCTGAGGGACCTGCGAGATTGTGTGTGTGTCTCTGTGTTTGTGTGCTCTGACGTCTTCTTGCGCAGGAAAGGGTGCCCAAAGGCTGCAAAAACGAACTTCGGCTTTGCCCGGTCTTTTTCAGACGTGGATGAAGTTCAGGTTGCCTACAGTCACTCTGGCTAGGGAATTCTGGGAATAGAAATCCAGCCGTGTTTAAAAGTTTGAAGAAAAAAAACCCAAGCCACCTTTTCTGTGGGGTCACTTTCGCTGCGCTTGAGGAAGTGCTAGCCCTGCATTATGCAATCTGCTGTGTGTCCCCCCCCCCCCCCCCCTTTTGCATAATAAGAAGTTTGGTAAAACCGGTGCCAAGAGTCATACAAACACATCACCTAAGGGATTCTGGGTATGCTTCTCCAGTGATGTAGAAAGTTAAGGTTTTTTTTAGCTGGAGGGGAGGAAGAGGAACAGTTATAGGAAGAATGGGATGGGAGAGATGTTGGAATGACTGCTCCTTGCTAAGTGGAATCTAACTGGCAAAAAATAGGATGGTCATTTTCTAAAATGACCATCTTAGCAAGATTGGCACTCTTGGCTTCGAATTTCAGCCTGGCAGGACTCATAGGCCTGAGTTATCTTGATTTCTATCCTTCCCATAATTTGGCCTTTGCTGTTTCTCCCACAAACACACAACTTTTACAAACCCATCTTTTATGTATAATGGGGAGTAAGTGGAGAGCTGAAAGTTTTCACGTACGTTGAGAAAAATAGAGGGAAAATAATAGTTGAGTTAATACATGTAAGGAAAAGTGTTCTTCATAAATATTTTAGTAAGGCCAACCCCCAAATTAGGAAAGTGCGTGAAAGCTTTTTACTTCACAAGAATTTATCATCTGCCAACTTAGTGGGAAAAGACTGAGATGAAAAAAAAGTTGCTTTTTCTTGTTTGGAAGTCTAAGGAACCTGAAAGCTGCTATACTATTTGCATTTTTTGAGTGATGGTGATAAAATTGACATCCAGTTTTGGATTTTTTCATGTTTTCAGTTTTGTCATATAATTTACTTTAATTTAGTTTACTTTATTGTCATTGCACCTCATACAACAAAATCAGCACCATCTTCAGTGCACATCATGACCATGAAAATAAGCACAAACACACATCCTTCACCCTCCACACATTTTGAACCCCAGACCCCTGATAACATACCAATACTGCACTATACAGCAGTAATGACTCAAATTGATCTGCAAATGTTAGTCTGTTGTGTATGTGATGGGGGATGGTGGTATGATTTCTGTCCTGGTTTGATTGCTTTAATATAGTACAGTGCCCTATATATCCTACTATATAAGGCAGTCAGTTTGATGTAGCTAAGACAACAGACTACGTGCCATTAGCCTAAAAACCAGAAGATTGTGAGTTCTAGTTCTATTCAGGCATATAGCTGGATAATTTTGGGCCAGTAACTCACTCTCAGTCCTAGAAAGTGGGCAGTGCCAAACCAGTTCCAGAAATCTTGCCAAAAACACAACTGGGACTAGTCCAGGCAGTCATCAACAGTCAAAAACTGATTTGAAAGTGCACACACAGAGAGAGAGAATCTTCTGACATGCTGAGAAGCTTTGCACTATCTGATTTTCAACTTTTCCTTATCCTGGAAAACTGCTGTGCGAGGAAGACTGGATCTAACTATGATTTAGATGATTGCTAATGATTCATAATTAGCTTCTCTGAGGCATATAAACCCATCTCCTCACTTACTTACCTCTGTATTGTGCAGCACTATTTAGAACATTTTTTTTTTCTCAACCCTGGCAACTCCTAAGATGTGTGGATTCTAATTCCTAGAATTCCCTAGCCAGTCATACTGGCTGAGGGATTCTGAGAGTGAAGACCACACATCTAAAAGTTACCAAGGTAGAGAACACTGGTTTAGAAGAATAACTAAAATAGCAGATCTTTCGAAGGTGAGAGCAGGGTTTGCCCTCCTTCTTAAGGATGCCCCACCACACACTTGATCTGACAAAAAAAAAGGAAGGAAGTAACTTCGATTGAAGTGCAGCTTTCTGTAGAAATAGGCTGTCTCATTTTAATTTTGTCCATAAAAATGAGTTCTTGTTTTTAGGATGCTCAGCTCTGTTAATAGTGTATGAAAATAGAAACTGGTGGAGGGTGGAATATCTTTTAAATAAATGCATTTTGATTGCAAGGTCAAATCAATGAATTAATGAATGATTTTTCTAAAAAAATTAAACATGATTAAAATTCCAAACTGAAGAAGGTGGGGAATGACAGACCTAAGAGGCATAAGAGTTTAATTCATTGTTTCTCAACACTGGCAAATTTGAGATATGTGGACTTCAACTCGCAGAATTCTGAGAATTGAAGTCCAAAAGTCTTAAAATCTGCCAAGATTGAAAAACACTTTTAATTACTTCCTTAATTAAATCCTTCTTAAAGAGGCTTTATTATGATGGTTTGGGTGCCTTATGAACATGTCTTCAATTAATAGCATATTTGGGATTATTACAAGTTCCTTAGTGCTTTGATGCTACTAAAGTTATGTAGTTTTGAAATACGATCACTTTTTGCCAGTGTTTTGCTTCCTTTTTAGGCTTCTGTAAATTATTTTATACTTCTTTCAGAAATACCCAGTTTACTACAATTAACTGAGCAGAATCCCTTTGGGGAACACCAAGCCTCAAATGTGTTATTTTTTAGTCATACAAAATCCATATTTTTAAAAATGTTGGCTTTTCCAGCCACTAACTCCGGCATTGTTCTTACCTTGATTTGGGGATATTTTAAAATGAAATGTAGTTTTTCTCATAGCCAATTATTTTAAGATTCAGAGAAGAATCCTTATATCATGTGTTGTTTAATGTAATAAGTAAACAGTTATTCATTTGATTTCTCTCCCACCACAGAGAAGTGAGAAATGAGGTTCTGGTGGAGAAATGGGGGACTTCCCAATTCCTGACCCCAGAAAGGTATTGGGTCTGAATCCAGCCATGGAATGCACCCTTCTTGAAGGAACCTCTGCTGGGGGTCATTTGCCATTGTCCGCTTTAGAGAGGATAGCCAGGCGGCGAAAAATCATATTCAAGTGAGAGATTGCCATGTTTTTTGCGCTGGGAATTCTAAGTGGGAAGAATGGGAGGAGGAGGAAGGAATCAGGGTGTTGTTTTGAGAATCTCGCTCTGTATCCTTTTGCAGGCCAGCAGCTGAGGAGGAGGAAACCCCTGTACGTCTTCTGCATCCCCTGGACAGAGGCAGAACCTCATCCCCCTTATGTCAGGATGAACAATGGTCACCCACGAAGAAGCAGCGGCTCCAACAAAGCTCCCTGCCAATGGCAGAAGAGGGCAGGGATGCTTGTGGTAGGATGGGAGAAACCCTGTGGCGTATGGCATCTCCCATGGAGAAGAAACAGCGAAAGGTGTTGGCTATTGATCTGGAAGACTTTTCCACAACCAAAGTGCCTGTAAGGATGCTGTAAAACCTGGAGTGAATATTAAAGGGATTTGTGGGATAGGTTGCCAAACTGAATGGATGATGTGTCTCTCAGGCTTTGAATAGGCAGATGACAATTCCCTCATTACTAGTTGAGATTGGGAGTTCTGAAGTAATAAGCTGGTACTGTGCCAGCTAAATCAGTACCCAGTCTTTTTCTGGGCCCTATGACTGAAACAATTCCTTTCAACTCCAAATCTACCCACTGGATACACAGAAAATCCACTTGTAAGTCTTGAATATAAATGAGATGCATATATAAAACATAATACAGGCAGAGGTGGTATTCAGCAGGTTCTGAACAGTTCCGGAGAACCAGTAGCGGAAATTTTGAGCAGTTTGGAGAACCAGCAAATACCACCTCCGACTGGCCCCGCCCCCATCTATTCTCTGCCTCCTGAGTCCCAGCTGATCAGCTGGGTCATCTTTTGTTGCCCAGCACAGGAGAACAGAGCTGGAAAGCAGGCTAATGGTGTGGGGAGGGAATGGGTTTTTGCAGTAACCTTCCCCCACTCCGGGGGAGGGAATGGAGATTTTAAATATCCTTCCCCTGGAGTGGGATGGGAATGGAGAGTTTACAGTATCCTTCCCCTGCAATCCTCACCAAGCCACACCAACAGAACTGGTAGTAAAAAATTTTGAATCCTACCACTGGATACAGCCAACTGTCATCACCTAGCTGTGAGTCAGGCGGCTATATAAATTTGCTTAATAAATAAATCTATATATATAAAAGTGAAATACCACACATGCATCAACATAAAATCTTTAGAACTGTAAAGCCTACAAACTTGAAATTTGGCACGTATGTTCCTCTTAGCTTCTAGGTACTCAGTAAGAAAGGATTTTTCGAAATGACCATCAAAGCTTTAGTATTTCGTATATTATTATCTACACGCTCTGATGCTAAAGAGGACTCCCCCTCCCCACCTGAAAAAAAACCTGTTCCAAATGTAAAACAAAGCAGAGAGGAGTTTCAGTTTTAGTTTCACAGCAGCAACCAGCTTTAGTACAGAACGGTTGAGCTAAGCCATGTCCAAGCTCCTTGCTGTCTCCTTGCTCACATAGCACAGTTTCAGTTTCCAAACTGTCCACAACTCTTACACACTGACAGGACACTAGCCAGATGAATACCGATGGATGCTGGTAGGCAGAGGCAGAAATTTTTTCCCCTTATTTTCTTCTCCCAAAACTAAGCCCAGCCACATGGTTTTATAGCGAAGCATGGGTATCCAGCTAGTAAAGAGTAAAAACAAAAAAAAATTTAAATGTTCTTTTACAGATGTCTCTTCCATACCAGATACTCCAAAAAGCTATCTTGGATTGTTTCAGGCCTGATGCCTGATTTTTTGTTTGTTTGTTACTAAGCAAAGACCTTTTGATTTATCCAAACTTCTTTATGTTTAGAATTCTTTTCAAACTTACAAGTTATTTTTCCTGTTTCTAGTTATTTGAGGGATGATGATGTTATACTATGACATGGATTTTGGGGTTGAATTACTAACATTTCTAAGGGCTGATCTATGATGGTAGGGCAGATTGAGATAGGAAAAAAGAAGCTTACAATTCTTGTCTCTCTAAAACTCTTCACAAATCTTGTGTTCTGAAATTTGGACTCTTGCACAGTACAAATGGGTAGATTTGATAGCCTAAATGCCCATCACAGCGGAGAGATTCTCTGAGTGCCGAAAATCGTTCAAGTGCCATGTTTTGTATAACTTAATCAGGAAAGTTAGTCATGTGACCTGTGGTTCTCTCTGGCACAGTAGGTGGGAGATGTTTATATATATTTTCTACCCAAAGAAGAATCTCTGTTTTAAACCAAATGCAAGACTGGCGTGTGGGATGAGGAAAAGAGGCTTCTTATCTGATGTTTAGAGATGTTTGAAAGTTGGACTGTCTCTCCCTCTATCCAGGAGATTCGTTTACAAAGGCCTGCCTTGTTTCCTTCCCCCAAACCCTTTCAGCTCTCATTTGGGAATGAGACCAAAGTGTCCTGGTCCAGAAACAGACAGGATAGCGCTATGTGCAGGTGAGCAAGGATCTGGGAGACAAAGGTTAATAGTATGGTTTGTGGATGTCAACAGCTACCTGTCTGTCTTGCTCCCTCAGATCCCTTCTTCCTAAGGTATGTTCTCAGCCCTGCCAAGAACCTCGGGAACCCTTGGCTCACACATGCGAGCGGTTGGGGGACCAAAGTCCCTGCCTCCCTCTCTGCCATGAGTCAGGGCGCCTGCAAGCCAAGAGGCAGCGCCTGCAGAATGGAGTCCCTCTAATAAATGGGAGAGAGGGGACCCTGGCCATCCCAGAAGAGGAGGCTCGTTGGCCAATTCCTGCTTTGGAGGATTGTCAGTTGACCCAAGCCCAGGTGAGTTTGCTGTAGGCAAACCTTTTGTAGGTTAAGGTCAGAGGGGAGATGGCCCCATTTTGGTTCACACCTCTTTTCTCACCGGCAGGATGCTGGTGTTGGCCAAGAGCTTCTGGAGAGCTTCCCACCTCCCTGCAGGTGAGCGTTTCCACATTAGGGTGGAGGAATGACTAAGCCATCCTTCTCTCTTTACCAGGATTACAGAGCCAAAGAGGTTTTGAGAGTAGTTTTTCTTAAAGGGCCACTCCCCAGATGTGCTAGCCTTCCAGGGACTGCGATTGGCCGAATGCCATGCTGATAGGACAGTTGCCAGAATGGAAGTTCACTTTATTTGGAATCTCTGGAATGGGGAAGGTTTAACATTTTTTATCTTTCAATGCCACTGGCTGGGTAAATTTCTAACTGCTGCCCAGTTGGAGAAGACTGTTCCAGAACATCATCAGATGGAAGAGCTAAAACGATTGCCCATCACTTCCCATTGTTTCTGCTCTTGCTCAGGAGTGATCAGCGAGAATTGCCTTATCAGTCATCAAGCATGGAAAAACCAGTGCCTTCAGATCCACATGACCAGGAGCATCCCACAGGTTGGTGGAGCTCTGAATTAAATAAAATGACCTGGCAGCCTGATAGTATGCAAAGAAATATGTTTGTCCCTATACACTGATAACAAAAGCGATCACCCTTTCTGTGGCCAAGGGTTGCATTTTGGGGAAAGGATCCTCAGAGGAATAATCTAAAATATGCTATTTGAGTGAATGGCAAAGGCAGGGAGGAATTCATTTCATGAACCTCTGTCCCTGAATTTATTTAGAAAAGATGGGGATTTGCCTCACCAAGAAATTCCAGGCCGATGTATTAAGCAGTGTTTCTTAACCTTGGTGACTTAAAATGTAAGGACTCCAATTCCCAGAATTCCCCAGTCTGCCATGGTTAAGAAACAGTAGTATAAGGGGAAAGGAATTTTTTTTGTATCTTGGTCTGTAATGAGAATGCCTCATTATTTATTAATCTTGACATGTGCTAGCATTACAGACACAAGTGTTGAAGATGAAAATGAAGGCAGATTACTATACCTTTGTAAATGTTTAGCAATATTGCTGTGCATGAGAAAGAGAGCAAGAAAAGAGAAACTGTGAAAAAGGGAAAAGAGAGGAGAAAGATGAGGAAAAGAAAAAAAACGAGGCTCTAGAGTACTTTTGACTTTGGGCCTATTAGGTTATGCAGCTCAGAATTTAAATAAATTCCAAAGAGGCTACTGAAATTCAGCTTTATTGTTGATCAGTGGGCTAAGCTGGGCATTCTCAAACTTTTGCCTCAAACAAAGCAAGGCAAAAAGACAAAAGGCACACATGAATTAAAACTTTTTTCTTTGTTATAGTTTGCACAGGTGACGTTTTGTTTAGAAGCACAATTTCTTATCCACTAGTTCTGGCAAAGCTCACGATTTCCCAGCGCTTGAGAATAACTAGGCAGGGAGGAATGGATACACATTTTCTGGCATTTAGCCCAGAGCTTGATAGGGCCCGTTATCTTACAGCTGGTGGTTACAACAGACACAATACACATTTCGAAGTCACAGCAAAGTTACTGCAAGGATAAGCTTGGCATTCAGCCTGGAGCTATTAATAGTACATTTTAAGTTACAATGGAGCTCTCAGCTCAGTAAGAATAACAATAGCTACACACTGTGCAGGCTCTAATCCTTTCTGGCCTTTTCATCGCTTGCAGTGATACTCTACTGTCATCCTATACACCAGGGGTCTCCAACCTTGGCAGCTTTAAGCCTGGAGGACTTAAAAATTCAAAGCTGGCTGGGGAATTCTGGGAGTTGAAGTCCTCCAGGTTTAAAGTTGCCAAGGTTGGAGACCCCTGCTATACACCTTACTGTGTCTCCTAGGAAAGGATGTCATGTACATGTAGTCCTTGACTTGCGACCACAATTGATCCCAAAGTTTATGTTACTAAGCAAGGCATTTCTTAAGTGAACTTTGCCCCATTTTACCCCTTTCCTGCCATCGTTGTTAAATGAATTACTGCAGTTGTTAAGTTTGTAACACAGTTGTTAAGTGAATCTGGCTTCTTCCATTGACTTTGCTCTTCAGAAGGTCGCAATAGAGGATCACATGATCTCCGGACACTGCAATAATCATAAATATGAGTCAGTTATCAAGCATCCAAATTTTAATCAAGTGACCATGGGGATGCTGCAACAGTTGTAAGTGTGGAAAATGATCATAAATCACTTTTTTTTCAGTGCCAGTTTAACTTCCAACAGCCAATAAACGAACTGTTGTAAATTGAGGATTACCTGTTATAGCAAAAGGCTATTCTTTTTAAGACAAATTGACAATTTGATGAAAAACAGACACTTTGTGTTGATGATCCAGGCAGTTTTCTTGGTAAAAATATGACCTGGTCATGGGTCCAGGCTAACTGAAGAGCCATCTCATCCCAATGGTATTGGCTTGTCTCACCTGCCCCAGCAATAGGGACATGCTGTAGATCCCATCGGCTGAGGAACGTTGGTTGAGGAGAAGAGCCTCTCCTGCTGTGGCTCTGGAAGTTCCTGGCCTTCAAAGTGGGATCTGCCACCCTTTTCTTGGCCTGAGAAGGTCTGAAGACCTGGCTCTGCCATTTGACTTGAGGCCCTGATGGGGTCGTATTGGTCCCTTTTTTGCCTAGTGTTTTTGTTAACTTTAATGTTTTAATTTTAATGAGCTAATTGTTTTGTATTGTGTTTGTGACATTGAGTCACATGATAGCGAGATGCATATAGATTTAATCAATAAACAACTTTAACAAATAAATAGTATGAAAATAGCTTACCACTACCTCCTGGCAAGATTTTCTTCAACTTCCAAATCTAGCAACTTCTCTGGCATGTTCTGGGGGGACAGGAATCTCTCCTCTGAGTACTAACCAGGTTTGATCTTAACTTCTGAATTGGCCAGAATCAGCCAAGTGCTGCCACATGCTAAGACAGGCCCTGTAGGACTTCCCTTTTAATTAATTGGAAGTAACGTTCTTTGAAAGGTGCCAGCCAGAGAAATATTTTGAACTCTCCCTGTGTTGCTTTGAAATCATCAAAGGGCCATTTCTGAGGTAGATGGGCAGTTAAGAAGTACAGGTAGCCCTCAACTTATAATAGTTTGCTTAGTGACCATTCAAAGTTTCAACAGCACTGAAAAAAGTGACTTACGATCATTTTTCGCACTTATGACCGTTGCAGCATCCCCCATGGTTACGCGATTTACATTTGGATGATTGACAACTGGTTAATATTTATGACAGTTGCAGTGTCCCTGGGTCACGTGATCACTTTTTACAACCTTCTGACAAGCAAAGTCAATCCACAGACACTTAACCGTGCTACTGATTTAACAGCTGCAGCGATTCACTTTAACAAATGTGGCAAGAAAGGTGGTAAAATGGAGCAAAACTCACTTAACAAATTTCTCACTTAGCAACATAAGTTCTGGGCTCAGTTGTGGCCGTAAGTCGAGGATTACATGTATAAAATGAACGAATGAATGAGTGAATCGTCATACAGCTGTGTTTGAACATCTTGTGTAAATGGTCCTTCAAGATACTTCTTCTTTTCCTCTGCGGCCCACTTCCTGTGTAACAGCCATATCTTTCCCCTTCCATCAGGTCCATCCTCTGAAACGTCCAGACTTACTTCGGCTTTGACTCTCTTGCGTCCTTCCATGGTCCCGCGTTTCAGGCCCTGGGGCTTGGCCCCAGTCTTCCAAAGCATGCGTTCAAAACTGGAAGCCTTTGCCGACATCTTCCTCAGCCCATCCAAATCATCTGTGCCACCTGCTGAAAGATCTCCGTCCCCACCACCAGATCCTCCAGCAAATGAGGACGAAGCGGCAACAAGTTCTCCGGCCACCCCTCGCCCAGGAGTCAAAATCGAGATGAAAATCGCCATTTCTGAACCATGTCCCCGCAAGAGGAGCTCTTGCCACGAAGAAGAGAAGGAAGAAGCAAACCGCCTGGTGGTTAGCAGGAGGCCCCCCATCCGCCAGTGGCACTTGAGGAAAGGAGAGCCAGCTCCACAGCCCCTCCTTGGACGTAGCAATTCCTGCCCTGATTTTCCTAGAGCCCGCTCTTGCCAAAACGTCTCTTCGGTGCTTTCTCCCTTGCTGCAGCTGCGGCAACGCCGGCACACAGTTTGCAGTCTGGAAGTATCTCGAGAACTGGACCGTCCCACGCTGCCCTGCCTGCGTAAGGAAGTGTACCCCTTTAGCAGTTCCCCTGCCCGCCGCTTGCCGCCACGACCCTTGGTTCATGCTGCCTACTGTGATCCATCCTCCTGCTCTTCCCTCACACCATCCTGCTGTCCTGAACCTGACCCCGTGCATTCCAGGTAAAAGCTTTTCCATCTCTGTTACCCAAAGACGTATGCTGCCCCCTCAAGGAACCTCAGCTCCACTCCAGCAAGGCAAGAGTAATCCTGAAGACACAGGCATAAGCTTCATTTCCCGACTGCTCCCTGAAAGGAAAGGAAGGGCAAGAAAGGATCGGAACGTTTGATCCCTCCTTGTGGAAAGGCTGGATCTGTTAACAGCAGTGATCCCCAACCTTTCTGGCTTTGTGGGCAGGCAGGGGGAGGGAATGATTATGTGCAAATGGCAGGTAAGCTCGTGGGGGTCCATTTGCGCGAGTGGCGCAGTGCTGGGTTTCAAAGAGGTTTACCACACCGCTTCGCTGGGTGTGGCTTTGTGCACGCATGCCAAACACATACTTTGCACACACGCAGAGGCTTTTCTACTCACCTGCAATCCCTGTAGTTTGAACAGTTGCCGCGCAGCAATCTCCTGTGCCGCGCAAAGCAGCTGCGCTTCAAAAGCAGGGAATAAAGGTCTGCACACGAGCCTGGGCGGGAGGGTGAGCCCAACAGCAACTCCTCCAAGAGAACCAGTTTGGTCTCCGCCGATCTTCGGCGCTACCAGTACGCCAGAACCAGGCCGAACTGGTAGAATAGCACCACTGCAGTGGTAGGCACAAGCCCCTGCTGCTTGCACAAGTGGAGCTGCTTGCCCGCTGCGTCCGTGGCCCAGTTCTGAACGGGCCATGGCCCAGTAGTGGTCTGAGGCCCGGGGGTTGGGCACCCCTGTTTTGCAGCATATTTTCTATGTTGGGAGATTTGAGGTCACATATTCTTGAACTCTTCCCAGCTAGCATGACCTGGAATAAAGCAGGTATGTACAGGCAGTGTTGTAGTCTTTGACTTACAACAGTTCATTTAGTGAGTGAAGTTACAACGGCATTGAAAAGTGACTTATGACCATTTTTCACAGTTATGACCATTGCACCATCCTCATGGATACGATCAAAATTTAGACAGTTCATATTTATGAGGCTTGCAGTGTCCCTGGATGTCATGTGATCACCTTTTGTGACCTTCCGATAAGCAAAGTCAACAGGGAAACCAGATTTACTTAACAGCTGTGTTACTAACAACTGGATTAACAAATCTGCCAGTTGTTGGTCATAAAATGGGGCAAAACATAATTTAACAATTGTCCTGCTTAGCCACAGAAATTTTGGTCTCAATTTGGGTCATTAGTCAAGGACTACCTGTAATCCAAGAATATGTTGTCTGCTGTTTAAGACTTTGAGCAAGAGTATTGGAAAGCCATTTTTAAAGATCAAGATTACACCAGACCATGTTCCCCTGAGGTCCATCTCTGTATAAGGCACAGTTGAAATTCCAATTATTAACTAATTCTGGAATCTGCAGAGAGAGAGAGAGAGAAATTACTTTTTTGCTTTTTTCCTTGATCCACCTTTCCTACAGCTTCCACGGAATGTTGTATATTTAATGGGTCCTCCTGTTCAATCAGCTCGCTTTCCCCTCCCTTACAATATGTGTTGGACTACGGAGTTCCTGGTTGTATGGAGGTGGAGGATGCAGATGTTTATAATTGTGACACATATTGAAACCTAAGAGAAGAAGGATTGGGTGGAGATTGAATTTAAGTTCTTTTCCTGTTCTGAATGGATGAGCAGATTTCTCCAACATAGAAAACATCTGGATTCTCTTTGACCTGTACGTAATTTGTTTCCTTTGTCCTTTCAGGAATGCCTCCCTCTCCCCAGATGGTGCGCAAAGGGTACCAGCAGTTGGCTTAGACATGGTTGCATCAGAGCAGTTGATGCTTTCAGAAGATGAGATGAAGGTCAGTCACTGTTTTATGTTTTATTCCTAACAGAGGAAATGCTGCAATTAAGATGCACCCTCCCGCTCTATAGGACTTGGCTTTCTCATCGTGTCCATGCTTTGTTGTTGTTGTTAGTCGTGAAGTCATGTCTGACCCATCGTGACCCCTTGGACAACGTTCCTCCAGGCCTTCCTGTCCTCTACTATCCTCCAGAGTCCCTTTAAGCTCACGCCGACTGCTTCAGTGACTCCATCCAGCTACCTCATTCTCTGTCATTCCCGTCTTCTTTTTCTTTTGCCCTCAATCGTTCCCAGCATTGGGCTCTTCTCCAGTGAATCCTTCCTTCTCATTAGGTGGCCAAAGTATTTGAGTTTCATCTTCAGGATCTGGCCTTCTAAAGAGCAGTTGGGGTTGATTTCCTCTAGGACTGACCGGTTGGATGGCCTTGCAGTCCAAAGGACTCGAAGGAGTCTTCTCCAGCACCAGAGTTCAAAGGCCTCAATTCTTTGGTGCTCAGCCTTTCTTATGGTCCCATTTTCACAGCCATACATTGCAACTGGGAAAACCATAGCCTTGACTATACTTTTCTTGGCAGGGTGATATCTCTGCTTTCTAGTATTCTGTCTAGATCTGCCATAGCTTTCTTCCCCAGGAGCAAGCATCTTTTAATTATTTGGCTGTAGTCTCCATCTGCGGTGATCTTGGAGCCCAGGAAAATAATATCTGTCACTACCTCCATTTCTTCCCCATCTATTTGCCAGGAATTGAGAGGGCTGGATGCCGTGATCTTAGTTTTCTTATTGTTGAGTTTCAAGCCAACTTTTGCAGTCCATACTTATCCCGACTTAATTTCCCTAAAATCTACAGGGATCCCAAGACAACACAGTAGGGAAGGTGTCCTGCATAAGAATCCGCAAGACGCCAGCCAAGCACCAAGCTAATCTCACCCCCATGGGGCTTCCCCGTCCAGTCAGGTGAGAGCATCTTAAATAAATTAGGAGAATGGGTCCCAAATGAAAATGCTTCTGGAGGAAGATGGGAATGGGCTTCTCTATTGCCCAATAGTGATCTGAGAACCTAGGATCCAGATTCTCCGTGAATCCAAGAGGGAAGGGGGCAGTGCGTAAGCAGAAAGGAGTGGGCCTTTTCCAGGGTTAAAGTTCTGCTGCTGGGTCATTTGCTTTTCAATTGCATTAGAAGAAATCTAGGACTTTTACTTTCTGGTGGTGGGTCAGAGATCAACTTTTTTGGAACTCTGAAGAAAGGGTTAAAGAGGGGAGTTCTGGAACCTTGCGCCTTGAACATTTTCCAAAAATGACCCAGTGAGCAGTTCTGACAAGATCTAATGGAATGGCAGGCTAAGAGACTTGTCTGAAAATTGAGCAGAATATTACCCTATACACTGTGAAAAAAAGGTTTTATTTTTCTGCAGAAAATTCTCCTATCTCACAGATACTGTTTCCCTATTGGCCAAGTTATTCCAAGGTAATATGTTCTGTTTCTCTCCTTTCTCAGGCTCAACAAGGAAGTGTTCAGTCTGGAGGAGATCTACACGAACAAGAATTATCACACACCTAAGGTGAAGAGGTGAGAAGGCCAGCTAATGGCTTGTATGATTCTTGGCCCAGGCTGATACATGGTGGAGTCACAAGGTGGTGGGTCATATGTATATACTTGGGTTTATAGCTCAGCAGCTTTGTGAAACCAATAGTTCTGCAAACCATAGTTAAGCAAACCACAATACAATGTCCAAGTTCAATGAAGGAGTCACAAGTAGCCAAGTAAAGTCAACATGCTTGAAAAAGAAATGCTTTCACAGTTTCTAACCAAAGATCCCATGGCTATATTGGCTGGGAAGGTTGAGACAAAGGATTTGGAGGGCACTTGGTGGAAGAAAGCTAACACATATAAAAATACCTTCTTAAAATACCTTTTGTGACCACAGACCCCCAAGATTTAAATCATAACATTTCTTCAAGCCTTCGCGCACCCCCTGCAGCGACATCGCATCCCCTCCAAAGGGTCCATAGGCCACAAGTTGAGAACCATTGTACTAGACTGTACTTCATGGTGGAAGACAATTGCTTTGGAGTAGTATTAAAAGAGCACAAGTGAAGTATCAATTGTGTTGTTTTCCACAGTGTTTCTCAACCATAACAATTTTAAGATGTGTGGACTTTGAATTCCCAGAAATCCCCTAGCCAACGTGAATGAAACCCACATTTCTTTCATTCCAGAATGCTGGGTGGGGAAATTCTGGGAGTTGAAGTCCACACATCTTAAAAGTTGCTGAGTTTAAAAACACTGCCCTAGCATTTGCTCCCTGTTGTCAAAGCAATGTGCAAGTTAACGTTAATTGCGTTGGACTCAAATGCACCAGTGAACCACACCCATAATCTAACTGATGGACCATGGAGGGCTTACGGAATTCATCATTGAACAACATTTCCAGTCTAGGCTTATCTCTTGCTTCCCATTTACTGTGGTTATGCAGAATTTCTATGCTATTCTCTGGCAGTGGTTCTCCACCTGTGGTCCACAGATCCCTGGGGGAATGTGATGTTTTCACAGGGGTCCACGAAGGCATGAAGAAACGTTATTTAAATCTAGTAGTTCACTTCCTTCTATCCAGGACGTATCACATAAGCGATGCTTGAGCAGAGTCCGCAGGATTGTCTGGGACACTACACATCCTCTTTATGACCTGTTTTCCTTGCTACTTTCTGGGAGGGGGCTTCGTGGTATCCGAAGCAGAACATCCAGATTCAGCCACAGTTTTGTTCCACGTAGTATCAGCCTTGTGAATTCTCAAGTTACCTCTTTCTGCTGCTTGTTCAAAATGGACGGTTAGATATATATATTTTAAAAATGGCAGCAAGTTATCTTAAGTCTTGTTGGTCTATGGCCATGGGCCGTGGCCACAAAGGTATTTAAAGAGGGTCTGTGGTGTAGAAAATGTGGAGAACCACTGCACTGTAATAAATTGCTTGTTGCACCTTTTAGAATTTTTTAATTCTTGGAGTAGGTCAAGTGGTTCTTAAGTAAGCAGTGAATACAAAAAGCTCTACATTCAAAAGGGAACTGTAGAAAATTATTTTGCTGTAGAGGTGTTTTACATTTTTCCTTACCTTTGCATTTTATACCCTTTCCTCTTTTCTTTCACCCTTGACCTTTTGGGCACCCACTAAGAAGATTGTCAAAATTGTTTGATGACATGCAGTTCCATGCCTTACATCCAGAACATGCTCTGCACTTAACGATTGCCTGAATACTGGCATCGCTTCCCTGCTGCTGCTAAATATCGGGAGCGAAGAGGAGTTTTACAGTTAGATCTGTCCTCCTTTTAGCCTGTTTGATAGCTACCAGTCTAAAGCTGGTCTCCCTGTTAAGGAACTTCAGAGGCGGCTTCTCCTTTAAATTTTGGTGTCTGGCCCCCTCCTCTTTCTCCTTGCAGTTCCTTCGAGACCATATTTGAAGTACCACTGGAACGCAACGGAGCCCTTGTCTTCACCAGCCAACGCAAGCTGAAGAGGGTAATGAAATTCCAGGAGATGGGCCTTCCCCGCAAGCAACGCAAATCTCACCTCCGGAAGGGACATAGGGCAAAGAGAAGACGGGCCCAGCCCCAGTCTGCTGAACTGGAGGAGATGCTACGGCAAAAACTGGCTGAACTGGACGCCCTATTTGAGGAGGAAGTGTGTTGAGCTGAATCTGCAGAATAGTACCTATAGGAGCCTTTTCCTTCCCATCTCTTCCCCTTTCCTCAAAGTACTTATTTCTCAAACCACCCTTGAGTTGTCTAATATTTTTTCTCCTGAGCACTCCAATCTTTTCCCCATGTCCTCTATTCTCCATGTCAACACCACCTGTTCATCTCCAGTGACAGGTGTTTCATCATCCAGGGATCCTAGGTTGTCCTCCAAACCACAGAGAGTGTACTTATGAACGTGGGGCCGGATGTCACCCTGCAGCCTCCCTCAGCTAGCTTGCCAGGTGTTTTATTTTGCCAGTCCCCTTTTCCTTAGGCTCACCAGTCTGAAGAAGCAGAGTGTTGGTGAGGCCCAAAAAGTAGTGATGCCCATTCCTCGCGTTCTGCTTCCCTCTCACAATCAGACTCTCAGTACCTGAGTTAGAGGAAGTGAATCATCTGATCAAGATTTAGCACAGCAAGGGATGTATCCAACTATGTGGAGATTGAGTTACTCCTTTTCTGTGGCTGCCATCTTGACTAAACTAGGAAACCCGTTGGTTGCAAAGGCATGACAGGAGAGGAAGAGCAAAACCAGGCTTGTAATGGAAGAGAAGACATGTCAAGAAGCTCAGAAAGGAGATGTTTCAGGAAGGATTGTTAATACATAAATGGCTATGAATCCTGCTTCAGTATTCCAAGTTTGAATAGGCTTATTGGGGTTATAATCTGTTAGGCATGGTGGAGCAGGGGAGTTGTTTGAATTTCTTGAATTAATCTATATTTGTAATAAATCTTGGAAGAAAGATTTTTGTTTTGTTATTTTTCCAGTCTTGTTTACGAGGCTGCTGAAAACAGCTCATAGGTAAAATGTCTATGAAGATTATTCTCAGTCATTCAGGTCATGGTTGCCTCAAAGGGACTTTTTAAAAAGGCAACTGGAAAATGTTTCTTTCTTTTCAGTCATTTGGTTGTTAGGTACTCTCTCATTTGGGGGTTTCATTTGTGCCCCTCGAGGCCACCTGGATCAGAGTGTGAATAGGTGTAGAATCTCCATGGAACTGCTGAAAGGACTGTTGTAGACAAGGGATACAATGTGATATAATCCTTCCACCCCCACCCACCCCCAAAGATCCTGTCAGAACTAATTCTTCCATTTCCCAATCACTACCACCAGCCAGCCAGAACTGATGAAGATTCTTGGATGAGAAACAAAACTTCTTCCTCAAGGGAAAAAAAACAGAGCAACTTTGAGACAATTCATAGGTAAGTTTCAAGGTCAGAGTTCACTCAAGGTCCAGCAAAATGAAGATGTCACAATGGATCTACTTCATTTGATGCCACAGGGTCAAGACCTAGTGATTGACTTTCCCTGAAGGGTTTGTTTCCCTGAAGACACAAATAGTGAAAACTAACTAGTATTCTTAACCTCTTTGTTTCATGCTTGATGCCGCAGCTTTCAACTAATAGCAAGAGACATCTCAGGATTTATTAGTTGGCGTTTGTTAAAACTTAAATGTGAAATTTTAGGGTTATGTAAGGACTTGATGTTCTACAAGTGATTAAGGTAATTTAAAATGTTATTCAGATGCAGATGCTTTCTTGATCAGGGACTTATTATTTTGGAAAACAACAGGCTCCTTAGCCTGAAAAATTTGAAAATTTCTGTTCCTGATGACAGAGGTTAGGAAGTCAATGAGGTTTTCTTTTGACAATTTTTCTACACAGATTGTTGAATAAGTCAGTATTTTCCAGTTTTAAGAATAGTAGACTTCCACTTCCAAAATCTGGGAGTTGAAGTCTACATATCTTAAAATTGCAAAAGCTGAAAAATACCGGAACAAGCAACACTGAATAGTGGACCTGTGTATATTTTTCCAGTGTCAGCTACAGGAGTTCATTTGCAATAACATGTGAGTTCTATTGTACAGATCTGATCATTTCTAGCAGAGGGGATGGGAGTGGAGGTTGGTTTATTTATTCCAAACTTTGGAGTTCAACTATTCCATATAATTTCAATTTGTTAACAATATTGCTTACAGTTAAAATTGCTGGCAGGAATTACTGAGTTTCATAGTCTTCCTCTGCCTTCCAAGTTTAAATTACAGCAACTTTGTTTTCAATCTTAACAACTTCTTAGCTGTTTGTTGAAAACAACCCGAAGTAGCAGAATCTGAGAGATGAAAAGCATTGTAGTTTTGTGAAAATTGTCCTTACGTGACTAACTGTGTGGTCACTTTCAGGGCTTTATTAACAATTCTATAATCTCTGTTAACGAGAGAAAAGGGGGAAACTAACGTTAAATCAACTGAAGACGATCTGGGGATGTTCAGATTTCTGCACTACTACATTCATCGTTTTCTTATTTAGAATCAGTAAACCAGGGGTGTCAAGCTTGATTTCATTGAAGGCCAATCAGGGTTGTGTTTGACCAGAGTGGGCATGGCCAGGATGACATCACTTTTGTTGGGGAGGCACCTGTGGTGGCCGGAGCTCTCTGCCAGCAAAAACAGGCTCCTGAGCTCTGTTTTGGCTGCAAAGGCCTCCTGCAACCTTCTGCAAGTGAAAACGGAGCTCGGGGCCCCCACACATGGCTTTCACAAGCTCCGTTTTTGGCTGCAACCCTCTGCCAGTGAAAGTGGAGCTTTGGGGGGGCCATGTGCGGCTCTCTAGCTCCTTTTTCGCTGGCAGAGGCATCATGGGCGGGTCCTTCACTATTTCCAGGGAGGCCCCATTGGGCCAGGTCTAAGCACTCCATGGGCTGGATCCGGCCCCAGGCCTTGAGTTTGACACCCCTACTGTAAAGTGAGTGTGAGTGGTAGAACTGTTGAACTAAACTTTGTATATCACAGAGGTTATGTCAGTTTCTTTCACTTAGGAATTAAAGGTGCTTTAAACTTTTGCATGTAACTGGGACTATCTAAGGACAGGGTACCTGTGGTTAAGTTCTGTTTGTGATCTTCTCTGAAGATGCTAATAACAGCTAGAGAAATCTCAGCATATACAGCCAACCACACATTAGCTGGAAGTCATTTCCTTTCACACCAATGAACTGCTAGGAAAAATTAACACTACAATATTGTGCCTGATTCAGTAAGTTTGGATAAGCTTGCTTTTGAGGCCCCAGTTTTAGCTGTCTGGTGCCAAAATCTTACGTAGCTTTTTCTCTGGTAATATTTACACTACTAACTAGAGCATGCAAAACATTTGCTAGGCCAATACTCGAATACAGCTCATCAGTCTGGAACCCACATTACGTATCTGATATTAGCACAGTTGAGAAAGTCCAGAAATATTTCACAAGAAGAGTTCTCCACTCCTCTACTCATTGCAGAATACCTTATGCCACCAGACTCGAAATTCTAGACCTAGAAAACCTAGAACTACGCCGCCTTTGGTCCAATCTAAGTATAGTATATAAAATCATACATTACAATGTCCTACCTGTCAATGAATACTTCAGCTTCAACCATATCAATACAAGAGCAAACAATAGATACAAACTCAAGATTAATCGCACCAAACTTGATTGCAGGAAATAGGACTTCAGCAACAGAGTGGTCAATGTCTGGAATACTCTACCTGACTGTGGTTTCTTCCCCAAATCCAAAAAACTTTAATCTTAGACTTTCTACTATTGACCTCACCCCTTTCCTAAGAGGTCTGTAGGGGGCGTGCATAAGCGCACCAACGTGGCTACTGCCCCTGTCCTATTGTTTTATTTTTCTTATATGTATCCATGTATTCATAACTATGGTTTTAAATATAAATAAATATTTATTTATTTATATTTGTCATTTGCTTACAAGATAATAGGTATATCTTGCAAGCAATTGACAAATATAAATAAATAAATAAAACAGCACATTTTTAAAGAGAGTGGACTACAAGTCCCAGAAGCCCCCCAGCCAGCTGGGGAATTCTGGGAATTGCAGTCCACCCACCTTCAAGATGCCAAGTTTGAAAAAAATAGCCCCTGAGCCATGAATCAGTGAAATGGATCAGCTGCTGTTCTCCTATTAGGAAGAATTGCATGGAATCTTTCCATTGTTGGAAGATGGGGATCACACGATCTTTGATGACGTCAACTGGCGGCGGACTGCCACTCCGACAAGGTGTCAATGGGCCTTCCCGGTCAAAAGAGGCGTGATCCCAACTTGAAGCGGCTATGACGTCATTGCGCACGATTGCGGAGAGGAAGCCATTTACTTCCTCGCTTTACGTTCCCCGCCGTCAGGCCTGTGACATCACTACCACCATCACCACCCCACCCAGGACGGAAGTGACTCCGGCGGGGGTTGAAAGAACGACGTCCCTCCTCCCGTCCTTTATGAAATGGGAGTTTAATAGGAGGAACTATCCCCCCCCTCCCCGCTCTCTTCCGGCGGAGGGATTCCGTCGCTTCCATCCATCCACTAGGATGGCGGAAGGATATGACGCTGTGGGCGGAGTTGCGTGCCGTGCGCAGAGAGGAAGGAGATCCGGCAGAGACAGCTAGGGAGAGAGGGAGTCTGGGGGGCAGCAGCTGAGGCGAAGCGAGAAAAAAAAAGGGCGACGGGACCTCCCCCACCACCCGCGGGGGAAGGGGATGCACCAAGGCTGCTGCTCTCCTTCCGCGCCGCTGACCCTACAGGCCGCCGCCGCCCCTCCCCCCTCCTTATTCACCCCTCCGCTTCAGCCAATCAGTTGCGGGGGCCGCCAGACGAGCGGAGGAAACCGGCCTCGCTGCCCGTCAGGTGTAGAGGTTCGCCGGACGCCCTGCCGCGGGCCCCGAGTGGAGGCGAAACGGACGGCGACGACTCGAAACTACCCTCCACAGCCGGCGCTCTTAAAGGTACAGCCCGGGGGTGGGGGGGACAGCGAGAAAAGAGGACCCTTTTCCGCCGGAGGACAAGAAACCCCTCAAGCCTCCAGCTCCTGTCAATGGATTTAAAGGGAACTCGGCCCTCTTAAAGGGGAAGTTGTCTTCGGGTCTCATTGTGACTTAAGAGGGAGGGCCGGCTCTTAAAGGGGCCGCCGGAGGACTTGTGGACGCTGGATACCCAAAGGGGAGCGCGAGCAGGACCGAGGAAGCGCTGGGAGGCCCTTTAATGCCGGTGGTGGAAACAACAAAAAAAGGGGCTGTCTGACCAGGAGGACTTTAAAAATAATAATAAAAAAAAATAAAGGTGCTTTAAAGGCGAGGCCGTGCTTCCGACAGGAAATGTGTGGCGGACTTTTAATGGGACGTTCTTAAAGGGGATGGAATGAAAGGAAGCAGATCCCCAAGCCTGGACTTTTAAAGGGCAAGGTGACGGTCATACCTTTTAAGCGGAATCCGGGATATCTTGATGATAATAATAATAATTTAAAGAAAAGGGGAAAAAAAAAGAAACCCCTTAAGATTTGCAAAGGGAACGTGGCGTTGAGAGGAAATGTCGCCACGGGAATAATTCTGGGAGCCCTCAGTCCTCAAAGGGAGAAGAGGAAGCCGATGCTCTCCGAGAGGAAGCCATTTGCCATTGTTGGCAGAAAAGCCGCATCTGCAGTCTTAAAGGGGAGGCTCTTGAAGCGCTTATTAGCCCTCTCTGGGTAGATGTAAAAAGCCTCTTTCCAGGCAGAAGCCCTAAGGCCAGGTGGTGCTTTTCAGAAACACGTAAACATAAACAATATATCTCTTTAAATAAATACAGGCACTTAAATCAGAAGCTTCAAAGGGAGAAGCAAAGAACTGGCAAGTACCACAAGCTAATTGGAAGGGATTGTCACTTTTGTGGATTTCAAAGGATCCCATCTCTCCATTACTAATTCAGGATAGGAGGGATGTAAAATTCTGATTAAAGCAAGGTGTTTTTTTGGTGTTTGATTCCCCCCCCTCTTCTTTTTCTTCTTCTGGATCCAAAGGTGAAGTTGTACCTTAAAAGAGAGTTCTGTTGGCCGGCACAGGCTAATTTCCTATTAAAGGGTTATTGGACTGATTTTGATCTTAGAATTTTCTTTCAAAAGTATTTAATTATTTTTTCATTTACTAGTCTGACCTTGAGGAAGTCAAAAAAGCAGAAGTTGCCATTTGTATTTTCCTTAAGAGAGAATTAAACCCTGAGCAAAAGACAACTTGCTTAACTTTCCAGAACAAAAAGGAACTGTTGGGATTTTGAATTGGTTTTTACGTGTAAATCAAGGAAAGTTACTGACAGTTCAGCTATAGGAGCCAAGGACTTCTTGTAAAGGAATACAAAATTTACTCTTTCTGCCCCCTCAAAAGCAATATAAAGAAGAACCTCTTTTTCACGAGCGTGGTGCTTTTCTCCCTGGCTTCAACAGAAGAGCAGAAATCAAGCAGGGACAGCTGCAATGCTTCTGGCTGGTGAAGGGTGAAGGGTGTCGCCCTTCTATTTCACGTGCCTGCTATAGCCATTGGACACAACACAGTTTATTTTCTGTATCTCAGAGGAGAGCATAATGGAAGGAACAACAGCAGCTCCTACCCCATGTTGGAGTGGGGGAGGAGGCAGCAGTAGCCGAGCACGGAGACAGCGACGTTGCTCACGGCGGGACCGTGAGAGTCGCTGTACACGCCGTAGAGGAAGCCGTCTTGGAGAGCCTCCCCATCGGGGCTTGTCCTCTTCCTCATCTTCAGCATCAGACAGTGAAGGCCCCTCTCCACCTGCCCCTGTGGCTCCCAGCAAAGGACACCCCCTACAGCAGCGGCGGCGGCGGCGGCCCCTCCGACGGCGGAACAGAGTTTCTGGATCATCTTGCAGTCGCGAAGAGGAGGAGGAGGAGGAGGAAGAGGAGGACCTCATTGATGGCTTTGCCATTGCGAGCTTTGTCAGTTTAGAGGCACTTGAGGTGAGGTAGTCCACAGCCTATTCCAATAGAAGGTCATGTCCTTTCAGGCGTTATAAGGTTAAAATAATAGATTCTTGCCCTTGTCTTTGGGCCTCCTCTGATATTTCAGAGGAGATACAGGAAAGAAAAAGACAGTAAACTGGGAATCCAACTGTTTTTGTGGAGCTCTGCAGATAACTAGTAATTATAAAAGATTTTGCACAATAGTGTTTGTAAGGATGGGTCATTTTGGAAATGAAGATTGCTTTTTTTCTTAATAGCAAATAATTGTAATATATTTTGCTACCATGGATCTTCTAATTAAAGGAAACTTACGATGATCTAAATTGTTAGTAAGCTATACCAGATGAAGTTGAATTGTTGCTAAGTAGGGATGTACTTATACTCCTCAAAAAGATTGTCAGTGACAACTCTGTCAGAGCAAGGCAAAAGGAAATTTCCAGAGGTGATTGGTGAAGTTCAGAAATCTGAAATTTTATACCCAGAGGATCAAGGGAAGATATAAAAAGAAAACATGGACATTTATAGTCTGTGGTTTTTATATATCCTTAGTTATGTGACCAAAGTTTAATACTTTTTATTTACTATGACTCTGCTTAAGTAGAGAAACAATAAGATTCTTGATGTGAGATGAAATGAGCCATATTTTCTTGGCTAAAATAGAATCTAGGCAGTTCAGGTGCAGTCAGACAAGTTTGCATAATAAAAGTTGTAAGATGGTCTTGATTGACCATGTACACTTAACACAATATCAGAACCACTTACTTGTTTGCAAAATCCTTGTTAATATTCTTGACAAGGTCCAGCTCACAGTAAGGATGTATCTTAACGTTCTTTATGAATTTGTACAATGGGCATAATATGTGCCATAGGACACAAAATGTATTATGAACATAAAGCCTGAAAATACTAAATTATTCGAGATGAGCTTGTTTGAGTATGAGGAACTGCTTATGCTTGGTGGAAGAGATGTATTTTGGGGTGCTGTGTTTCAGCTTACCCCGCACAGGCATTTTTGTAGAGGTGGGATCTGTCTGTAAACTACATATTTGTTGGGAGGGGCTAATCAGAGGATTTCAGTAAGCAATGCAGTTATTGGACGATATATAAGGCCCAGCTGTTTTACCTGCTGAAGCAGAGAAAAACATTCCTGCTTTACTCAGGAATGTTCAAGGCTGAGCATGTAGACCAGTTTCAGACTGGATTCACCAGTCTTTCTGGCTAGGCAGGATTGGGTGAGGACTAGGGTGTGAATCCAGGTGTCTTTACCAAACTCTGAAGCAGTGCAGTATACTGCCAAGAAACATTACTACACCACACACAGTCAAGCATACCATTACAAAACTATACAGTAACCTTTAATGCAATACCCTGCCAACCAGAAATATACCATCACTTCTAGGATTTATCTTTTCTAGAGCTCTTGCCCTTCTCAGGCATCCTTCAAACAATTGGTCTCTTTCTTGAACTAAAGAGGCCTTTCACAAAAATGACTACCTCTCCCAGAGCCATGTTGATCATTATGGTATAGGATAGCATTTGTTGCAGTGTTGCCTTACAAGTCTGTTAAATACTTATTGGCAAGCTAGCTCCTTGATCTACATTATCTAATTGTGGAATTTGGGATATAACTGACCAGATTATTTTTTCTTCATATATCTGTCCTTTTTTAAAAAGATCTTAGAGCATAGCTTCTTTCTCTTCTCTTTGCTTCTCTGTTACCATCCTAGAATGTTAGACTTGAAAGAACCGCAATCCTGAGTTTAGTCTGTGGACCTAAAAGCTACATATGGATTTAAACCAGATGTCCTAGCTCTTGCCTTTTAACAATTACTTACTGGCTATTAGTGTGAAAGCATTTTTATAATGTTTAGGATATAATTATACAAATAATAGGGATTCCATTTTTTAAAATAAGATGTTAGGATAATTCATTTGTGCAGTATCTGCAACGCAGTGCAAAAAATGTAAATGTTATTTCTGGATCCAAAATAAATAATTGTTAGTACTGATAGTTAAGTAGCCAGGCTAGGTATTTCAATTTTTGTCCCAGAGTTTTGTATTATGTTTTGTAAGGTGCTTTCCAGTTTTTATATTTAAACGCACATTTCTATATCCCACAGCAGCAGCTGCGATATCACAGCTTTTATTCAGAGGGTAGATTGTCTGCAGCCATTATAATGCCCACCTTGTCACTCCTGCAGAAGGATGCAACCTTGAAGACTCCAGAGAGATTGGAGCTTCGACTGAAACATTCAGGAAAGAGGAAACGGGGTGAGGGAAACAATTCTGAGCCTGAAGATGAAGACGAAGGCTCAGAAAAGGATCGCAGCCAGGGCTGTGGAGGGGAGAGAGCACTGAGAAAACGAAGCAAGAGACGGCACAAAGAGGTGAGGTCTTAGGCGAAGGGTAGGAAACTGAAGCAGGCAAGGGTGTATGTGCAATAAAGTTTGAAAACAGCTCAATTGAACTGGGGAAGCTTGCGGGCTGGATTAAGCTTACAGAGGCTTCTCCTAGGAATCTGCTTCCAAACACCTCTGTTTCTCAACACAGTTGTGTGGAAAATTACAGGATGAACAACCAGTGGAGGGCAGTATTACTCTCTGAAGTGAAAGGGTGTTTCTTGAAGGCTGCACTTTGTCATTTTTACTGGGCTAGATGAGTGGGAAGGAAAAGCTTTGGGAAACACCACTTCAGGCTACTTGGAAGATCCTAAGGAGCCAAATAGACTGTGGCAACAGAAAGCCTGTAGCCTTTTGAGCCAGCAGGTACAGCAGCTGTCATGGAAATGGAGCCTTGCCTGCTCGTAACATTGCCATTGTGGTTATTATAGCCTGTCACAAATCAGGCTATAATAACCACTATAATTTTCTGAGCAGCTTAGCAGTTTCAATTTCCAAAGTATTAAATGTGTTAAACACACAAGTTTGTAATATTATTTTCTGTTCACAATAATGTTAAGTTAAAGCTGCCAATTCTTTAGCTAATAGTGACCTACATATGCATCAAATTCTTCCTAAGATGTCATATCAGAGTAGTATACATGTAGATCCAAGTAGGGTGGCCTACAGTTGTCAGATGGTAACTTGTCAATCCAAGTTATTTTGGGTATGACACACAGTGTGCTGACAGCTACTGGGACCACCAAGTCTGGTTTATGCCATAATCTTTCCATTTCAATTTTCCAGATCTTGATAATGATTTTCTCCAATTCTTTGTTATCCGCTGGTGTGGCCATATCAAGTACCCATCTTCTCAATCAAAGTTAAATTGAGTGTATTATGAACCCAGACTTTATTATCTATATTTGGAAATTCCTCAGTATTATTTATAAGTATACCTGTGGTGTCGATATGCATCTAGATGCATATTTGAAAATAAAAATGCCTCTGACAACTGATGCTAGTTTTGCAGCTTCCCATTGTTTTTAAAAATAATGGAATTAAAAAGATACGGTCCAGGAGGCCTTGCCAGTATTAAGAGTGAGGAGTAATGCATGGCCGCCTGTGTCTAAGCAAAGGAATTTATACGTTAGCTGTGCTAACATATAGCCAGTGCAGCTTTGTACCCCAAATGGTGCTCCATTGGAGTAAGCAGTGCCTTGGTCATCTGTTATAATTTGCCACGCAAAAGATATATGCATTAATATTCAGTAGCGGAAAAGTGCAAAAGTGCAACATTGACAGCAGAAAACTGTCATTCTGCTCTATGCAGAATCAGAGCAGGAGCAACAAAGCCTATGACTTGTGGACTCAGTGAAGACAATATTATACAATTGCAATATTCACATAACTGTGCCAAAAAATCCCCCTGTCTTAATATAAATGCATAAAATGTGCTAAGCTTTTATTGGAAATAAGACAATCAGTTTGGACAACTCAGCCTGTAGTCTTCTTGAATTTTCTGTTCATTTGCATATTTTTTGTTTATTAACATGTCCAAGAGCAATAGAATGGGAATAAAGCTGACCTATATTTAACATTGCTTATATATTTTCTTGGAAAAAAAATAAACAACAAATCTGAGAGAGGTATGTAAGAATTAAAAATGCTTTTATAGCTTTGCTTTATAAAGGAAAATTGAATAGCAAAACCAAGAAAATACATAATAAAATAAGTCTAAAGGACAGCTTCCTGAAACCTATATAATAAAAGACATAAAAGATATAAGGGTCCCCTGTACCTATATTAGGATGGACATATTTTTCAGCCAGAGGCTGCATTAGCTGTTGGAATGGCATGCCAGATACATTCCTTAAATGTGGGTAGAAAGGAAATTAACTATAGTTAATACCCATGTTTCCCCCAAAATAAGACTCTGTCTTATTTTCTTTTGGATCCCAAAATAAGCACTAGTGCCTATTTTCAGGGGATGCCTTATTTTTTTTCCGTGTATGGGAGGCCCACTTCTGCTTGCTTGTGGCCGTAATGGAACAGGAGGCCGATCAATGCATCGGTGCCATGGCCATGAGGCAGGGTGGGTGGGGATGGAGCATGCACCCTGCATCCTCGAGGCCCCTGCAGCCAGGCCATCCATGCCCCGACACTTGCCTTGCGGCTGCGGCACCAACACACTACTTGGCTTGCTGCTCTGTTGCAGCCGTGAGCAGGCAGAAGAACTGGGCCCGCGGCCACATGGGCTTCTGCTGCACATGATTGTCGATGCTGCTGTGCAGCAGGTGTTGGGGTGGGGATGCCCTGGCTGCAGCAGCCCTGAACAAAGCCAGTGTGGGGCATGTAGGGCGGTTCTATCACCACCCTGCCTCATGGCCGCGGCACCACGAGCAACCAGATGAAATGGGAAGCAGGCAGCTGTGCAGGTTCTTAAGTTGGGCTTACAGGTGAAACTGGAAAAATTAGAATATCGTTCAAAAGTTCATTTATTTCAGTAATGCAACTTAAAAGGTGAAACTAATATATGAGATAGACTCATTACATGCAAAGCAAGATAGTTCAAGCCGTGATGTGTCATGATTGAGATGATTGTGGCTTACAGCTCATGAAAACCCCAAATCCACAATCTTGGAAAATTAGAATATTGTGAAAAGGTTCAATATTCTAGGTTCAAAGTGTCCCACTCTAATCAACTAAGTAAGCCATAACACCTGCAAAGGGTTTCTGAGCCTTTAAATGGTCTCTCAGTCTGGTTTAGTAGGAATCACAATCATAGGAAAGACTGCTGACCTGACAGTTGTGCAGAAAACCATCATTGACACCCTCCATAAGGAGGGAAAGCCTCAAAAGGTAATTGCAAACGAAGTTGGATGTTCCCAAAGTGTTGTATCAAATAGAAAGTTATGTGGAAGGGAAAAGTGTGGAAGAAAAAGGTGCACAAGCAGCAGCAATGACTGCAGCCTGGAGAGGAGTGTCAGGAAAAGGCCATTCAAAAGTGTTGGGGACTTTCACAAGGAGTGGACTGAGGCTGGAGTCAGTGCATCAAGAGCCACCACACACAGACGGATCCTGGACATGGGCTTCAAATGTCATATTCCTCTTCTCAAGCCACTCCTGAACAACAAACAACATCAGAAGCGTCTTACCTGGGCTAAAGAAAAACAGAACTGGTCTGTTGCTCAGTGGTCCAAAGTCTTCTTTTCTGATGAGAGCAATTTTTGCATCTCATTTGGAAACCAAGGACCCAGAGTCTAGAGGAAGAAGGGAGAGGCAAGATGCTTGAAGTCCAGTGTGAAGTTTCCACAGTCTGTGTTGATTTGGGGAGCCATGTCATCTGCTGGTGTTGGTCCACTGTGCTTCATTAAGTCCAGGGTCAACGCAGCCATCTACCAGGAGATTTTGGAGCACTTCATGCTTCCTTCCGCAGACGAGCTTTATGGGGATGCTGACTTCATTTTCCAGCAGGACTTGGCACGTGCCCACACTGCCAAAAGCACCAAAACCTGGTTCAATGACCGTGGGATTACTGTGCTTCATTGGCCAGCAAACTCGCCTGACTTGAACCCCATAGAGAATCTATGGGGCATTGCCAAGAGAAAGATGAGAGACATGAGACCGAACAATGCAGAAGAGCTGAAGGCAACTATTGAAGCATCCTGGTCTTCCATAACACCCCAGCAGTGCCACAGGCTGATAGCTTCCATGCCACGCTGCATTGAGGCAGTAATTGCTGCAAAAGGGGCCCAAACGAAGTACTGAGTACATATGCATGCTTATACTTTTCAGAGGTCTGATATTGTTCCATGTACAATCCTTGTTTTATTGATTGCATATAATATTCTAATTTTCTGAGATTGTGAATTTGGGGTTTTCATGAGCTGTAAGCCATAATCATCTCAATTATGACACTTCACAGCTTGAACTATCTTGCTTTGCATGTAATGAGTCTATCTCATACATTAGTTTCACCTTTTAAGTTGCATTACTGAAATAAATGAACTTTTGTGCGATATTCTAATTTTTCAAGTTTCACCTGTAGGGCACATACGGAAAACAGCTTATTTTTGGATAGGTCTTATTTTAGGGGAAACGGTATTTAGTTTTAAATATTTTAATTTACATTATTAATTATTTTCCATGTATTTAATAACTATTTCCTTGTTTCACATTAGCAATTGCAGTTTTGCGGGCCATTTTTGAAGAATTTGCTGGGACCTCAGACTATGTTCTTCAAATACAGACAATAGGATTTCCCTTCATGGAGATGTGTTGTTGTTATTACTATTGAGAGGCTCACAGCAAGCAGATAGTCTTGGCACAATCATCAGTATGTTGTCATATGCCTAGCAAAATAGAGCGAAGAGTAGAACATTTATTTTCCAAGCATGCTCTATTGACCTGTATAATGTTTATAGCCAACTACAAATCAAGGCTGACCTATTTTAGAAATACAGATCACAAGTTTTGAAAGTAGGCATGGCCTTATTTTCAGTTTAGTTCTAATTTCATTAGCCTCTCAGGAAAATAAAATTTGGTATATGGAGTTCTGGCCTGTTTGCTCCTATAGTGGGAAACCGCATTATTGTGAGTCTAATCAATTTCTTTTCTCTCTCTTTTTAAAATCAAATTCAGCCTTCTCTCCAATCTTACCTGGAAACTGGATATATAGTAAGTGGGTAGTGTATGAACGTTCTTTCCTCAGCTCTTTCAAAACAGGGATCTGCAAGACTGACTTAATTGCCTAAGCATTTCCTCAGTGGAATTCTTTCCCTCAGACTAAAGCAGGCTTTAATTGAGTTACAAATGGCTTCCCAAAAAGAGCAGAGAAGCCAGATCCTCTTAAAGAATAAACTATAGCAAACGATGGATTGTGTGTAGGACAGCGAGAAGGCGCTAAAATGCTCATTCACTCCCTTAATTATGGTTAATTCTTGCAATGATGCCAATGTGCATGCTTTGATTTTTAAAAAGGATAGGTTCTAATGCATTTTAGGATCTCTTTGGGTATTCTGATTAATTTCCTGGATTCCATATGCAATAATAGCACATCATTTCTCCTGTGTCCTACAATTTTTAAGAATGTTTTTGTTCTCTTAACATTCTTCAAAATATACACTGCTCAAAAAAATAAAGGGAACACTTAAAACAACACAGTGTAACTCCAAGTCAATCACACTTCTGTGAAATCAAACTGTCCACTTAGGTAGCAACACCGATTGACAATCTATTTCACATGCTGTTGTGCAAATGGAATAGACAACAGGTGGAAAGAATAGGCAGTTAGCAAGACATCCCAAAATAAGGAGTGGTTCTGCAGGTAGTGACCACAGACTGAACTGAAAGCATCAGTTCCTATGCTTTCTGGCTGATGGTTTGGTCACTTTTGAATGCTGGCGGTGCTTTCACTCTAGTGGTAGCATGAGACGGAGTCTACAACCCACACAAGTGGCTCAGATAGTGCAGTTCATCCAGGATGGCACATCAATGGGAGCTGTGGCAAGAAGGTTTGTTGTGTCTGTCAGCGTAGTGTCCAGAGCATGGAGGTGCTACCAGGAGACAGGCCAGTACATCAGGAGACGTGGAGGAGGCCGTAGGAGGGCAACAACCCAGGATCAGGACCGCTGCCTCTGCCTTTGTGCAAGGAGGGACAGGAGGAGCACTGCCAGAGCCCTGCAAAATGCCAGCAGGCCACAAATGTGCATGTGGCTGCTCAAACGGTCAGAAACAGAGTCCATGAGGTTGGTATGAGGGCCCAACGTCCACAGGTGGGGGTTGTGCTTACAGCCCAACATAGTGCAGGACTTTTGGCATTTGCCAGAGAACACCAAGATTGGCAAATTCTTCACTGGCGCCCTGTGCTCTTCACAGATGAAAGCAGGTTCACACTGAGCACATGTGGCAGACATGGCAGGGTCTGAAAACACCGAGGAGAATGTTCTGCTGCCTGCAACGTCCTCTAGCATGACCAGTGTGGCAGTGGGTCAGTAATGGTGTGGGGTGGCATTTCTTTAGGGGGCCGGACAGCCCTCCATGTGCTCACCAGAGATAGTCTGACTGCCATTAGGTAACGAGATGAGATCCTCAGACCCTTTGTGAGACCATATGCTGGTGCGATTGGCCCTGGGTTCCTCCTAATGCAAGACAATGCTAGACCTCATGTGGCTGGAGTGTGTCAGCAGTTCCTGCAAGACGAAGGTATTGATGCTATGGACTGGCCTGCCCGTTCCCCAGACCTGAATCCAATTGAGCACATCTGGGACATCATATCTCGCTCCATCCACCAATGCCACAGGCTGTCCAGGAGTTGGGGGATGCTTTAGTCCAGATGTGGGAGGAGATCCCTCAGGAGACCATCTGCCACCTCATCAGGAGCATGCCCAGGCGTTGTAGGGAGGTCATACAGGCACGTGGAGGCCACACACACTACTGAGCCTCCTTTTGACTTGTTTTAAGGACATTACATCAAAGTTGGATCAGCCTGTAGTGTTTTTTTCCACTTTAATTTTGAATGTAATTCCAAATCCAGACCTCCATGGGTTGCTAAATTTGATTTCCATTGATACTTTTTGTGTGATTTTGTTGTCAGCACATTCAACTATGTAATGAACAAACTATTTAATAAGAATATTTCATTCATTCAGATCTAGGATGTCTTATTTTTGTGTTCCCTTTATTTTTTTGAGCAGTGTATTTTGTATTGGATACAGTAAGACCTAGCTTGCTATCACACTGAAAATCTCTAGAAGAGAGGTGTTAAACTCATGTCGTCATGGCGCCGTCATGTGACATATCAGAACTTTTTTACCCTTCGTTAAGCTGGGTGTGGGTGTGGCCAGCGTGTGACACATCTGGCCCACAGGCCAGGAGTTTGACAGCCCTGTTCTAGAATATAGAGTTTGTAGTGGAAGAGTGTGTGTCTGTGTGGGTGATTGTGTGTGGGATTGTGTATGTATCATATGAGTGTATATACATATATGTGTGTGTATATGTATGTATCGTGTCTGATAAATAAATAAAGCAAAGATCCAAAGAGGGATATTTTCCATTATATTGCTCCTTTTGACATCTTGTTTCTTTTTTTCCATTGTTCTTTGACAGTGTGATACAGAAAGCGACCCAGAGGAGCAGGTAGGCAACTATAACTTATGACATGTTCTCAGTCCTTAGCAATAGTTGCATCCTTTTCTAGAAATGACTTAGGGTCAATGTTGCGAAAAATTCTATTTTATGAAAAGATATTAAGATTGTTTCGATGTAGGTAAAGTGCTTTCCATGGTTTCATTCTGCACGAACATTTCGTGTGTGAATACTTTACACCGTTTTCCAGAATTACACCAAAATTCCAGGCATGCACAAAATTGTCAAAACTTACATAGGCTTTTATTAGTGTTCACAGCTCCATACAAAACACCCCATATTTTGAGGTTTTGTGCTAAGCTGGGGACAAACTGTGGGGCTTTATTTTCATCGTTTTACAGTGTGGAGAAGAGAAAGCTATAAGTGCTCCTAATTTCAAAGAAATAATAAGATCAATTGATCAAATTGGTCAGGGGATAGACTTTTTATTTTTAAAGAAAATGTTGGTGAGTAGAAATAACCATACTTTTTGCAGCCTATTGAAAATGTTATCAAAAAAGGTTTGTGGCTGATTTTTCTGTAAGTTGGATGGTAAATAGTAACCAAGTAAGGAGTGCACCCCATGTGCTTTAGTGACCTTGTACAAGATCAAGAGTTCAAGAGAATAACAAGAGAACAAGAGTCTGGAAGCAATTATCTGTGTATGCAAATGGACACACGCTCATATACAACAGTTGTAAAAAAAACTTTTGCCTCTCACTTTATCCCAATTGTACAACTTAAGCCATTGAGAAAATTGTAGAAGATAAAAACAAGGACTTTAATCGGCATCTGGAAGTTAATAGCAAATGAATGCAGATCAGTAGTAGTGTACAGTGCAGGTAGTCCTCAACTTACAACCCCAATTATGCCCCAAATTTCCCTTGCTAAGTGAGACAATGTTTAAGTGAGTTTTGCTCCATTTTACGACCTTTCTTGCCACAGTTGTTGTTTTTTTTAAAAAAAGTTATATTGATTTTAACAACAAACAAAACCACATAAAACATACAACATAAAACATAAAAACATCATCCTCCTTCATAGATTTACACACAGTGTATCAGTTGGTTTACCACTTTTTTTTGTGCATCCATTTCCTAGATGCCATTATAGTTATATTACATAATAACTCATATTATCAATCAACAATTGTATAACCTAGTATCATTACTAAGAAATCATTTAACTATAATTTTGTTAATTCATACTTTAACGAGATAACTATAATTTACTTAATTTATTTTACAACAAATCATAAAATCATACCAAATCTATCTTAGTAAAGTTTTATAAAGATAATATCAAAGAAAAAAGAAAAAAAAATATTCATTATATCCTAAATATTCTATTATTATGTTGTATTATCTAACCATTGATAAAAAAGATCCCAAACTTCATAAAATTGTTTATCTTCTTGTTCTCTAATTTCAAATGTCAATCTACTCATTTCAGCACAATCCAATATTTTCTTAATAGTTTCTTCCTCTGATGGAATTTTCTCACTCTTCCAATTTTTAGCAAATACAATCCTAGCCGCTGTTAATACATTTACAATCAAGTACTTCAAATTTTTATTATATGTATCAGGTAAAATTCCGTTTCTTGCCACAGTTGTTGAGTGATTCACTACAGTTGTTAGTTTAGTGACATGGTTGCTAAGTGACTCTGACTTCCGCACTGACTTTGCTTGTCAGAAGGTTATAAAAGGGGATCCCATGACGCTCGGACACTGTGTTCTGATCCAGCCTTTGCAGAAGCAAGAAACAAACTCCTTGCAAAGAAAAACCCCTCTTTATTTACACCTTGTGAATTAATGACATTCACCCACAAAGTCTTGGCAAGAGTCCTGGAAGGAGTTAACCGAAGCAATAGGCCTTATCAGCTTGTTACAATAATTTCAAGGCCTTGTGCTCCCAGCTAAAAGGCTGCAAATTAAGTCTGTTCAAATAAACCAGGGGTCTTCAAAGTTGACAGCTTTAAGACTTGTGGACTTCAACTCCCAGAATTCCTCCTCCAGTCATGTTAGCTCAGGAATTCTGGGTGTTGAAGTCCACAAGTCTTAAACTTGCCAAGTTTGAAGACTCTTGAGACAAACCTCAGTTCTGGCAAGGCAGTCTTTGTCGCATGCCAACTGCTGTCTGCTACGACCACTACTCCCCTTTCCCCCTATTTATTCCCAGCCAGGGAGGGGCCATTCAGGGTCCACATTTGTTGTGCTTCCCGAGTTGACTCACTTCTCCTTTCTGCTCTGCGCATGAGTGCACCTCTTCACTCGTCTCTGACTCCAAAGGCAGCTGCCTCTTTTGCAGCTGGGAAATGCCAGACGGCCCTGACTCTTTCTCTGTGTCCAATGCTGAGAGTCCATCAGAGCCTTCCCCAGGCTTCAGAACTGGCCCAAGTTCTTCCCCAACCTCCTCATCACCTGAGTCTGGCGGGCCACAACACACTGCAACCATCATAAATACATGCCAGTTGCCGAGTGTCTGTATTTTGGCCGCATGACCATAGGGATGCTGCAATGGTCATAAGTCACTTTTTCCAGTGCCATTGTAAATTTGAGTGATCACTAAATGAATGATAGTAAGTCGAGGACTACTTGTAACAGTTTTCCAATGGGTATTGTTCTGGTAGAAATATTGCCATATTATATTCCAGTTCTGGTTACCAAGAGATAATGTCTGATGGCCTGGATCAAAAACACTTGAGGTTTTTTTTTTAAATGTAAAAAAGAAAATTGTGATGAATTCAGAGTAGTTTGACTTGGTTAACAACCATTCCTAGCCCAATAATCTGTCATGGAAAGCAACCAATCCAACATTAAAGATACTCAGGAATCCATCCTTCCTTGTAGAAAAAAAAACTTATCATGCTTCTACTTCCAAAGGAAAAGTACCTGGGTCCTTGAAAAATTCTCAGGTAGCTTTTCTGCCTGTTCCAAATACATTTAGAAGTAGGGGATTTTTTAAAAAGAAAATCAGTATTTGTGTAGTATAATGACCCGCCTGTGTTTCTTATCTTTCTGCAGGCCTCCATTGATGACCTCGAACAGTCATTCACTGTCTCAACCAGCAAAGGTTGGGTGTGGACAAATAGTGTGTGTGGGTGGGGGTGGGGGGTAAGGGGGTTGTCTGCTTGTGGTTCTGTGCACTAAACAAACATTGCAACATTTCTCAATGAGCCCGATTTGTGGTTCTGTGGGGGGGGATTGACGTGCTGTGGTTCTGTTTTACCTATACTAAGTACTCAGTCCATCTGATTTAAAGTATCTATTAGTAAGCAGGGTGGAAAATCTTCCTCTGCCTTAGATGGTGGAGAACTGTTGTGAGAGAAACCTACAGCTGGCAAAAAGAGCCTCTTCCATCTATGTGGGTATGGCACCTTCCAGAATTTCCAACCTACCTCGTTATTTATCATGCCAGCTGAACGTCCTTTGTTGCAATCTTTAAGGCAGCTTGACAAAACTGGGATTGTGTTCTTTTAAAGAAAAAGCGCTTTCTCCGTTCAGTTTAGAACATAATTCTATCCAGATTTATAATAACATTTATCTTCCTATCAACAAGGAATTGGAAGAACTGAATAATTTCAGAGCCTATACTAGGTCCTCTGTCTCCTGATACTTGTAATTATTTATTTATACAATTCATAGGTAGTCCAACTCCCAATCTCTTTGGGCAGCCTACAGTTTAAAAGTAAAAAAGACAAAAAAACATGAATAGTCCCACAAATTCCATCTAGCAGGGTCTCATCCTGCACTCTGCCCCAAAGTTTAAGAGGGAAACTAGGGCTTTAATAGACTCCTGAACATCATCAGGCTGGAAGCTAACTGGATCTTTTTGTTAGGAGGAACAGCTGCACGGAAGACAGAATATACCTATATGGAATTCGGTCAAAATAGAGGGGAGTAAGCAGTTCTGAATTTCGGAAGAGTTTGGTTTCATAAAAATAGTAGTATTAACTAGCCCTGTGCAGGTCACCTCTATTTCAACATGGCAGAAAACGTTGTAGATTGGAACCACCATATCTCTGCAAAAAAGTTGGCCAGGATCAGGGAGGTGGATGTGCTTCGTTTGGTTACTTTGATTGCAGAAATGGCTTCTCTGCATGCATAGATAATATGACTTTTGCCTAGCAATGTGTTAACACTCCCCATTTAAGACTCAGGGCTCTGTGATACCTCCAGAAAGCATTCTGAGGGAGCATTTACACGAACTTTCAAAGCAAAGTACCTCCTGGGGTGGCCATGCTGCTAGCTAAAGGAGTTCTTTGCGTGAAAGTTACTGCAAAGGTGTCCCTCAGAACACTTTACAAAAGTGCCACTGTGTCCTGCTTCTAACTGGGAGCAAAAAGTATCAAATGTGGTATTCTTGCTGGGTTCTATAACAGAGTTGCCACCTCTGTTGCTGGAAGCATTTTGATTCATTGTGTCGCTGCTGTTTTCATGCAATTTTAAAAAACACCCAGTGTCTATGGAAACTTACCCGCTTCCCACCCACCCCCAGGCCCCCTTAGTTACTTACTGTGGCTCTTATTGAGTACATCAGCATTTGTAGCTGACAAGATTTGTCCAGCCAGTGAAATGGGGTTCCACCCCAAAGGTTTTAAAATCCAACACAATCTGTTGGGCCTTTTCCAATAGCCTGATCCTTGTTTTCTCTGTTTGCATTTTTTCTGGCAGCCTCGGGACCCATTGGTGCATTAAACGGGAGCTGTGAAGCCAAACTTTCTGTGATCCCTAAAGTCTCTGGCCTGGAACGGAGCCAGGAGCGTAACTATGAGGCTGACCGGGACTCCCTGCTAGTGCCTTTCCTGCCTAAGGAACCCCCTTCTCAGGCAGCTACTGCCCCTATTCTGGCTCAAGCCTTGACTCCAAGTCCTCCTGCCCCACCTCCTGTCAAGACTCGGGCTCAGACACCTAACACTGTTCGTGGGACGCCCCAGCCCAAAGGCCAGCTGCCTCCAATGCCTCAAGGTGGAGCAGTTACCCACAGCCTTGCCCAGAGCCAACTGCACATGAAGGTGCCACCCTTTGCCAGCCAGACACAGGCCCCGTACTCTGTAGGGCTCGACCTCAGCACTGGAGGGTGAGTGCTGATGCCCTCTGGCTACAGAGCTCTCTTTTTATTTATTGGTTCTCCCCACCCCCCCACCCTCTTTATCTATCCACCTCTTTCAGGCTCTGCTTCTGTCCCTGTGTTAGTCTTCTGCCCTTTTTGTTCTTCTTTTCTTCTACGCTTTCATTGTTTTTATTTCCTTTAACTGCTGTTGCTTCTATCCTCTTTGAGACATTTCCTTCCCCTTCTTTATGTCTTCTTTATAACTTGAAAATTTTGAGAGCTCTTTCTATATCCTTACAGCAGCCCTGTAGATAGTATATTGTTGTAGCTCCATTGAAGATGACTTAACTACTTAAAATGGAGAGAATGGCCTGACTTGCTCCTTATAAGTGAGGTTACAACCAAGATAAGATTGGCTAGGGCTTTCAGGTCCACAGTTAGCTACATCATGCATTTGGACTGCACCTCTGTCTCTCTCTCTCAATGTTTTTCTCAACTCTTTCTTTAGAAAGAGATTTTTTTTTTAAAAAAAAGGTTTATTCTGACTAGGTAGTATCCTGGTTTATGCTGATAAGAATTCCATGAAACCTGCCATCACGGTTCCCTGTATGCTGTAACTAAAGACATGATACTGGAAGAAGCTTCTAATCCAAAACATCCTAGTTGAGTCTGTCACTGAACTGAGATGGAAGCCCATCTCTTTTTCAGAGCCTAATGAATGGCTTTCTTGAGTGTCTCTGTGTTTCCATCATTATTGTCTCCTGACCTAGGCATATATTTATTTTTTCTCCCTTTTTCAGGTGCAGCCGCGGTGCAGCTCACCCCAAGCCCATTCTCCCACCCTGCTCCCCCTCTTCTTCTCAACTCCCTCACCGGCCCTCCACTCCCTCGCTGGCCCTGCCCCCCCACGCGTTTCCCTCCACCCTTCGGCCCTCTTCCCACCACCACCCAGGCATGTTCACCCCCTCGCCTGGCCTCCCACCGCCACCCCCGTTGCTTCAAGTTGCTGGGCACCCAGCTGCAGCCGCTGCCATATCTGGTAAGAGAGAATTCAACGGAGGGGAATGATAGGGTGTGCCAAGTACTTTGGGAAGATTGGCAGGGGCTAAATTGAAGCAAAGGAGGGAGATTGAATAAAACAGAAAACTGTGTATAGCCCATGGGTGTCCAGCCTTTGGCTTGTCTCAGCTGTATTGAGTGAAAAGGAATTGTCTTGGCACACATATAAAGTATATAATATAGTTAATGTATATAAATAAAATAATATGCTTCCATGTTTACTATCTTATGGGACTGCATTACTAGCTGTTCGGGGCTGCATGTGGCCTGTGGCCTGCTGGTTGGACATGCCTGGTTTAGCCTATGCTTTGTATATATTTGGGATACAGGACATGCATTTAAGTGAGAACCATGTCAAAAAAAAATCAACATAAAAATGTACGCTGTATATAAGTAGTCCACAACTTACAACCATTCGTTTAGTGAATGTTCAAAGTTAGAACAGCCCTGAAAAAGGTAATTCATGACTGGTTTCTTTTTTTTTTACACAACCATTGCAGCATCCGCATGGTCATGTGATTGAAATGCAATTGCTTGGCAACTGGTTCATCTTTATGACGGTTGCAGTGTCCCGGGTCCTAGGATCACCTTTTGTGATCTTCTGACAAGCAAAGTCAATGGGGAAGCCAGATTCATTTAACAGCCATGTTACTAACTTAACAACTGTAGTTCATTCACTCAATAGGAAGCAGGAAAGGTTAAAAGAATGAGCCAAAGCTTGTTTAAAAACTGTCTTCCCTAGCAGTGGAAATCTTGGGCTCAGTTGTAGCCGTAAGTTGCAGATTACATGAATGGATGCAGAATATTTATCCTAATCTCATAGGTATTCTTGGCTGAATTGTGCATTTAGAGAGAGAGGAGTACAAGCACTTAGGTAACAAAAAGCTCCATTTGGTCTTTTAATTGTATGTTGGAGAATGAGTTCATGAAATAAGCATGATAGGGCTGAGATAAAAACTAACTTTGTTTTGATGACAGTTAGTTTTAATGACAGTTAAGTTAGTTTCTTTAAAGACAGTTAAGGTAAACATTTCATTTTAATAATTGCACTCCCTAAGTTAAACAATTCAATGGCAACTTTGAGATTTGTTCTAGGAACCCAAAGTTGTTCAACCTGGTTTTAAGACTATGCAGTGGGTGTCATAAAATTATTTTAAGGAATCTTAGAGGAATTTCTAGTCCCAATTTTGAGAAGAGTTTGAATACAAACTGGCAACAGAAAACAAGAAGAAGATGGCAGGGGTGGAGGGGAATCTACTTTCAAAGGGAAACTAAAAAAAGAATAATGTTATCAGAGGATATGTTTTACTGTTTCTAAGTTGCCTGCTGGTAAAGTTGCAATGAGCGAGTAGACAGCTATATAAATGTTCTAAAATAAATAAAATGTGCTGAAAATGTGATCACATGGGCCTGGAGTGGAAGTGTATATAATTCCATATAATTCTGAAAATGGTTCCTAAGTCATTCTTGGATGGTCTGTCCTAACTAAGCGACCAGTCATAAGTCAAGGACTTCTTGTACATGGAGAGTTGTATGTGGTACAGTATAAGTCAAATCATTTCTCTCTTTTTCAGCATTGGTTCCTTTTTCTCCCGACAGCTGGCAATTACCGGTTGTTCTTCTGTCTCCTCAGAACAAGAATTAATCCGCCAGGACTTGAGTTCCCGATTCCTCACGACTCAAGGCGGGGCCGACATGGGAGCTGCTGCCATTCGCCCTCTGGCTTTCCAGTTCCACCAACACAACCACCAGCACCAGCACACCCACCAGCACACCCACCAGCACTTCACTCCTTTCCCATCAAGCATGGTGCCCACACCCAGCCCAGCCATGGTAAGTGCAATAGAGACTTAGCAAGGTGGCAGGCAAGACTTCACGACTCGCGAGTCTTGCAGGATCTAGTACGATCAACTTGGCCTGTCAGAATTTAGGTTAGTTTAAAAGGATTCTTGTGATGCAGTGTGGTGAGGTGGATTGCCAGGAGAGAGGAGCGCATCCCAGATGAATCCAGACATTTTGTGTGAGAGAAAGGGGGTGAAGACTGCCCCTTCCTTATAGTCTCAGAGTGTATGCTTGAGTAGAGAATAGAGGGCTTTAGCTTGGCAAGATTCTGTCTATATGTAGGGAACTATAAAGAATTTTGCTTGGAAAAATCACCAGGTGTCTTTCCTGGTTTTGGGGCCTGATAATTCTTTCTTTCCCTCCCTTCTCCTGGGACCTGCCTGACCCTTTTAAACAAGGGTCTTTTCTGATTTCTTTTCTCTTTCTGCAGTATGAGAAGTACCCTGGGAAAATGGATGGGCTTCTGAGACATAATGTAAGTGCATTCATTTTGGAGGAGGGGGTTGGCCTTTTAAAGGGCTCCCGATGAAATTTATCAAACTGCAACCTGAGAAAGGAGCAGAACCCTCTCCTGCCTCAGTTTTCTGGGTGTCTCCTCCATTGCTTTCTCTTCTTCTTCCAGTTTTATCCTGCTTACCCCCCAACCGTGTCGGGGATCTCCCCAGTCCTGCCTCCTGCTGTGAATTTTGGCTCCCTGCAGGGGGCATTCCAACCTAAGGTGAACCCTCCAGACACTGTAGACCAGTGGGGTTTTGTGGAAGTTGGAGCAGAGGGAAAGCTTTAGAATTGAGAGTTTCTGGCTTTTCTGCTTATTTCTGGTAATGGAGGCCTTTTCTCATGGTTTTTTTTTTTTTTTTGTGGGCGGGGTTGTTGAGGACTGTGACGCTTGTGTTTTTTGCACGCAGTGAGTTTGGTGGGATAGATTAGGGCTGTGGAGAATTGTGGTGATCCAAAAAGAATGCAGATCATTGGGTCTGAGCATGAGAGGACAAGTCTGTGATGTGCCAATTCAGCCATGAACTTTTGAGAAAGAACTCAGGTTTTGAAAATGGGGTTGTATATGTTTCCATAGAGTGATGCCATTTCATAATAATTTGGTAGCTAAGAAGAGGAATTATAATTCCTTGGCAACTGGGTATGAGACTAGAATGTTTCAGTGGAAGAAGCTGAAAGCTTCGTGAACTCTGCAGTTGGAGGGGGACAATTTCAAGATGGTCTATGCTAGGGAATGCTAATCAGCTGATCGTGCTTATATTTAAGCTTTCTGTTTTGCTTCCTTCCTTCCTCAGAGCACTAATCCTGACCTGCCTTCCCGGCTGGGTGCTGTCCCACCCAGCATATCCCAGAAAGGCACCCAGGTGAGTTTACCCTTAATTTGGAAGAACGGCAGGGACAGCAGGGAGAGGATTACCCACCCCCATGTGGCTTTTCTGTCTCCTTGCAGATCACAGATCCTTTCAGGCCGACTTTGAGAGTGAGTAACATTGGGGAGACCCTTTGATCCCACTGCGAAAGGGTGGGGATACGTGAGGTGAAAGGACTAGAAGTGGCGGGGGGGGGGGGGGGGGGGAGATGCACCCTGGAGTGGGAAAAGTGAAGAAGTCAGGGTATAGGGCAACACGTGCCTGGCCCTCAGGGACATAATGTGCAGAGCTGATGGTTCCCCCTTCTCTCGCAGAAGCCGGGGAAGTGGTGCGCCATGCACGTCCGTGTGGCATATATGATCCTGCGGCACCAGGAGAAAATAAAGGTAGGGTGAGCCTGTGCCACCTTTCCCCTCCACCTGCCGTGTACGGTGTCGGGGTGTGGCAGAGGAGGTCCCTGCAGCCAGATGGAGAGGAAACCTTGCTTTTCTGACGTCTCCCATGCTGGATGCTGGATCCAAGTTGGGGTTTGCGGTGCTGGGTTAGAGGTTGGAGAGCAGAACCACGAGGCTGTTGTGAGGCAGAATAGGAGAGATCTCTGCCAAAGTATATAGGGTGAGGCCAGTTGGATTGACTTGTGCCTGACTGGTTGCTAACCAGGATTCCTTGCTCTTCTGTTTCCTCACAGCTGATGCAGGGCGATCCCCATAAATTGGATTTCCGGAATGACCTCCTCACCGGCTTGCCTGAGGCCGGAGCCTTTGGCAGTCTTCCCCATAGCCAGGAGCTGGCACGCCCTGCCACCCTTTTCACAGCCGCTGGTCAGTGTGCTTTTCACAAATCCTGAAGGCTATTCTTTGACGATAAAGTAACTGGGACTTTCTAAATCTCACTCTGCCCATTTTTTTGGTCACTGCTAATTGTGCCATCTAGCTGCTGTGGTACTTAGTGTTTTGATTTTAAAAAACAAACAAACCATAATGTTAGCCTTTATGCTTTCCCCAGTTTTCTGTCTGGAAACCCGAACAGGCAGGCTTTACCTTAATACAGGGATTATAAGAGAAAACTAATCGAGACACTTAAAATGAGTTGCGCATAAATTACATTTTACCCTGGAAGTATTTTTGTTTTGGGAGTCATCACTCTTTTGATATGAAATATACTCCTCGTTCTCTCCCCCGCCCCTTCTTTTTATTTTAATCTATCATCCTGCCCTCTTTCTTGTAGGTGTCGTCCATCCAGGCAATGCCCCCTCCTTTGGTCCTGCCGCTACTCCTCATGGTTCTTTCCTCAACCCCAGCCCCCACATCGGTAAGACCCGATGTCCCAGAGTAACGCAGCCAAGAGAACAGGACCCAGTAGCTCTCTTGCATGATTGCTCACTCCTCCCCTGATTTCTTTTCCAGATCCCTTTGGCAGGCCTCCTAGCTTTGCCTCTCTGGCTGCCCTCTCCAATGGGGCATTTGGTGGCCTCGGCAACCCATCCTTCAGTGAGTATTTTTAAGAGGAAGGGCACAAGGAAGCTTTCTGTGGGTTATCGAAATGGCTAAGCAAGAATTGGGGGGGGGGGGGGCTTGTTTGCATACCAGCATTTTAAAACACGGGGAGGGGGAAACGACCAAGGACTATAAACTCCCCCATTATTGAGTGTTAATTATTCATTCCAACTGTTGAGGTTCTTGTGAAGTTTTAGAGAATTATAGCTGTGTTGCCATTCAGTTTTCATCCTTCCCCCTGTTCTGCAGTACGTGTGAAAATCGGACAGAAATAAGGTTCCTTGATGGCATCCGCAGTAACACTGACCCATATCATGTTACTATGATTGTTTCAGGTGTATTTAAAAAAATTAAAAGGGTAGCAAAACCTTCCTAGTCTCTGCAAGCTAAGGAAAAATGGCAGCCAGGATGACGGGCAGACACTGCAGCTCAGGAACAGCTGGAACCCACTTAACTCCCCAGGGTTATCTTGGTCAACCCACGCTGAACACATACGAACACTTCCAGGGCCACGATATTATGAACGTTTAGGTTAAATCTCTTTTGAGATTAGGGCGTCCTTCGTTTTCCTTTCTTCCTATCAAGCCCTAGGAAATTATAGCTTTGTGATTTCCTGGTCAGCTGCTGCTGAAACTTGAAATTCAGCCATTGATTTCTGAGGCTACATGAAAAGCGGAGAATGCCACAAGTTGAACAGTTTTTTTTTTTTTTTAACCTGTCAAGTGAGTGCATAATGACAGCTCACAAGTAAGGAAGAGTTGATGACTGCCTCCTCTGCAGCACATTATCAAGAGGAAAAATTTCAGAAGTTTTGGCTTTTTCCTGTTCTCCTTCACCACGGGTTTTGGATTCGTCTGCTCAATTAACGGAATTCCATGATTTATCTCTTTCTTTTCCTGCGCATTTGATAATTTTTCCAAGGTTTATTATATAAGGCTTTGAATTTTTCTGTTCCACACAAGATGCAGTAAACTCCACTAAAATCTCTATGTCAGAGATCCAGTTAACACACCCAACGGAATCAAAACCCCAAGGCAGGCATATTCCTCAAAGTATAGATTTATTAGGCATGTCATATTGGCACATATGGGGAAACCCGACTCTAAATCCCGCTCAGGTTCCCCCACCCCTTAAAAGTAAAGTGTTCTTCCCCCTGCCTGTGCAATCCATTGCATGGTCCAGTCAGGTCACAGTTAAAAGGATCAGTCGGGCTCAGACACCACTTCCTTGCACTGCTGGGAAAGTCCTTGGTTCTCAGGGGAAAGAATTTTATTTTGGCTACAATCCGCCAGCTATCTCTACCTCCCCACTCCTCTTCCCACAGCTTGACACATCTGTGCTGTGGCATCTCTGTAGGTGCCGGGGCTGACATTCTACTCTTTAGAAAAGACATAAACATGCAGGAAAGTCAGATAGCTCTGTCTTTATCAAGCATGGGAGAGAGAAACTTAGGCTAGAGGTTTTCTTCGTCATATACAGGCAGCCCTTAACTTACAACAGTTCATTTAGCAACCAAAGAAACCTGACTTATAAATGTTTTTCACACTTATGACTGTTGCAGCATCTCCTTGGTCATGTGATTTACATTCAGATGCTTGACAGCTGGTTCAGATTTATGACAGTCACGGTGTCCTGGAATCATCTGATCTCCTTCTGCCACTATCTGACAAGTAAAAGTCCCTAGGGAAGCCAGATTCACTTAACAGCCATGTTACTAATTTAATAACTGCAATGATTCACTTAACAAACATGGCAAGAAAAGCTGTAAAATGGGGCAGAACTCATTTAACAAATTTTTCACTTAGCAACATAAATTTTGGGTTCAATTGTCGGTCACCACCTGTAATAGCTCCCAATGCGTTGACAATTCTTTTGTGAGTCAGCACTCTCCCCTTTCCTCCTTTGAATGAATTATTCCACCAGTATTTAGAAGTAGAATGATTTAATAAGACTGTACCATGTGCCTTTCTGAGTGCGGATTGCTCTATGCTCTAGTGTGATAACTGCTATCACTCTTTTAATGAGATAATGAGTTTCTTCCATATCTACTTGTCATTGATCCTTAAGCTGTAGGGGCAACGTTGTATCTAGCATGGCCTCCCGATCTTTCTTCTCTCTTTCTCAGATTCAAGTGCAGTCTTTGGGCAGAAGGACAGTCCTGGAGCTCCTGCCTTCCCTAGTCCACATGAGGCATGGAATCGCTTACACCGTACACCTCCTTCCTTCCCTACTGCCCCAGCCTGGCCCAAAGGTGGTGGCAATGATGGAACGGAGCGTGGAAGCAGCCAACTTGACAAGGAGAGCGAGAAGTCTGAAGGGCCGGTGATCAAGGATGAGAAGGACAGGTAAGAGGCAGAGAAGAGAGACGCAGTACAAGCACACAATCTTTCTGAGCTCTATAGGTATTCTTTGAAAGCAAAAAAATCATAGGCAATGTCAGCTAAATATGAAGAGCATTCCAAAAGAAAGAAAGAAACTGAACCAGTAGGAAGCAGCCTGAGGGATTAGAGGTGGATGATCAGAAGCAACCTCACCAATTTATCCTTAAAACAAAACACGTTGCGATGATCACATCCACCCTAGCAACCATTTTGTAAACCGGCAAACCTCCCCTGCAGCCATTTTGTAAGGGCTATCAGCGCTATGGTCACTTCATTTCCACGTGTCCACCAGCTCCAGAAAGTTGCCTACTGCTGTTGGGTTGGGGAACGCTGAACTTAACACTTTTTTCAGGGATAAGTCTGCCACCCCCCACCCCCAAAAGGAAATAATAACTTTTCTGAAAGGGTGGAGGAAAAGGTAGTCTTTTGAGTATTCAGGTACACAGGCAGGGCCAGGCTGCTGCATTGCGATAGGTGCCGTTAGTCAGTGATTCAGTGCCAGGCTGGACAGGAATTCTTGACCTTTCCATTCTATGTGTGTCATTCAGAGATTCTGGCTTCTTCTCCCGCCATTCGCTGCGCTCCTCTCCAGCTACTCCCACCTCAAAGAACCCATCGCTGATCCATGAGGAGCCTCCAAGCCGACCCCATGTACAAGCAGAACGAGAACATCGCTATGGCAGCCCGGCAAGTTCAGGACATGCCTCCCGCTCCCCTTACCCAGAGTTACCTCTCAAGAAAGAAGTGAAGGTCAAGGAAGAGCCAGATTTGCCTGGCTTTGAGGGAGCTCTACGCACAGGTGCTTCCTATCACAGTACCCTGCATGTCTCCCACCCACTCGGACCCCTGGCCGTGTTTGAGAGACCCCAAGCTGGGACTGGAGGAAGCGTCTCTCCATACTTGGTGGCTGCCCCACCCTCAGCTGCCTCCTATGCTGCGCTCGAGGCATGGCGAGAGCCCTACCACCGGGGCCTGGAGTTGCACCCGCTACAGCGCCTGCCCCGCTACCTGGAGACCCCATCGCCTGCTGCCGCGGCTGCCGAGGACTACGAAAGAGCCCGGTTGTATGGTTTGGCTCCCCCGCCACACCCCAGCCTCATGGCTTATCCCCGCCATCAAAACGGACTGCTGGCAAAAGCCACACCCTCGGCAGCTGTGGGACTGCTGAGTGCCCCACCACCTCTCATCCCAGCTTCCAACGCTCGGCCCTGCTCCCCTCGACGAGCTCCTGATATCCGAGAACTGGCAGCCTCCTACAAGGACCGGGACTCGAGATAATGGTGCTCTGGTGGCACTCTGGAATATGAACACCTCTATCAAGCAGCCTCCCTGATCTCTACAAACTGATGGGAACAGGATCAGGGTAGTCTAGGAGGTCCAAATTAGCGGGGAGAGGAAGGTGGCTTTTTGGTCACTATAGCCTGAGTTAGGGATATGCTGCTGTCATCACCCGGAAGGACTTTGACGTTGGAGTTGAATAATGGGGTGCATTGGGGGGAAGAGTTCAGGAACGCACATGCCCGTGTCCTTGGTCGTTGTTCCTGATTTCTGCAAAGGCCTCCCCTTCCGGCCTCTGGAAGATGCCAGGATTTCTGCCTTCCTCCTAGCATTCCTGCTGGGCTAAAAACAGACTCAGTGTGTTCTTTATTCTCAGTGGACTGATGGGAAGGCTGCTTTCAGGGGAAGGGGGAGGTCTTGAATCTTGGGACACCTCCCCCATGAGGCAGTGTAAATATTTATATATTCTCCCCATGGCAGATGGGAAAAAGGTTTTTGTACATTTATAAAAGGTTTGAGATTGTGATTTCAAAAGTGACTTCTCTTCCTCCTCCCCTCTTTTGTTCCTCCTTGTTTTTACTGTACTGCTCTTTTCTATACCTGTATTCATTCACTCCTCCCCAATCTCCTGATCCCTTTCCTTCTCCTGTAATTAATGGGATGGTGCAACACACTTATCCAATGCCCTTTTCTTCCCCAGGCTGGTTAATTAAACTCCAAACTGGTGCTTCTCGATTCCTTGCTGTGTGTGTGTTAGTTGAGGAAAAGGGAGGGGGGGGGATACAGGTCTCCCATTCATCTAGGACAGTAGAGAGCAAATGAGAGGGTGCAGAGCACAAGCTGAAAATCTTGGATGAGGAAATTACTCTCTTGGATAGTTTTAATTTTTGCAGTCTCTGAAAAACGTAAATGGAGCTAGATACAGAATCCCTCTACACCAGGGGTGTCAAATTCAAGGCCCGGGGCCTGGATCCAAGCTGGCGTGGGGGTGGGGGGTTGTTTAGACCTGGCCTGCAGTTCTGCCCTGGAAACAGTCAAGGACCAGCCTGTGGTGCCTCTGACAGCGAAAACGGAACCTGGGAGGCTTCGACGGCTTCCTGCAACCTTCTGCCAGTAAAAACGGAGCAGCCCTCCCGAGCTCCGTTTTTATTGGCAGAATGCTCAGGCCACCACAGGCATCCCCAAGGTGAGTGGTATCAACCTGGCCACGCCCACCCTGATCATACCCACCACGCCCCCAAGGTCAAACACAACCCTGATACAGTCCTCAATGAAATTGAGTTTGATACGCCTGCTCTACATAGTGTTTTAATGCAAACGCTCTTATGGCCCTGAAAATATTCACAGAGCACAGCTATCATATAATTTAGAGCTGCTGTTTGTGGCGAGGTGGAAACAGGCAGGATCAGCAGTGTGGAAAGAATCAGAACCTGTTTTCCTTTCCACCATTTCAGGGTAGAGCTGCTCAACATGCAGTTCCTTCAGGCACCGTCTGCAGTCTCCGGGTATCACTAAAAGGTGCCCTGGACTGTACTTGTTAACATGGAAAAGGGGCAGATTAAATACACAGGGAATAATCATATATACTATTCTTGGTTGTTGTGTTTTGAAGTTTTTCCTGCACTTTTCGTGCGTTGTTATGGCTTAGTCCACTGTTTGAAGGGTGTTCCTCATCTGCACAGATTTGGCCATTTGATCTATGAACTTTGCTGACATTTTGAAGAATAAATGAAGTTCTGCATATGGTCTTGCATATAATTGTAATTAAAAATGGGGATTTGTATTTTGTTTCCTCCACCCTAATCTTTTTTGCACTAAACCAGAGAATAAGCCCATAATTCACCTAATAAAATCTCGGCTGCAAAGCAGAGTGTTTCCTGCCATAAAACATCACTAAATTCAAAAAGACAAATGCCTTGCAGTGAAATATAATCACCCAGAGTAAGTGTTTGGTAGGCGAGACCATAAGTAGGTCAGATAAAAATGTTTACTTTGCCAAAATTTGGGGTCTTTATTAGAATACAAGAAATACAGTGGGAATCTGAGCCATCCTTGAAAATTATAGAATGCAGTATTCATGATTCCATCTCTGTTTTCCAATGAGCACTTAACGCTTTTATTAAATCATTTATCATTTTATTTGAATTATGAATTGGAAAGTGCCATAAACCAGAATGCCTTTAGATCCAGTTTGCTTATCCAGAGAACCTGGCTAGTAGTTCAAGGTAAAGAATTTCTCAGTTCAGTTCACTCGGTGAGCACACGCCTGTACTTTCATTGGTAATAATACTGACTCTTTCTTACTGCTGCCTTCCATCTTTTTTAATCTTCAGTCTAGCTTGAGCTTCCTGATGTTCTAAAGCTGTTCAACCCTCCTTAAGTTTTCCTGTGGTGAGTTGAGGTCAGCTAGTGCTAAATACATTTGGTATGTATGTGCACCATGATATGCTCCATATCTTGCCAAATCCTGTTGTCAGTAATACAGCCTCATCTGAGATCTGATCTGGAATGAAATTATGCACAATCCAGAAAGCAGCTTCACTGGAATTAATTCAAAGGACCGTTTTGTACAATATCCCATGTATTAGATGCAATTTAATGTAACTCACAAGAGCAGGAAAAAGTAGAGGAACAGTAAACAAAAGTACTAATTTCCCCCTTCTACCTCTGCCAATCCAGAAATTAAAAGGTCTTAAATACCGGTGTATACAATAGGCCTAACTAATGGTGGCAAAACCTTCCAGACATCTTTAAATCCTGAAAGATCTGTGTCTCATCATCCATTTGTCTAAATCTGTTTTTAAGAATGTATGTGGGAGGAGATATACAAGTACACACGTACACCAAATTTACAAATTTATTTTAAATGAAATGGAAAACAAATGCAAGCACTCCTATGATACTTGGAATAACACATCAAAATAAACTGCATATTTAATATGAAGGATCTATACACAGAATTCTTGTTAAATAAAAGAACTATCCATTTAGTATAGCTTCTTAAGTGTTCAAAATATTCAAAATACTGGTAGTTGTACTTTTTGAGATTGGAATAAAAATACATTAAAATTAACTAAAAAACCCCATCGATTTGAATTTAAATAAGGGTTTATTTCATTTTATATCCTGCCTGTATTATTTTTATAAATAATTCAAGGTAGCGGACATATCCAATGCACTTTCCTACTATTTTCCTACAATAACCTTCCTATTTCCCCCACAATTCTCTTAGAGCGAGTCGCTGAGCCAGCTTTTCATGGCTAAAGCAGGACTAGAATCTAAAGTCTCCCACTTTCCACCTCGTCACTTAACCACTATATTTTTGTTGTCAAGAGTATATTCAGAAACTGAATGGAACAGTAGTTTAATGAAGGAAAACAACATGCCTCAGGAGAAGAAAATGTAGCTTTATTTGATAGACAGCTATCAATTTTCAAATAAATATGTACATGGATGAGGTAGTCACATTTAGAGCCATGATTATGTCCAGTGATTTCAAACTGACTTATGTATCTAACAGACTTTGTGTCAGGGTTCCAACTGATGCCGTAATTAAATCATGAGCCTCAAGCCAAGCTTCAAAAGAAACCCAGTTATTTATTAAGAGCTTCATGCCAGCAGGAACCAAGTGGAGCCAACTCTGACCTCAGTTAATTCGTGCTTTGCCTCTGACCCTTTCCCCCTCCCCCCAAAATGTGTCATCGGTCACATTTCCCAATAAAAGCAATTGCGTGGGTTGTAAAAGTCACTCCCTCTGGCCACTGTGTTTCCCTAGAGATGACCTTGACATATGTGATGTTTTGACTGAGATGCAAGCTCATCGTGGGTTGTAAAAGTCACTCCCTCCTGCCACTGTGGCTTTCCCTAGAGATGACCTTGACATATGTGCTGTTTTGACTGAGATGCAAGCTCCTTGATGCAGCTTCGAGAGTTGACACTTAGATAATATTCCAATATTTTATGATAAAATATTCATAAAAGAAAATTGATACTTCAAAATTGAAAGAATTTGTTTTTGCATATGCTTTGATAGAAGGACCAAGCAAAGCAGTTAGGTTGTCCTTTCCTGTCACATCAATACTTCCTGCTACAGCTTTTGCATTATGCAGAGTTTGGATTTAGCTACTAGTTATTGTATATCTGTAGAAAAAGTTTTCACAAGCATTAAGTTCACAGTAAAAATTCTGGTAGTCCTTGACTAAAAACAATCGGGACCAGAATTTCCATTGTTAAGTGAGTTAAGTGTTAAGTGATAATTTTACCAGCTTTTTTTTGGAAGTTAAGTGAATCATTGCCACTGTTAAGATAATCCATCTTTGCATGTGGGAAGCTGACTGGTGATCACATGATCCTGGGACACTGCAATGGTTGTAAATACATTCTGATTGCCACGCACCTGACTTTTGATTATGTGATCCTGGGGAATGCTGCAACAGTGATAAGCGTGAGGACTGGTGGTAAGTAACTTTTTTCAACGCCACTGTAACTTTAAACGGTTCCTAAGTGAACAGTTGTAAGTTGAAGACTACCAAACTCAAACATTCTGTTGCATTAAACCTTTTTTTCTCCTTGGAACGTGTTTAGGGGAACTGAATTAAGCAACTTAAATATCCTTTGGATAAAAAGAGGGGTTGCCGAAGAGTGGAATCCTATGCAGTCACCCTCAAGGAACATCTAAGGCTGTAGTACATTAAAAGAGAATAATTATATCAAACTTAAGCAGCAGATAGCGCTAGATTTGGCGAAATGGGAAAATTTACAACTGTCATTAATAGGGAGAATATCAACAATCAAGATGAATATACTACCCAGAATTTTATATTTGTTCCAAACAATTCCAGTTAGGCTTGATTGAAAATATGAAAATATATACAATGTAATTGTAATTGAAGACTACGAAATGGAAGCACAAAACAATTTGTAAACCAACCGACACACTGCATGTATATATATGGAAGATGGCTTGATGTTTTTATGTTTTGTCTGTCTATGTTTGTCTTAAAAACCAATAAAAATTTATATTATATTTATATATATATATATAAGAAACATCTAAGCAATGCTAGCCACAGTGCCACTTTTCTAATTCAGAAAACGGTCACAGACATAGGCCTGAAAAATGGAGCAAAAATATTCATTGTGAGTTGGACATGTACCAGAAATTACCTACCCAAAACTGAATGACTAAGACTACCATATCTCCCATGTATAATCTATTTTGTAAAATAATATTCTAATAAATTAGAAATGTGTTTCAAAATCAGAAAAATAAATTATAACAATGCATATTATACATTTTTATTATAACTATATAATACCATGAAAACAAACAGCTTAGCTGCACAACACTATTTTTTACTTAGATATTAGCCTTTTTGAACCATGTATTTTTGGCTGCAACTGAAAATATTAAAATGTTCCATCTATAATGTGGAAATAATACATTTTCTTGATAAAAACGTGCACCTGTTTTGCAGAATACAGGTAGTCCTCAATTTATGACCACAATTGAGCCCACAATTTCTAGTTAAGTGAGACATTTGTTAAGTGAATTTGCCCCATTTGCAATCACTCTTGCCAGTTTTTAAATGAATCATTGCAGTTGTTAAGTTAGTAACCCAGTTGTTAAGTAATCTGGTTTCCCCATTGACTTTGCTTATCAAAATCTTGCAAAAGTTGATCACATGACCTTGAGATACAGCCATAAGGTCATAAGTATAAACCAATTGCTAAGCATCTCAATTTTGATCACATCATGGGGATGCTATAGATTGTAACTGAAAAATGGTCCTATGTCACCTGTTTCAGTGCCTTTGTAACCTTAAACAGTCACAAAATGAAGTTGAGGACGACCTGTATATAAAATTTCCCCAATGTATATACTGATTATTTGTTGTCAGAAAATATTTCAAGCATTGGCAGTTTTATAGTCCTTCAGGCTGATAGCTGGAGGGAAAATATATCAGTGCCTGGAAATTTGTCTGAATCAAACAAACATGTTCAGTATTGGTAGGAACTTGATGCGTTGTAATGTTTTGTACCATGTTTTTCACAACCTAAATTAAGAGTTCCTGTCAAAAGGGATGCACTCTAAAACTTTGCTAATTGGAAAATATTTGCTTGCTGCTGTCAAATATATTTTAAAGACATGTAAATCGGATTTTATTTCGTATTGACAACCATGCAGTAAAGTACATGGCAGTATGTGTAGACCTACAACTTCATATACACAAGCATATACATTGGGGAAATTTGAATGATCGCGCCAGCCAGAGTCGCCCTGGTTCCTGTTTTCATGCTTCCAGGAGAGGACGGGGCGGGGGGGGGGGGGGAAGGGTGCGGGCAGCGACTGCAATTCCCAGCATTCTTGGGGACTCCGTTTCCCAACATGCCCTTCACTCACAATGGCCTTTCCCCGTGGGTTGAGCGACCCGCACCCTGTTGGTATATGATCGTTTCATTAAATTTCACCTTTCGTAAAGCGCAGCATTTTGCGGAGCCTCCGTCACCGCTCAAAACGCTCTCTATGAATTAACTTCCGGTTGAATCCTCTCCCACCCCCATACCGCTCGTCTCCCCCTTGCGTAGCTCGAATTCTCGCGAGACTTCCCTGCCGAGGCCGGCGGGCGGAGGGAGCAGTGGGAGGAGGGAGGGGGTTGGCCCTGGCGCTTGGTGGTGGCGGCCGCCATTTTGCCACGGCGGGTCGGATCTGCCTCGGCGGGGCCTGGTTAGGGATTCACAGCCGAGTGGGAGGGGTCAGCGACTTGCCGAGCAATATCGGCGGGAGCCACGCACAGGAAAAAGCCGACCGGGAGCAGCTTAGGAGCCGCGGATGGCGGCAGATTCTATCCGACCGAGGCGGCGGCGCTGGGGCTGAGGTGGCGGCAGGAGGAGGCGGGGCAGGAGGCACCTCCCCTCCCTCCTCACTCCTCCCCCCTCCCACCCAGGTAAGATGGCGGACCGGCTGGGTCTCTACTCCTCTTGCTCACACCCACCTATGTGGAGCGGTGCGAGACTCTGCGTCGAGTCGGGAGGGAAAAGTGAGGAAACTAACAAGAGCGTCCGCGTACCCTCTTCCTGCCACCATTCCCCGCTGGCTTTTCCCCCCCTACCTCTAGAGGGCGCGCTAGCGGAAGGAGCGGGAGGCTAATGAGAGCGCACGCGCTTCTTCAGCCAACGGCCGCGGCGGATGCCGGCCTATTATAACTGAAGCGGTCGGCGTTCTCTCTTTCGCTTCCCCCGCCCCTCCCCCAGCAGCTCGACGACTGCGCGCGCCACGGATCCGGCCGACCGACCGACCAACGGCTGCAGCTTCCTCTGTGCGTGGTGGTGGGGGGGGGTGGGAAGAGGGGCGGGTGGGGAATCTTGAGGGGACAGGGCTCGGGAGGGTCGGGGGGCGCGTGGGTGGGTGGGAGGGATTTGAAGCGTCGGGAGGGGGGTGAGGGAGGGAAGTGGGCGGGGATAAGGGGGACAAAGGGTTAAAGGGAGGGGGAGGGAGCGAATAGAGGCGAACTTAGACTGAAGAAAGAAAGAAAAAGAAAGAAAGAAAAGAAAAGTGTCCTCGGGCCAAGTTCAGAAAACTCTATCACAACCGTGGGTGTTCAGGGAATCTGGTCAGAGGATAAGGGGTGTAAGTTTGGAGAGCTTTAGTTTTTTTTCCTCCAGGCCAGAGTGATTGCAAAGGTCTCAAGGCGTTGGGAGGGCGGGGTAAAGGCACTGAAGTGTGAGGTAGCTAGGGATAATTGAATAAACCTTAGACTGGACTGGAGAAACTCATTTACTGCATGTCATCAACTCGAGTGGAAAGGCTTGAAAGAAGCTGAATAAAGGGGGAAGAGTGGTGTGAACATGGAGCCCGAGGAGGGACATAAAGAAGATCAAGCTGATAGTGCTGGAAATGAGGGGCTGAATCAAGCGCCCACTGTGGGGGAAAATAACAGAGAAGTGAACGAGGGGACAGCACCATTCTTTTCAGAGGCAACTGAGTTCGAGGGCCAGGGTCGGGAAATTTTTGGGGTCGAGGGTGAATTAATTCCTGAAAGAGTTGATGTGTCTGAAGGAGAAGCAATGTCAGGGGAGGACAGAAATTATACTGAGGCAGAACCCGAGGAAGTAAAAATGGGGGGGAAATCAAGTCTTGAGAACCTGAAAAGTAATGCAGAATCTGAGGAATTGGGAGGAGCAGGTCAGAAAGAGACTGGTTTATTTGTGAGCCCATCTGCAGGAGAAGCAGAAGAAAAAACTCCAAAGGGGATAGATCAGAGTAAGATAAAGAAGCATGAAGAAAGAGGGATTGTTGAAGACAGAATTCTAGAAATGGACGAAAAAGTTGATTTGGAAAATCGGGATCAGAGGGAGAAAGAAGTTCATGCAGATACTGAAGGAAAGGCTGATTATCCAGCCAATTTGAATGACAAGAGCATTAAACAGACAGCTGATAGGGAAGGCATGGCCTTAGACCAGAAGGATTTAGAGGGAGGGATTGAAAAAGAGATTGTTGAAACCACAGAGATTCAGAAAGAGCATGCTTTTTCAAGATTGGATCAGGGAGGCAATTTAAAGATAACCGAAGAGGGAAAGGATGTAGCAGCAGATGCAACCTCAGTACATCAGAGACCGACTGAAGAATCTGTAGGATTAGGTATGGAGCAAAATAAGGTGTACACCAAAGCTGAGGATGAGAAAATAGCTGGAGTAGAGCAAAGTTTAATTGCACGTGAAACAGTGACATTAGTAGAAACCCAGGAAAAACCTGAGGAGGCATTTGAAAATCTCGGGGAACCTGGAAAGAGAGATGCAACAATGGCAGAGGAGGAAGCCAGGCTGTTAGAAACAAATCAAGTACATGTTGAAGAGGCTGAGAAAGCACCAGAGGCAGAGATTGGAACTGAAAAAAAAGATGCAGCAACAACACTGCATCAAACAAAGGCTGAGAAGTTAGTTGAGGGAAGTCGGGGAGAAAGTGGACAACTAGTGGGAGATCAAAAAGTAACAGTGGTTAAAGCTGAAGAGAAATATTTGCAAGAATCAAGTGAGATGGTAATGGGCGGGGAGGATATCCCACTACTTGTAGAGGCAAAAGAGGTGAGAATTGGGAAAGTGACGACAGAAGGAATTGTGATTATACCAATTGAAGATAAAACAGAGAATTTGGTGGAGACAAGTGAAGTAGTAATGGGCGAGAAAGATTTCACTGCCGTGGAAGCAGAGAGTGGGACAATTGGGAAGGTGACAGCAGAAGATGATGTATCATTAGCAGTAGTTGAAGTTAAGGATGAAAATTTGGTGGACATCAGTGAAACACAGATGGGAGAAGAGTTGATTAAAGAAAAAGATCTGGCAGAAGTAACAGTAACAGAAACAGAGAAAGATGTAGGAGAAGTAACAGAAAGTCTAAGAATAAAAGAAGAAATGCCTCAGATGGAAATGGAAGAAATACCTGTACATATCCAGGATAAGAGAGGTGAAGAAAAGACTGAATCAGAGATGATTGAAGAAAAAGTTGAAGATTCGACACAACCAGAACAAAAGCCAGAAGAACAAGTAGAGAGGGAAGGCGAACAATTGGCATCAGCTGGCACGATTGATAAAGGGGAAACTGGAGAATTAGAGATGGCATTAGCAATTAATCAGAATGAAATAATGAAAAGCCTGAGGCCATCTCAGGAAAAGGCAGAGATTGCTGTCATAGATGCTGTGGGAGAAAAATTACCATTCCAAGAAAAGATTTTAGCCTGGAGTCCAGAATTGGAAAGACCAACTCAAGAGATAGCAGGGGTAGGCTCCAGAGAAGGGATATCCAGATCATATAGGCAAGAGGATAAACTAAGCCGAGAACTTATTTCAGAATTGGTAAGAATTGGCCAGGAAAGAGGAAATTTTGGCTTAGGTCAAGTAGAATTACTAGAAACAAGCATAAAGCTCACTGAAGAATTAGATAAATTGGGTAGTGAAGAACAAAGTCACAAAGTGAAAGGTAAAATAATTATAGGCTTGGCAGGGCTAAGACAAGGGTCAATTCAAGTAACACCACACAGGACTGTTCAGTCAGCAGGAGGCTATGATGGAGTGTTGGCACATGTAGCTCCAGGATTAATTGTAACTGGTTTAAGGAAGCCTGAGGGAAAGAGACTAACAAAACAAGATCATATGCAATTGGACAAGAGGACATTAGAACAAAGGGAGACACGATCAGCTGAACAGGGGCGTTTTGGAGTAAGCATGAGGTCAAATGAAGCAATGGTCTTCATGGGCTACCGAATTGGGCGGGAAAGAATGTCTTGTTTGTCAGAGGCAGAGAAGAGGATGGTGAAAATTCAGTTGCCTGAGTTAGAGGAGATTGGGAAAAAGCCTGCAATAGAACAGGTAGAGGTACCCAGGCAGGAACAGGAAGTGAGGAAGGAAGAGATACAAGAAATTAATGCCAATGAAGTAGTATGGCATCAACTAGAGCAACTGCCAACAGCATGGCTTGGTAGACCATTGACACGAGATTATATGGCAGCACAAAGTTCTGGGTGGACTGCAGGCATAGGGCCAGGACGTGGGCGTATTTCAAGGTCACTTCGGGCAGGAATAAAAGAAAGAATTAACTTGATGGTGATGGGTGAGAGTGCAACAAAATCAGCACAGAAGCTTGAGCCATTACATTTTGGAATGAGAAGAAGGATGTTTGAGCTTACAAGCAAGTCTGCCAATGTGCATTGGTTAAATGAGATACTGAAGCCAAGACCACCAGGTTCTCGACTTGGTGTTGCAGATCAGAAGGTTCATGAGGAAAGAAGTCCTGGCCTGATGACTGAAAGGCAAAGTCCTGGTTTGTTTGCAAGGAAAAAAGAACTAAAAGATTGGAGGGATGGGGTGATGGGAGTAGCAATCAGGAGATACAATGCAATGCGACTTGCTATGTGGGGAGAAGGCCCAATTGGTTTGCACATAAAAGGGAGAAGGTTAACTGAGGATTTATATGGCCTTACAAGTCGCTCCCATAAGGTGAGTTCCATTTTGGGACAGGTTGAAAGGAGAATGTTAACAATAGCACAACAGGTAACAAACGAGAGAGTACCAGGTTTGGAAGTGGGTGGACAAAGTCTGGCTGAGATACTGAAACAGGATATGGAGTTAGCAAGGTCAAAGAAAGGTGAGAAATTTTCAAGGTAACTGGTAAAACAAATTATGCAGTGAGTTTAGGGATATTGGGTTGTTTAAGAATTAGTGGAAAAGCAGAGAATGTATAGAGAATAGTGCAGTTTAAGGACAAAACTTCAGGTTGAAAAGATTTATATATTTCTCAAAGGAATAGAGAAAGATGAAAGGCCAAGACAATGGTACAAGTAACAAAGTATTGAGACTTAAGGAACAAAGGGAATGAAATGAGGAAACAAGATTAAAAATTGACCTTGAGAAAAATGGTGATTTTGATCATCTGGGATTAGTGGCTGTGAGTGGAAGGTAGCTAAAATCTTTCAGAAAGGAAACTTGACTCTGGAACATTTAGTAGCATCTCAAACAGGTTCTTGCCTTTTCTCATAGGCTTGGATTTGGTAGCTGGTGCTTACATTAAACATCTCCACTGTAACCTGTAGTCAAGCTATTCCTGTGCTGCCTGCATTGCAATCATGGAGAAACAGGATAGCCTTTTGCTAGTGCTTCAAAGAGAATTTAAAAAAAAAAATAGAATGAGCAAGGCTCAAGCAAACCGAATAAATGTTTGTAAAACATGGCATTATCTGCCCTGGATTGACCTTTTCTTTTCAGGTGTAGTCTTCCCCTGGAAAGCGAAACCCTGGAAGTACAGTCTGAAAAGCAAGTGGAATTCTCAGCTCAAACAGGTATATTTGATTTTTTTATTAAAAAATTGTGAATATGGAAACAGCATTTGTATACTTGATTACCATATCTTCCTCAAACTAAAGTTAGATGCAGTTTGTTTCTGTATCCCATACAGGGTAAATCCTCAATTTACAATGGTAGCTTAATGACAGTTCAAAGTTAAGACAGATCCCCCGCAAAACATGACCCAGATTTGAGTTTCTGATGGCCACCCTCCCTTTTCTGTTGCACAAGATTGTATTTTGGGAGCTTGGTAACCAGCCCACATTTACAACTGTTTGCAATGATCTGCAAACATGTCAGTTGCAACATTTTTTCTTCTAATTTCTGACAAAAAATGCCCTTTACGGCCAATGGGATTGCTTTATGACCACTGAGTTTGCTTAACAAATCTTGCAAAAAATGTTAGGAAATAAAGTTGTTCATGTGGGTGCCTCACAACTGTAATGATATATGACAAATTTGGGGCTCCATTACAGTCGTAAATTGTGGGCTGTGTATATTAGATTTTGATTGGTGGAATATGCAAGAGGGAATACTAGGAATTATTGCAGTCAAAAAAGCAGGAAATCTTAACGTATATATTGACATGTGAGCACCCTCAAGTTTGGAGCTACATATTTCCTCATAATGGGGGAAACAGACATTTTCTTTGGAAATTTCTATTGGAAAAAGATGGTGTGGTATCAAAATTCTCTTTGTGTTTCATTACATTGTGGTTACATTTCAAATCATAACATATAGGTAGTTCTCAACTGATGACCATTTAACAACTATTCAAAGTTACGGCAGTGGTGAAAAAAGTGATGACCGGTCCTCATACTTACAACCAGGTCATGTGATCGTTATTTATAACCATCTTCGCAGGGGGCTTCCAATAGGCAAAGTCAATGAAGAAATCTGGATTTGCTTAACAACTGCATGATTTGCTTAACAACTGTGGCAAAAAAGATTGTAAAACCAAGTGCTATTCATTTAATGACTACATTGCTTAGCAATTGGAGTTCTGGTCCCAATTGTGGTCATAAGTCGAGGGCTACATATATTCAGCTATTTTTTGCAAAGATATAGAGATGAGAAAGGGGTGATCTATGAACAAAACTGTTATAATTTTCAGAGCTATGGAACAGCACAGTAATAACAAGCATTGATTTTTAAAGCAGTCATATGTTCAGAGAGCTACACAGGCAATCAAATTAAATTAACAAATACAGATTTCTTAAGGGTGCATCTATAAAAATTGAAAGAGAAGTAAAAATATATTTTGGGAGACAAACTTTCTCAAAATTAGAATAATCTCCAAACAATGAAGTTGACCTTTTCAAGACCTTTTCCTACACTTTTCCCCAATTACATTAAATGCTATTAGCAGGTCAAATTGTTTTGTCTTGATTGGTTAATTCTACTTTAATATAAAAAAGCTCTTTTTGCTATGTGCCTCAATTTTGAAAGATTTTTGGTTTGCTACAATCGTGAAATGTTTATTTCTTCAGCTAATTCTGAGTCAGGCAGTCCCGAGCGCAGGCTGGGCTGCCAAGGAACCCAGGAGCTGGACGGCTCGTCCCAGTGGCTGGCTGACCAGAATGAGGCCAGTTCGCAGCATGCACTGGAACAGGAGACCAGTACTACAACCACAGCTGAAACTATTGGGACGAGAGGCGAAGAGCAAGAGCGAATTAAAATGCAGACCAGTCCTCCCCAACAACACCACATGCTGCACGCACAGGTAGAGTTGGAGGTGAGAAGCACCCATGTGCAAATTCCTCTGGATTAGCCAAGTCTATCTGTGGATTTTCAATGATGGTTAAGATAAAGTGAGACACATTTTAGGAAGCAGCTTTGTGGAAAACCCAAGGAAGTTCTCTGAGATTTCTCCTAGACTTATTTTTGGAGTTACTATATTTTAATGATTGAGAGCACTGTGATAATCCTTGTTGTTGATTTCTCCTTCCTTCCATGTTACATTGCGTTCTTCAGACTACATCAGACAAAATGACAGGCAGCAATCCAGTGTCGCCAGCCTCTTCAGGCTCACCTGCCTCAAGTGGGAGCATCTCACCATCACATCTCACCCACGATTCCTCTTTGGACAGTCACCTAAGTTTTGATGGTCCCAAGTCGCAGAACAGAGCCCTGGTATCATCTGGGATGTACATCTCCCCTGATCCTGCGACCATGTGGGACAAGACACATGCAGAGATTGCTGAGCAGGCAAAGCATGTAAGCTCTTGTCCAAGCCTTTGGGCCATTTCAGCCACCTTTCTATTGGGCATAAGTACCTGCAATGTAAGATAGTATAGGGTAGCCCTGAACCTTTCAGGAAGCATGTGAATGAACTACCTGACTTGGATACTCTATTTTAGGAAGCAGAAATTGAGAATCGCATTGCAGAAATGAAGAAGGAAGGATTCTGGTCTTTGAAAAGGCTTTCAAAGGTGCCTGAGCCGATTCGGCCCAAAGTGCATTGGGATTATCTTTGTGAGGAAATGCAGTGGCTCTCTGCTGATTTTGCTCAAGAACGTCGATGGAAGAGGGGTGTTGCCAGGAAGGTGGGTTCTGGAATCTTTTAAACTGTCTCTTCTCCAGACTTTTTCAGCTGGTTTGCATCCATCCATCCATTCCTATCTTTATACTGTTTAGAAGCAAATACCTTGTAATGGAATGCTTCTTAACTGTTTCATGGCTCCTGTGAAATTTCTGGCATTTTTTATAACCTAGCAACTAAGTGACGTAATTGGTGCTGTTTCAGCCAACTAGTGCACAGTATGCCTGTAAGATTTCCCTCCACAAAACCTCCAGTGAACTAATCTTTCCTAAAAAATGGTCCAGGATAAGGTGGAAAACATGGCCACATGTGATGGATTTTGGTCATTTGGACCTGCTGTCTTTCTCCTCTGTGGCATACAGGTTGTGCGTATGGTGATCAGGCACCACGAGGAACAGAAGCAGAAAGAAGAACGAGCCAAACGTGAGGAGCAAGCCAAGTTGCGCCGCATTGCTTCTTCCATTGCTAAAGAGGTCAAGCAGTTCTGGAGCAACGTTGAGAAGGTGTGTAAAGCCCTTGCCCAGAGTCAGGAAAGGTTTAGGTACATCTTGATAGCCTAAATATATAGGCAAGTATATGCCAACCCATTTTCCTTGTCATATTAAATTCTTATTTTATGTATCTGATCAAAAATGTTTTTTTTCCAGAAATTTTATTAATTTTTTTAAAAAACATATAAAACATAAACATAAAAAACATAAAACATCTTCTTGGAAAGCAGCTTGATCCTGGGTTACATCTCTTCTTACAGACATAAATTCAAGTTCATGCTCACTTTTATATACCATTCCATATCTTATTACCATTCTACATTTTTTATATAGCTTCTCCCCTCTTTTCACTCTCTTAATTCTATTTTATTTATTTCATCTTAATTTAAATCATTATACTTATATCCTTTGTCCTGTTTCAGCTGTCTATTATCTTTTCTCATTAACACAAAATTTCTCCTGTTATCACTGATTGGAATATGACACCTTTATATCTTTCCCCTAAGTTTAACACTTGATATAATACATAACTTTCATTCAGATTCTGCCTAGTACATTCTAAAACTATTTTAAGAAAAGAAAAAATTATAAATATATAATTAAAAACAACAATCCATACCAATTGAACTCTATCATTAAAATTAATATTCATTTAAATCTTAAACATTTTACACATTCCTTTTCAAATAGGTATCATGCTTCTATGGGAACAGTTATAAATTTTGCGTAGTTATTTCCCTCCCATTTCACTTATACTTTAAAACATGTAATTAAAATATTCCCATTCCTTCTTAATTCAGTTCTCTCATATTTCATTTCATTAATTTTGTTCAAAAAAAAAAAGTTTCATTGAATTACATTGAATATTTTATCCCATTTTATAATCATATGTTATTCTAATTTTCTAACATTTCTAATACAAATACAACAATACAGTTTTATGTACCTTTGCAGAATCTCTTTTTCAGTTATATTTTTACCCATTATCTCTAAATAAATCCTGTTTCTTTACATCTTGTTTCAAACCTTTATAGCTTCTATTCCCTTCCTTCCTCCCTTGCTTCTTCACTTTGCCCTTTTTACCCCCTTGTCTCTCCATCCCCATTTCCCTCTTCTGTATTCCTCCTTTCTGTTGCTTTCTGACATTATAACCACTTTCACCTTATTTTTCCCTTTTTTAGTTGTTTTTTTAGGTCTTAAATTCTCCATTCTCTTTCCTCCCTTTCTTCCCCAGATAAAATTACTTGTTCATTAAAGATGGCTTCTTCTTTGTCCCAATCTTCTTGTAGTTTCTCATAAGTAAAAATCGCCATTTCTAAAAAATGAAAAATGGAGCCAAAAGAGCCCTTCCCTTCTTGTTCCTCTTCTTTATATTTTTTAAATTCCATTTTCAGTTCATCCACAAGTGATGCCATTGTAAACAAAAAAATTTTAAACAACCACCCAAGTGTTTTTAATCATTGAAATATAATTTCCAAAAGTCCCAGAGTCACCAAGCAGTCCAAATACACACGAGCTGTTTCATTTAACACTTTCTTCTTTTTTGACTTTCTCTTCCTGGGGTTGCAATTCAGTTACAAAGTTCCAGTTAAAATGTATCTTTTAGAAGTCTTGTTACAGTTTAACTTTAGATTCTTTAAAAATTCCAAGCAGTCTCCTCCAGCCAAATCTTACTCTTATTCTTTTCCTCTCCCTTCCTTCCCACTTACAGCAAAAAAAAGTTTTTTCAGTGATCAGAAATCTTTATTGTCCCCTTGGCTTTAATTTTCCAGTTTAATTACCTGCTGATGCCAAAGTGGGTTTTTCTGATTTCTCATTCATCTGCTGTCACCGTAAGGAAGGAGAGTGAGAAAAAACAAACTTTCCCTTTTCCCTTTCATTCGCTGCTTCCG